ACCGTAACCTCCCGTAACCTCCCGTAACCGTAACCTCCCGTAACCTAGGAATCTCTAGAATCTCTGGAATCTGTAGAATCTAAGTGTCCAGAAGCCTCCCGTAACCTCCCGTAACCGTAACCTCCCGTAACCTCCCGTAACCGTAACCTCCCGTAACCTGAATCTCTAGAAATCTCTGGAATCTGTAGAATCTAAGTATCCAGGAGCCTCCCGTAACCTCCCATAACCTCCCGTAACCGTAACCTCCCGTAACCTCCCGTAACCGTAACCTCCCGTAACCTTGGAATCTCTAGAATCTCTGGAATCTGTAGAATCTAAGTAGCCAGGAGCCTCCCGTCATCTATATCTTCCTCTGTAAGCGCTCTCCGGATATCTATCTCTTAACATTCTCTACTCTCCCGTCACCATATCCGCTAGACACCTCCCAGTGAGAGAGGCGCGTGAGAGACAAGACTCAATCATCTGTAAGTCTTGCTGATAAAAATCTGTAGAATCTAAGTAGCCAGGAGCCTCCCGTAACCTTCCGTAACCTCCCGTAACCGTAACCTCCCGTAACCTCCCGTCACCGTAACCTCCCGTAACCTAGGAATCTCTAGAATCTCTGGAAACTGTAGAATCTAAGTATCCATGCAGGAGCCTCCCGTATCCTCCCGTAACCTCCCGTAACCGTAACCTCCCGTAAACCCTAACTCCCGTAACCCCCGTAACCGTAACCTCCCGTAACTAGGAATCTCGAGAGTGCGCGTGAACACTGTAGAATCTTAAGTATCAGGGAGCCTCCGTAACCTCCGTAAACCGTAACCTCCCAACCGTAAACCTCCCGTAACCTAGAATCTCTAGAAATCTCTGGAATCGTAGAATCTAAGTATCCAGGAACCTCCCGTAAACCTCCCGTAACCGTAAGCCTACCTAGCGGAATCTCTAGAATCTGCTGGAATCTGTAGCATCTAAGTATCCAGGAACCTCCGTAACCTCCGTAACCTCCCGTAACCGTAACCTCCCGTAATCGTAACCTCCCGTAACCTCCCGTAACCGTAACCTCCCGTAACCGTAACCTCCCGTAACCTCCCGTAACCGTAATCTCCCGTAACCTCCCGTAACCTCCCCTAACCTCCCGTAACCGTAACCTCCCGTAACCTCCCGCAACCTCCCGTAACCGTAACCTACCTACAAATCTCCTGAATCTCTGGAATCTGTAGAATCTAAGTATCCAGGAACCTCCCGTAACCTCCCGTAACCGTAACCTCCCGTAACCTCCCGTAACCTCCCGTAACCTCCCGTAACCACCGTAACCTCCCGTAACCGTAATCTCCCGTAACCGTACCCTACCTAGGAATCTAGAATCTCTGGAATCTGTAGAAGCAAAGTATCCGGGAACCTCCCGTAACCTTCCGTAACCGTAACCTCCCGTAACCGTAACCTCCCGTAACCGTAACCTACCTAGGATTCTCCCCAGAATCTCTAGAATTTCTAGAATCTAGGTATCCCGTCCTCCCGTAACCTCCCGTAACCTCCCGTAACTAAGCTAGAACCTGAGTCTAGAATCTCTAGAATCAAAGAAATTTCTAAAATCTCCAGATTCTCTAGAAACTCTAAAATCTGAGGTTCTCGTAACCTCCCGTAACCTTCCGCAACCTTCCGTAACCTAGCTAGAATCTGAGTGAAGAATCTCTATAAATCTGCCGAACCCGTAACCTCCCGTAACTTCCCGTAACCGTAACCTCCCGTAACCGTAACCTCCCGTAACCGTAACCTCCCGTAACCTCCCGTAACCGTAACCTCCCGTGACCTCCCGTAACCTCCCGGAACCTCCCGTAACCTCCCGGAACCTCCCGTAACCTCCCCTAACCTCCCGTAACCTCCCGTAACCGTAACCTGCCTAGGAATCTCTGAATCTCTGGAATCTGTAGAATCTAAGTATCCAGGAACCTCCCGTAAGCTCCCGTAACCGTGACCTCCCGTAACCTCCCGTAACCGTAACCTACCTAGGAACCTCTAGAATATCTAGAATCTAAGTCTCCCGTAACCATGGGAACCTCTGGAATATCTAGAATCTAAGTCTCCCGTAACCATGGGAACCTCTAGAATATCTAGAATCTAAGTCTCCCGTAACCGTAACCTCCCGTAACCGAATCTCTAGAATCTCTGGAATCTGTAGAATCTAAGTATCCAGGAACCTCCCGTAACCTCCCGTAACCGTAACCTACCTAGGAATCTCTAGAATCTCTGGAATCTGTAGAATCTAAGTATCCAGGAACCTCCCGTAACCTCCCGTAACCTCCCGTAACCGTAACCTGCCTAGGAATCTCTAGAATCTCTGGAATCTGATAGAATCTATAAATATCCAGGAACCTCCCAACTGTAACCTCCCGTAACCTCCCGTAACCTCCCGTAACCGTAACCTCCCGTAACCTCCCGTAACCTCCCGTAACCTCGCGTAACCTCCCGTAACCTCCCGTAACCGTAACCTCCCGTAACCTTAATCTCCCGTAACCGTAACCTACCTAGGAATCTCTAGAATCTCTGGAATCTGTAGAAGCTAAGTATCCAGGAACCTTCCGTAACCGTAACCTCCCGTAACCTCCCGTAACCTCCCGTAACCGTAACCTCCCGTAACCGTAACCTACCTAGGAATCTCCCCAGAATCTCTAGAATTTCTAGAATCTAGGTATCCCGTCCTCCCGTAACCTCCCGTAACCTCCCGTAACTAAGCTAGAACCTGAGTCTAGAATCTCTAGAATCAAAGGAATTGCTAAAATCTCCAAATTCTCTAGAAACAGTAAAATCTGAGGTTCTCGTAACCTCCCGTAACCTTCCGTAACCCTCCGTAACCTAGCTATAGAATCTGAGTGAAGAATCTCTAGAATCTCTATAAATCTGCCGAACCCGTAACCTCCCGTAACCTCCCGCAACCTCCCATAACCTTCCGTAACCTTCCGTAACTTCCTGTCACCTCCCGTAGACTCCCGTAACCTCCCGTAACCAAGCGCGATTCTGAGTCTAGAATCTATATGTAGAGTCTCTAAAATGTGAAGACCCCGTAACCTCCCGTAACCTCCCGTAACTTCCCGTAACCTCCCGTAACCTGCGATTAATTTTGAAATATATATATTATATATTTAATATATAATATATATATATATATAATATATATACAACTTTTGCGCTTGGAATGACCTGGTTTATGCGCGCTTAGTGACCCCAACTTTTGCGCTATTAATGACCCAAATTTACGCGCGCTTAATCCACAGTCTCATCTGACGGTTTGGATGGGTGAATCCAACTCATCCAACTCCAAGAGCATCCCAAAACTCAGAACCAGCATCCAAGTATCCAAGTACCCTCTGGTAATTTAACATAGCTACGGAAAATCACAATTTTTCATAGGAAAATCCACTATAAATGGTCATTTTCAATAGCTATGTTAAATTACCAGAGCGTAGTTTCCAACCTTTCAAAATCCGCCCAGGTCAGAGGTCCTTGCCACGGAGCGCGGCGCAACGGAAGCGGAGGAGGCTGGCGGACCGAGGACTTGATGCTAAGTAGCCCTGAGGTCTTCGGAGATGTTGTTTCTGATGGTTTTAATATGTTTTAATACTCTATTTATATAAGAGCTTTATCAATCCGATCAAGAGCCAAATTGATCAGATTGGGACAAGTACCCAAACTTGGAATAACATTGATCAATTTATCCCTCGGGTAGTTAATTATCTCAGACCAAGGTTCAGAATGATTTCAAGCAATGGTTTCTTCGATTATGCTGAAACGTATTCTTGAACATTCCAGCTTTTCCACAGCTGTGGCTGTGAACATTGTCACTCTCCAGCTGTCGATGCGGCAGACTCGAAAGCGCGCAGAGCAACGGGCCGCCTCAGAGGAAGCGAGGCCTTTTTGGAGCTTGGCCGGGGCGACAAAGCTGGAAGGCATACTGATGCTATGCTATCAAAAATCAAGACTTAGGACTCAACATACCACATTTTTAAAAATGGGAGCCATATGTATATGATATAATATATATATATATGATCATGTATGTATTATGTATACATACATATGATATATATATATATATAGCTACTCAATAGCCTGACTCATGGATCAGACTGGAAGCTTGACTGTGGCGAGCCTATAGTTTTTATTCAAAGATTGCAAAGTCTGGAGGAAGCAAACTTCTTCCAACCTCCACGGTTCTCAAGCCCCCATCATTGAAGCTTTCTCCTTTCAGAATCCTGACAAATCCTCAGAGAAACTCAGTTGAAATGGTCTGAAAGTACCTCGGGTATACGGTATACTCGACAACCCCTTGAGTTTCTCACCATTTTCCCATCAAGATATTGCCATCAATTGGGGGAACCAACTGCATAAAAGTGGCACAAATTCCGTGGCGAGCGCCTGCTAGGCTTGATGCGTTTCTGAAGCGTCTGCCGCAGCTGGAGGCGGGGCTAGTCTTGTCGGGATGAGCGTGATGATCACATGAGGAACATGTGGATACAACCCATCAGAATATGATGATGATGATGGTGATGATGGTGATGATCTTGACTCCCTTTAAGCGCCGGCTTAAGCAGCTGGCTCAAGCATTTGCTGAGCGAGCCACCATGGAAACACAAGGCAGAACAGCAGCTCTACAGCATGGATTAGCAACATGAGTGGCCGCTAAACATCAACTGCCAGCAGGGCTGCCACAAAGAGAGAAAACATATTTCTGGAGTAGAGAAAAAGAGCCTCTGGCATTTGACATCTTAAAAATGATCGAAGCATAGGTTCCAATACATGTACTCGCACTGCTACAGCCCAACAGCATTATACCTCCACGGAAAGGACATGGATCAAACATGGACACGGACAAAGGGGCAGACAGGGAACCCCGGAAACATCCAGCAATTTCCACCTCTCCCAAAATGATATCGGGAATCCCTTCATTGAGACTGAGGTGTCCAACATCTTCATCCAGACCCAAGTGACAGCAATAAATCCATAGGTGCTGAAAAGGCTGCGATGCAGTTTGCCCAATGGCTTTTCTCCTGCGCGGATGCACGGCCAGGGAAACACAGATCCTCATGTCCCTTGGTGAGCAGTGCAGGGGCTGGGATGGGCATCGACCGGGGTGACTTGTCGCATTGAGAAATGATAATTCAACCAATATTATGCAATATTATCCAATAAATCCAATATAAATATTAATGCATAACAATCCCTCATAAGAAAATATAAGAAGAGGTGGTATTCTACTTTAACATTCCATGGCTATACGCACACCTACTGTTCTGGTACCAAGAACAAGCACTGGACCGCTGACATCCCAACAAGCCCCCGGCCTCAGTTGATCCTTTCGAGACGCAGGGATTGGAACTCCATGAGGAGCACGTCACCTGGGGTGAGAGGCTTATGTGGAGGTTTCCTGAAATGGTGGTACCCCCAAATCATCCAAGTCATTAGACCATTTTAGTACTAAAGCCCTTGGTGACTCGGGGATCCCCCATAAAAACATGGCGGCATTGATCATCCCACGTGAGCAAGTATTGTAGTTGGTTTGTAGATATAGTAGTCGTAGTCACTACATTTTTTGCAAGTCGTTTCAAACTTGTTCGCGCCAACATTCGACCACCTCCAAATGACACACACACACAGACAATATTATATACTTCCCGGCGGAAGGGAAACCGCGCGAGCGTTTTGATTGGTTGCTTCCAGGAGAGTCACAATCACCTGTAATTTACAATATAAAATGCACCTCCGATCAGTTTGGATAACTGAATTTGGGTTTAAAAAAGTGGATGCAAAATCTATTGATTTTTAACAAATCCAGGTAAACATCATGTGCATCAGACGTGGATGCGCAGATTTTTTTTCACACTCTTCGTCGGCTCAGCGATCCATCAGTGTGGAAGCTGTCAACCTATGCATCACTACCGCACCCAAACCCATACGCAGCGCAGCAACATGTAACGTAGGAAACTATCTCAGAGATACCAGCAGCGTAGCAACATGTACCTTAGTAAACGATCTCGGAGATACCAACCGCGTAGCAACCTGTAACGTAGTAAACGATCACAGAGATCTCAGCAGCGTAGCAACATGTCACGTAGTAAAAGATCCCAGAGATCTCAGCAGCGTAGCAACCTGTAACGTAGTAAGAAAGTCCCAAGGATCTCAGCAGCGTAGCAACATGTAACGTAGGAAACTATCTCAGAGATACCAGCAGCGTAGCAACATGTAGCGTAGTAAAAGATCCCAGAGATCTTAGCAACATCGCAATATATCCTGTACGAAGTACAAGGAACGTTAACATGCCCCCCCCAACCCCAACCCACAGTAACATGGCAATATATCCTGTACGAAGTACGAGGAACGTTAACATGCCCCCCCACCCCAACCCACACTAGAGATCTCAGCAGCGTAGCAACACGTAACGTAGTAAAAGATCCCAGAGATCTTAGCAACATGGCAATATATCATGTACGAAGTACAAGGAACGTTAACATGCCCCCCCCACCCCACGCCACCCCAACCCCAAGACAAAGAGCAATGCTCAAAAAAGAAACAAAACGCACGTACGGTTTTCCTGCCGTAGGCATATACTTGACGCCAGAGGATGAACGAAAACAATAGCTGTACGCAGCGATTTTGACTTCAGACTCTCAGGATTTAGGGTTTTTGGGTTTGACAACATGAAAGGATATGCAGGATCGGTGGTGGTCCAAGGGTTTGCAGCGAACTTGTTTCATCTCATGATTTCCAAAGTAGACTATACGTACTATAAAAAGTACTTTGGCCGATTGGCTATGAAATCGGGAGTGATACTACCTGGGTTATTTGGGATTATATATATATACATACTGTATGTATGTATATATTATATATATACACAGTATGTTAAAGTATGTATATTAAAGATTCTAACCCATAATTCGTAGGAAAATCATGGACAATCTATCAACCAACTGGCAACTTCAAACTTCCCGAGGGGTTGCCCACCAGGAGGAGGACTTGCAGGCGGCGTACCGGGCCATGGCGGGCATACGCCAAGGAAGGCCTGATCCCCATGTGGTCGTCTTCTTGGACGTCGATGGGGTGCTGCATGTCGCTTGGCACCAAGGCAAGCTGCCGGAAGAAAAGTTGCCATATGGGGATATAAGTGGTTTAACTATGGTTTCTGGTAGATATAACTATAGTTAACTATGGTTTAACTATGGTTAATGGGGGTTATTTCATGGTATATAAACCAAGTTATAACTGGGGGGCCCAATCCTGTATGCTCTTGGTGGAATTTGCTTAGGCCAAGGGCTGCGAACTGGACCATTTCAGCGCAGCCAACATGCGCTCTTTGCGGCACATTGCACCTGGGAAGCATGGGATGACATGGGATGACCTTGAACCACCCATTGCTTGGGGAGATGACCACTACATAGTCGGTGCTGAAACAAGGATTTTGCGATTTTACATTTCTCACATATCGGATGAGGGTTCGGATTGAGTGTCGCATTTTTCCATCAGTGAACTGGAGTGGTGGCCAGGGTCTTGAAGGGAATGAGCTGCAATCATCAGAAAATCCATGAACCTGCCATTCGTTCGGGTAGATATTTTACTAACCCACTGAGGTGCTTGCTTGCAATGCCACTGTAGTGTTGTCCTCCAGTGCCTTGGATATGAACCCAGTGACCCAGTGGTCACAGCCATTCCGAAGATCGGACGTGATTCGTTGTGGAAGCACTCCTCCGGATTTGAACTGATTGGAAGGACCTCGAGGTAATTCGAAACTTGACTCTAAATCTTCCAAAACACATATTCATTATTCATATTCATCATATTCATCATATTCATCATATTCATCAGATTAATCATATTCATCATATTCATCATATTCATCATATTCATCATATTCATCATATTCATCATATTCATCATATTCATAATGAATTTCACCATTACACCATGACACCATGAAAACCACCATTATTCCACCTATCAAGCGAGGCTGGCGGCGCAGCGCACCGCTGCTGCAGCGCTGCGAGCTGGCGCTGGCGCGCTGGGGGCTGGCAGGACGGGGGATGGAGCCTTTTTTTGGGGCCCGGGAACATCTCGGAAACAGAGCAACTGTTGGGTGATTTATATGAACATTTATATGCATTGGAACGGATTATAGCTCATTATTATAGCTCATTATTATAGCTCATTATTATTATTATTTATTATCTATTCTTATCTAAGAATCTATGTGACCATTAGTATCCTTTTCTGTGATTTGGTGATTTCAAGGTACAGCAATGTCCATTTTTTTGGGGTGCGAATTTTGCCTCATGCCCGTGATCCACTGAAACCGTGGCTTAGCGAAGCCCTGGGCTCAGATGTGGCAGACCGCGTGGAGAAAGCTCGGTGTCAAGGGGATCTCTGCTGAGAATTTTCAGCAGAGCTTGAAGAAATTGGCAGGGCAAGCGGATTTGATCCTTGAAGCCTTTGAACATGCAGAAAAAAGTCCAATTGTCAAGCTGAAAGAGCGGGACTACACCACCGGAATTGCATCTTGTGGTCGATCAAGACACTGGCAACATGCGTGTGAGCTCTTGAGCAGAATGTACGAGACGCAAGTGCATGCAACAGCCATTGCATACAATGTCACCATCAGTGCTTGTGCCAGGGGTGGTCAGTGGCAGCAGGCATTAAATTTGTTTGAGCTGATGCTAAGTGCCAAAGTGATTCGCAGTACCATAAGCTATAGCGCAGCCATTAGTGCTTGTGAGAAGGGAGGTCAATGGCAGCACGCGTTGAACTTGTTTGATGAAATGAGCCATGCATCACTCGATCATGATGTCATCAGCTATAATACGACCATCAGTGCATGTGAAAAGGGTGGGGAATGGCAAGCCGCATTGAGCTTGCTTGATGCGATGCCAGCTGCAGGTTTGAGTCCGGATGTCGTAAGCTACAGTGCTGCTGTCAGCAGTTGTGAAAAAGCAGGGGAGTGGCAACAGGCCTTGGAAGTCTTTGAGCAAATGCACCTGGCAGAAGTGAGTCCTGATGTGATCAGCTACAGTGCTGCAATCAGTGCGTGTGAGAAGGGAGGTCAATGGCAACAGGCACTTCATTTGTTCCAGGAAATGACCAGCGTTAAAGTTGAGCGCAACGCATTCACTTACAACGCAACCATCAGCGCCTGTGAAAAGCGTAGTCAGTGGCAGCAGGCCTTAACCCTTTTTGATGCAATGCCCACCGCACGAGTTGCTCCCAATCTCATTAGCTACAGTGCCACTATCAGCGCGTGCAAGGAGGGTCACAGATGGCAGGAAGCACTGAACTTGTTGGAATCGATGCCTTTGGCGAAAGTTCATCCTGAGGTCATTTGCTACAGTGCCGCTGTGAGTTCCTGTGAGATGGGCAGTCAATGGCAGCAGGCCTTGTGCTTGTTTGAGGCCATGAGCAGTTCAAAGCTTTATCCAGATGTCATTAGCTATAGCACGGCCATCATGGCGTGCGAGAAGGGAGGTCGGTGGCAGCAGGCGCTAAGTCTCTTCAATTCAATGCCAAAAGCGAAGGTTGGTCAAGACACAGTTTCCTTCAAGGCAGTAATCAGCACTTGTGAGAAGGGAGGTCAATGGCAGCAGGTGTTGAATCTCTTCCAGAGCATGTCCGGCAACCCTTCTGCTGTGTCCAAGGTAGGGTAACTCACGCACTGAGAATTTTGTCAGGGCAACAACACAGGGGTCTGGTCAAAGGTGCTTGTGTTCACATATGCAGAACTACAGTACTTCGCAGTTCGCAGATCAGCGTGACCAGCCTGTTTTGTCTTGTGCTTCATTCCACCCAATGCACAAAGCTTTAGCACATTTTTTCGTGAACAACATTTTGCAAGATGATGGCTTGCTGTGACCGGCGAGATATTCCCCAAAGCAGGCATTTCCTATCATTTCCGGCCATTTTCCACCTTTTAGAAGCTGGTGTGAGCAAGCTGCTCGCAGCTAGCGAAGCCACGGCCAAATCTGCCATGTCAGACATGAAAATCGGCCTGTGCTCCATGGATGGACCTGGTGGGCCGCTCCCATGGGCCTCCAGGAGTGGCCGACACCACACCAGACTTGAAGGGCCAAGGCCTGCGACGCGAGGAGCGGGTTCACTTGGGATCTCTGAGTGTCGATTTTTTGTGTCGAAACAAGGGCCCCCAAAGTCATCCAGCATCATCCAGCATCATCCAGCATCATCCAGCATCATCCAGCATCATCCAGCACTTTAACATAGACTTGATGGCCCATGGATGGCCAATCTTCTTTGCGGTACCCCTACCGTTCTTAGACGCAGCCATTCACGAAAAGCACCGCTGAGCCCAGGAGGAGATTTTGATTTGGCTGAAACGACATCCTGAGGCCTGCGTGAAGGGTACCGGAAATGCAGCGGGAAGCTCTGGCAGCATTCCATATATTTCCACATACCCAGATTTCATCTTGAAGTACCATCTTAGACCAGCTGAACTGGTGTATCTAACCGCTTTTTACACTGGATACTTTCCCCCAAACTTAGGGCCCCAAGCCTCCATTTTTCCCCAGATGTTTTCCATTTTTCACCTTTTTTCCCCATCATTGTGGGAGGTCCAGCACTGGTTGGCCCTGGATGACTTGGAGCTGGTCAGCAGCGAGGCCCCGATGGCTCGACTGATGGCGGAGCACTTTGTGAAGACGGATCCTGAGACGCTGGGCATCGCCATATGACTTCAGCCGGGTCCAGGGAACGATGTTCATGGGATTCAATGGGCTCTGAGGCTATGACTATGACTAGTTGTACCCTCTGGTAAACTGTCCCGTAGCTATGGAAAGATCCACCCATTTTGAATGGGAAAACTCAGTAAAAATGGTCATTTTCAATAGCTACGTTAAATTACCAGAGGGTAAATGGGATCTATGTGGGTTAAAACACCTAAGACATACTGAGACCATGATGACCATGATGGGGTGGTGAACATCCATAACAACCAGCTATTGTAGCGATGTGCTGAAGCAGACATACCAGAAGAAAGGTGGGGGAAAAAAAGTGCAGTTGGTTCAAGTATGTTTTCTGGAGTCAGCGGCACTTAGAGGAGGATATTCTATTACATTACATGTAATATATATACATATATATATATACATATATATATAATATATATATATAGTTCGTAGCTCACAGAAATTGATCGGCCCCCCAAGGACCGGTCTTCGAGATATGACGCAAGTGTCGAGAGCATTGAGGGTGCTGGAAAGACCACGTGGGAACGTGGAGGAGATGGGGGCAGGTACCATGGGCCTTGGAACTTCTGAATGGGAACTAGATCTGTTTATGGAACACAAATGGGTATATCAAAAGAATGATGAACGAACATCGCCAGATACAATGACAAATGAGCGTCTGATTCTAATGCCAAGGAACTCCTCGTTGCCGCCCGTTACTACATAAAATGATTCATATTTGCCAGGGGCCATTCTTGTAACGAGATGACAAGGATCACCTGCAGCACCATGTGGCAATTCAAAAGTCTTCCATATTAGCCGTGTCGGTCGACCGAAGGCTACCTGGCTACCTTTGACCTCGCATTGCCAGGAGGTTTTGAAAAGAAAACGAGCAACACAGAGAACTCCAATCTGTGCTTGACCAATGATAGCCAGGGCCCTCAGCTGCAGACCCAACAGCTGGCCCCAAATGTTGGGGGCTTATCGGAAAGTAATACATAGATTCCATATAGATTCCATAGATAGTGTACCCCTAATTCCATTGCGTAATCATCATTTTCATTCATTTTCTCCATTGCCGTTTGAAAATGGTAAATACCAACTACCAACCATTAAAACAGACCCAACTACCAACTGATCTTCTTACTTCCGATCCCAGAATCGAAAGTGACTTCCAGTGACTTCCGCCCTTGGCACGTGGATAGAGCTGTGTAGATGGCTTATAATCCACAAGCATGCAATGATTCATAGCCGACGATGGAGGCTGATCATCACTTCCATCGCCAGTTGGATAGGTTAACCCATGTCAATCCCATGCCCGGCAGCTCTAGAGACTCTAGATCTCCGAGGTTCGAATTTCAGGCCCTGCCCTTGCTTCATCCACATGAGATGCCTATGGCTTGTGGCGGCCCTTGCGGGATCCAGGGGTCCCAATGGCCAGGGGGCACCGGTGTCACCGGGGCGCCATCAAGGTGGGTGTAAGGATGTGTAAGGCAAAAGACTTTTGTGGTGTGCCACCTGGCCGCTTGGTTTTATAACCGGAAAACGGTGGGAGTGTGCTTAGCACTCGTTTCTTTTGATGCTGGCCGGCATCTTCCTGTAGAGATCCGTACCAGATGCCCAAGGGATCCAAGGGTCGGGGGTATGACTACCTGACTACCATGTTTCCGGGTTTCACCTTCTCGTACTGGAAATCACGGTAGTACTGTATAGTCCATTTAACTGCATTCAACTAGCATTTTTGGACGTTGCAGTTCCATGACAAGGACACACCAGTCGCAATCCATTTCCCAGGCAGCCTGGTAAAATTACATTTGGCAAGCTGTCTAGACATTTGTGAAGACACTATTAATGCTCGAAAACACAGTTCAAAGCGTTTCTTATTTTGATCAGTACCCATTGGCTATTTAAGAGTGGTTCAGGATCTTACTTTTGCCGGAGCACCAGTTGTCCGGGCGCTTATTCATCGCGATGGATGGTTTAGTGACATGGAGTGAAAGGGGAACAGTTTTTTTTTAGAAGGATGGAAACCATTCATCCGTCGGAAAGATGGCAACGATAATTTCGAATGATTTCTCTGTGCATCCTGAAATTTCGACTCTGCTCCATGTGCCAGACATCCTAAAGCTGCAGCGAATTCGCGTGGGATGTCGTGTGCATCTGCAGAAGTTGGAAGCAACCGAAGATGGGGCGAAAGCAGCAGGATTTTCCAGGTCTGCCAATATTGAAGCGTCCTGTGCTATTATATATATATATTATACATAGTCATATATATATATGCATAGATTTACAGTTTACATATATAATCATACTTGTATATATATATAGTGTTTATATACATATATACATACACGAATTAAACACAATTGTACATATATCTATAATTTCATATATATATATATATATGTATACACATATATACACATGTTCAACATGTTATAATCTACGTATTAACCGTATATGATATTTATTCTACAAACTTCGCCCCAGCGCACCATCTTCGTTGCTCCCCCTACCAGTTTTGTGGCTTCTGCTCCAAACGAAGACTTTGGAGCGGAGCGATGTCCAGATTTTCGGTTGGGCCCAGCCGCTGCCGGGCCGGAGCTGGCTGGACGCAAATCCCGTCGTGGGCAGAAAAGGGAATGCATTTTGATGTGGCTATGGATCAATACCTATAGATACCATTTTTAGTGGGATGAACATCCATTTACCAGCTATTTTGATGTTCACCAGGGGTACCAGGGTTTTGACCCACTGCCAATGTCAAGTTGTTGCCAATTGCCACTGTATGGCAGGGAAGTGACGATGGCGGATCCTTTGAGTTGAGCTTGTTGGAGAAGCATCGAAAAATTTGACCAGGAAAACCACAGACCCAACTTTGATAGATTTTGGTTGTAGCAACATGTACACACTATATATGGCAACTCCTGATAGATCATGATTATGATCGGTTGCAACCTTAAATCCAACAAGAGGCATATGGCTTTTCTGTCTTTTTGGGGTTACTGTAAAGTTATAACTTTGCCAGGTTGTAGTCCCTAAAGCATGTCCCATTCCCGGCTAGGTGGAAGCGTCTCAGAAGGGCGAGAACATGGTCCAGGAGGTCTCCGTTTCACCGTTGTTTTGGGCTGGTAGAACCCACCAGCAACGATGGTAAGTTTGATAAATCAGATGACCATAGCTTGGCAGATTCGATTTCCAAGTTAGTACCGTTAGTACCGTGAAGGTGCAAGATTCCATGGCATTTGGTTTCCCCACATCATGTGATATGGCTGGTGGCTAAGAGTTTAAGACTGCCCGCAGACATTCCACACAATGATTTTAAAGAATCCGAACATTTTTGAATCCAGCTGGTGGATAGTCAAGTCCGTTAAACCATTTCTTTGTGTTGACACCAGGCTCAAGAGAAGGCCTTGCGTGATGTGGCAGAGGCGTTCTGGACACCGTGACTGTGAAAGCCATCGGACAATTCATTTATTGCTGGGATATGAATAATCGGTGGCTATTGAGAAAATCACCCATCAATGGATACCAACGGAGAGAATATTAATGTCTTTAAAGTCTGTAAGTTTAAATAGGAACGGACACTTCCCTGAGCTGTTCGCGTTTGTTTCCCCGGCGAAAGATGCGATACTTGTTTCATGGGTTTTGGACTGGGAAATGAACAAAAAGAACAGCGTAACTCGCAGCGGTTTTCCCAGTGAAACTTTTTGACATGTTCCATGGATTGGAGTTTCACTTAGAAATTGAGATTTTCAGTTTTTTTTCCCTGGTTTTTCCCTTGTTTTTCGCACGTTTTCCATGGAGTTTCCTGCCGGATGCCCTTGGCCAGGCCAAGGCCGCCCTGCGACGCTGCGTGGAGGAGGCTTCCAGGCGGATGCTGGCAGCCAAGCAGTCTGGAGCCCAGGTGATCCGTTGGGTTTTTGAGACAAATTTCCCCCAAAACGCCGACACTTTTTGGAAAATTGGAGACCTGATCCGACTGATCCTATAAGTGGTTTGACATGGTTTGACTGAAAAAGCTCATGAAAAGGGACTGATAGGAAGACTGAGTGTGATGTCCAATCTCTCTGCGTCCAAGGTGTGCAGTATCATTTGCTGAATCCTGTGATGCCCAATGTAGGATGGATCGGACACGAAGGTAAGTCAATACTGCCTGTGAAACCGTTTTCAAAAGGACGAACTTCCACTGTAGAATCTTATAGATATTTTGGCACCCAGCGATGTGTAACGCTATGAGAACCCTGAGAGCAAAGTCCTGGTTGATTTTCAGCACCGAGGTCAATTGAACGTACCAGGACTACAACCCAGAAGGAGATTGAGAGGCCGATTGCACAGTGTGAAACACCCGTCGTTGATGTCGTTGGCATGCTCTCCCTCTCCATAAGCCCGTTATTGCTGGTTATCCTTTTGATTTATGTGGATACATTTCCTAGATATTCCTAGTACTTTCATCGTCATCGCTATCGCTATGATCATTATCCATTCAAACATACTACACATATGACTGCATATTCCCACGATTCTCCTTCTCTCCATTCTATTCTCACCCTTATCATCATTACCTCATTACCACCATGTTTCTTGCCGTAATATCACTATAGACTATATCATTACCTCATTTATATACAATATTCCTACCGCATTCCTGCATCATTCCCAGCATCCACCATATGACGCAGGACTACCATTGTTGCCATATATAATACATATATTTATATATTGTATTAATGCCATCAGTACCATTATCGTAATCCTCATCATACCCTTACAATGAAATGGTACTGTAACTGCCATAATACCATTTTTTACATATGGTATGACTACCATTGTCACCAACACTAAAATCCGGAATCCTTATCCCATGGGAATATTGACATTTGCTTCCCATGTTATTCCTGCATTCCCACTATTCCTTAACACTATTCTGTCAGAACTGGACAGAACATTTGCACCATTTATCATTTATCTTCATATTTTAGTTTCAACCATGAAAACATGCTCGAAATCCAGGCTTTCCTATGGTTTCCTGTGTTTTTCCTTCTTCTAACAACATCTCCAAAAAGTAATTACTTTACTTTGAGTGATCCCCACCCTGACACTTATTTGTCGTAGTTCCTGACATATCATTTGGAAATACATATGGTATAGTCTTCTGACATTCTTGTCTGACATTCTATTCTGGTATTCTATCTAGCATTCTATCTGACATTCTATTCTGGCATTCTATCTGGCATCTATTCTGACATCCTATCTGGCATCCTTTGTGGCATCTATACTGACATTTTCTCTGGTTTTATCTGGCATATTTTCTGCCATACGTTCTGGCATGCTACCTGGCATTCTATCTGACATTCTATTCTGGCATCTATTCTGACATTCTTTTCTGGCATTCTATCTGGTATATCTTCGGAGATTCTTTGTGGTTGAGGTCCGGCGGGGAACACTCTGATCCGGAGCTCGCGGTTGAGGTCCGGCAGGGAACACTTTGACCCGGAGCTTGCAGTGGAGGGGGCACACTGATCCGAAGGTTGCTGTTGGGGCCCCGGCGAGGAGCGGAGGAAGGAGGAAGGAAGGAGGAGGCGGGCAGGCTGACAAAAAATCTAACAACCCTCGCCTGACAGGTGGGGAAAAAGTACTCGTAGCATCCAACCCTAAAACGGTAATTACATTGCTCAAACCTCTCCAAAACTGGCGCTAGGCACCTGGATGCGGCCCATGCGGCGGATGCCCAGGTCCTGCAAGCCATGGAGGAGGAGAAGGGCTCGGAGGAACGGGCCGAGAAACTGCTGGCGCCTTGGCCCTATAGAAAGTCACATATATATATATATATTATGTATATAATCATGTATAGCCTGTATATATGATTATATAATATTATATAGATGTAGGTATTTTTAAAATTTTCATATATAGGCTATATATCTATATATGAGTTGGAACCAGAAATCTGTATGTTTCTGGATCTTTTAGATGGTGTAGCTTTGCTGGAATGATTATGTTTTGAGACTACGATCAGACATCTACAGCTATCAGTTTGACCGCTTAAATTCAAGAAATCCAAAAAAAAGGTACAAGTCATAGATTCATAAGACATGAACAGATCTAGATCATTTCTCCCAGAATTGCTTGAAGGGAAAAGTTGCAGGAACCCCTTATTTTTGCTGGGAAACGCCATGGTTTCCTGTAGATTTTCCCTTTCAAAAGTATGTCTTCGAGGCCGTCGCGGAGCGCGATGCACCGGGCCTGCACGCGCTGACGAAGCGCTTCGAAGTGGAACAGCAGCGGTGCCAAGTGGTGAAGCGTTGCCGCGTGATGGAGTTGGGGCGGCCCAGTGGGAAGAATGGTGCCCGCACAGCTCGACCCTGCCATAAGGCTAATTCTCAGGATCTATATTGGGGGATGGTATTGGGTGCAGTTGGGTTACCCCTGTGGGTAATGTAAAGCCAACAATGAACACAACAGTAGTAGTACAAGACTGGTAAAACAGTGAGAAAATATGATAAGATACAAATCCACTGATACGATATACTGACCTCCTTTTGGTTGGGGTATGGTGATATTGATACCACTCCCAGCCCCACCGGGGCCAGGAACCAACTGGCAGAGAATTTGAAGCAACTGAAGGAAGATCATGCCCAGCAGGTTGGGGTTGGCACTACTGCTTCACGGCCCTACCCTATGTTTGGACTAGAATCTAGAATTGGCAAATGCTTTGGGCAACTCCAGGTTGCAACTCCTTGTGTAGATAATTAGATTAGATTGGAGTAGATTCGATTAGATCAGATCAGATTAGAATACATGCTTTCAGATTAGATTAGACTAGACTGGGTTGGATTGGATACTCCATTCCCGCCAGGTGTCGGCCGCAGCCTGCGCGTCGGAGACGGCAGCGCTGGGATGCCAAACCGCTTTCTCCCAGTTAGGTGGATTAACCCCTCTTATCCCACTAAACCAAGGATACCCTTGGATGTGGAAAAACGAGGGAAAAAGTCAACTATTGTCGAAATACTAGGGATGAAATTGTCGATCTTTTCGGGTGGGCCGAATATGATCATTTCCAGTAAACCAATTCGTCGAGCCCCATACGTCCATACGTCCATCAACTAAATATGGTTTCAAGCACAGTGCACCTGCATGTGGTGTTATAGATCATGATGTGCCAAACGGTTCTTCAGCAAAGAGATGGTACTCTCACCAATCCCTGAAAAGCCATGGAAAAGCCATGGAAAATCCATGGTTTCCTAAGGATTCTAGGACAAGTATCACCAATTATCATCAATTATCTACTGGGATACCGAGGCTGAGATCCCAGGAAAAGGTGGAGGCCGCCCAGCTGGAGTTGGAACGTCATCGGAAGGAGCTGCAAAGGAAGAAGGAAGAGGTGCAGCTCTGGGGAGATTCCGGAGACAGATCAGAAACCAGTGGCGCTGCAGACTCAGAATGGCTATTCCACGGCATTTATTCCACGGCATTTAGTCTGGTTTTGGCATGTTTTGGATGCGTTGCATGCCAGTCATCTGTTTTCAACATTCAACTTGTCCTGCGTTCAGGCTGAAGTGAAGGTGACTGAAATGGATCAGAAAGCCCAAGCAACGGGGATCTGGTCCCAAGAAGTTCGCAGCAAGTGCATCAGGTGGCCTTGGTGGAATGGGTAGGAGAGCTAGAGAATTTAGAGGCAGAAGTTTGTGTTTGCATGGTTTTGCAAGGAGAGGTTTCTTTGGACGGTAGAACTATGCGTCATGTCATGTCTCAAACATTTTCAAAAACTGAAAAAACATGTGTACAGATAAATTCAACCAAAAAACAAGTAAGGACTTGGATGACTTGGGTTGGAACCTCTCCGTTATTTATAGATGATTTCTGCATGGTACCCCCACCAGTCGACTGCCAGGATTCTCCAGATAGCCCGTGAGAAGCTGGCGGAGCAACAGGAGGCAACGAAGCAGGAAGAAGAGCTCGAAGAAGAACGAGCCAAGGAGAGATGGACTTCCTGGGAGGTTGGTGACCCATGGTTACCCTTGGTTCTTAGGTTTTTCAAACGTGTTTTGAAATGGCTTCACTTAGAACCCAATATATGGAGATACAAGCCACAAACTACCAGGACAATTGTGTAGGTTTTCAACCTGTGTATGGGTTTGTCCAGAAATGGGGATGGCCCATTTTACTGGCCATAAAATGATAGTGAACATGATGACGATCCATTGGGATTCTCGGGTACAGTACCATGTTTTCAGAACCGATGTGGTCAATGCAATACTGAACCAAGACCAATTTTACCATTTCGAGGGGTTGATAAACGCCAATTGCCTGGCTTTTCTCATCGGATTGACAACATTACATTGATTGCAACAAAGTGCAGAAGCAACACATTCTCTGAACATTGGGTAGTTGATGGTATGATGGGATTGTATGTGCCTGGTGGGATGCCAATCGACTTCGGGTACCAACATCTTTTTGGGTTCCAGATCCAAATCGTTTGAACTTGCAAGTTGCAGTAATGTCTGTCAGGGTTTTTCAGAACGATTTTGAGGTCTTCAACCAAACCAAACCTGTTCAACTTCTAAATGGTCGTCCAAGGTCTGAAGAAATCCGTGGAACCATGACCCTCACATACCTTCACTACCTGGGATGCTTCACCACAAGTTGTCAGTAGACCTCTGCCAGGATCGCATGGAAAGCACCACGCAGATGCTGAAGGAAAGGGAGATCTGGGCCGTGGTGGCGGAAGATGATTGTGCTGCCAGGACCCGGCCCAGCAGCCTGGGAAAGATGTTTTTACATGTTTTTACTTTGGAAAGGATGAAAGGATGGTTGAAATGTCCAATTTCCCATCCATTATTGCAGTTTTCTTCCATTTTCATGAGGCCTCCACTTTTCCAGCTCAATGTTCTGGCGATCCCAACTCTGACCTTCCAGGGCCCTCCGCAGGACCGCGCAGGCCAAGGCCGAAGCGCAGGAGGCGGCAGAGCAGGCGGCGCGGCGCGCGCGCTGGGCGCGGGAGGCGGAAGAGGCGGCGCAGCGGATGGCCATGGCGGAGATGGATGCGACCGGCAGGGAGATGGAGGATGGATGGGATATGGATGGGGAGGATGACCTGAGGATGATGATTTGATAGGATTGATAGGATTACATATATATATATAAATATATATATATGTTATATATATATACATATATATATATGGTGCCCCGCCACCCAAACCTACCTTTTTAATACTTTGATTGGTATTTGATTTGGTACGATGAGAGGCCACGGGATAGGTCACGCAGCCCCAGGAGAGAGCCTGGAACTCCCCCTGTCCCCCCCCACCAACCCCTCCTGCTGCCATCCCTCCGAATATTGGCAGAATGGTGCCGATGACTCCTCCGGAATTGCTGGAGCCGAGCCCGTGCACGCCAGAAAGTCAGTGAGGTATGAATTCAAAAATGCATGTTCTTCGTCAACCTTTGTAAATGATGCTGTTGCACATTGAATGCTGTGATTGTTACATTCTGACCTGTGCATCGAACACTGATTCTGGCACATACATTACGTATGTTCTAAGACCAGATCCAAACACGTCAGCGGCTCGGGAAAAATGAGTAATCAGCAGCTGTTTGTGCACGGTTTGACTGCTAACATAAGAATGAATATATATATATATAATATATATAATATATATAATATATATATTCCTATCCCGGTACTTATCTATATGTCTAGAATATTACTTAATAAAATGTCTGTCTGAAGCAAACAAGCTCTGCGCACTGAATGTCTTCCTTCATAGCGTTCATCCCAAATCCTTGCCACAGTTCTCAAGCTCATACATAGTGCACATACTTTCCTTCCTGGCCTTTCGACTTTGGCATGGCTGCCGTGGAGCTATCCTTCGCCGAAAGCTTCGGACATGAGCTCGGAGAAAGAGATGGGGCGTTGACCTTTGAGGAAGCGTGCCTACAGATTCAAGGCCAAAAACTCATCGGTCCACCCATGAAGCCATTGAAGGGAGATCGTGCTCCAGGAGATCTTCGTCTCATTGACCTTCCTTTGCGAGATATGTCTACCACATCCGGCACATGTGAGCAGTTTGTGGACATCATCCAAAATAATCTTTCTGAAGGCCCTCTCAAGGTTGACCAAGTATTCTTGGACACCAAGGTCTATCCACTCTGTGCGCAAAGCAAATACCGAGACCTGCCAGAGCCTTTCTGCCTCAAAACAGAGCTGACTGTGCCCTACAGCATGCAGTTCATCATTCACTTACGTGGACACCTTCAAGCATGTGTATTTGCACAAGAACAAGGTGTGGGCCAAAGACTTGATGGCGCATTGCCACGGCTTTCCTGTACGCTTCGAGTGGGGTAGCCAGACTCGCTTAGCATTGACAGGCTTGAATTTCATGCTTGATCGCATCGGTGGCATCCATGTGCGTTTGTGGTCCATTGCTCCCAAGTTCGAGAAAAAGTTGGCCCCAGATGCTCATGCTCGCCAAGCAGGCTATCACTTTATTCGTGACCATGGGCCTCGTTCCAACAACCGGAACCAGTTCATGGAATGGACAGACGATCAAATCCAAACACCAGGTGGGCCCCTTGAAGGATGGTCTGAGGGCAAAGGGAAAGAGGCACTCGACAACTAGGTAACAGCACCTGTAAGAGGCCGTGTCGGTGATGACATCACACAGTGCCGGGACGATGAGGGAAGTGTCCGAAACTGTAGTAATTTATACATTTTTATATTTCTGAAATAAATTTCTGGTGCAAATCCCTTGGAAGGGTCACTTCAACAGTGGAAAATCTCGTGTTTTACAAGCACGAAACAGGAGTTTTGTTCGTCGAGGGTTTCGCCGAAAAGTTCCTTGCTTCCTTTCAAGCACAAAGTTGTCCGAGGTTGTTCAGGACATTGCCTTTGACGCTCTTGCGCCAGACACCAGCATACAAGTACTTCCAATTTTTTCTAAAGTCTTGTCTGCAGTCTTTATGTGTATGCAACTGCCGGGGAACCCGTGTGTTTAACCCATCCCACTGTCTACCCCAAAGAAGAACCCTTTTTTGTGGGCTTCCTCCCAAGTGCTTCACAAACTCACCGCGGTTGTGGGCAACGTTTTGCCATTTGAGGCGTTTTTCTGGCACTTGTTGTTTGGAGGCCAGGGCAAAGAGCAATGAGTGGAAGAAGGTGCCTTATGTACGTGCCAGGGATGCTGTTCAACAACAACGGATGGACCGAACAGCATGGAAACGGAAGCTCGCAGACTTACTTCAAGCCACTGATGCTCAATTGATTCATCTACTTCGTGAAGATCGGCTTCTACATGATTGGACAGGCAAAACATGCCCTCGTTGTGAGAAAGGCACCTTCTCAAAGCCTCAGCTCATGCTTGGCACAGGAATGCCTTGACATCGGTGCAACTGCAAAGGCTGCCGGGCATACATCAACCCTCATCACCTACATCCAATCTTCGTTGATGAAAGAGGTACTGGAGCCACTCCTCTGCAAACACAGTCTGCTTTGCTCTTCCTGTTGCTCAATGGCATCTCGCACCCTGCCATCCATCGCATTCCATTGAGGACATGGAGAACAGGCTGAGCAGTCTTCGCAAACGTTGTGTTGAGGAGAAGGAGAAATCCATCGTCTTTGGCAATGGCAAGACTTGGACTGACGTTGCAGCAGATGAAGCTACTTTCACAAACACAGACTTGAAAGATTTGGCCCACAACCCTGCGCAGCCGATCATCTGGGAACAATGGTCCGGCATTGTTCAACAGGTGCTCCACATACCTTGGTTCTGACAAGGCTGACTCCCCAAACGTCTGCCCGGAGAGTACCTGGCCCGGGGGCGATCCGCAAGGTGGAGTGGAAACCGCTTGCTACCAAGCACTTGCGTGATCGCGCTGTCGTCCTTCACACAGATGCGGCCAAGTCTTACAAATTGAAGATGAGTGGTGTCCTGCACGACCATGTCCGGCACTGCAAAAAGCGTGTCAAAGTCAATGGCAAATGGGTGTGGAAATTGCCCACGTATGTTCGCATCACTACACACAAGGCTCCGAAGACCGGCCGCAAATCCAAGACCAGAGGGGGGACGCAAAGTGTCAACCGTGCCTGGCGCTTCCTCAAAGACAGGATTCATTTAAATCAGCACGGCCGGTTGGGGCCCCTTTGTTGCGAGCGAACATCCGCAGTGCTCAATATGAGTATTGGCACAGAAACGCTGATCTTTGGATCGAAAGCGGCACTCTTTGTGCCTGGCACATGGGCAAAACCTTGGCCTAATTTCCGTCGCGAAATCTGAAAAAAGAACCAGTGTCTGCAAATGCTGCTTACTGTCTGCCGGTCACACTACGATTCAACTTTCACAAAAATGCGTCATCTTCCCACACCCAAAACATAGTTGTCTGCACTTCTCTGCCTGACACACAAGACCAAAGGCATGAAAAGCATAAAAAAAATTAAAAAAGTAGGTTTTGGGGGGGTCAGCATATATATGTATATGTACATGTTATTTGCATAATCACAGATAAGTATATGATTGTTGCTATATTCTTGTGGTTGGTCCGATGCAGGAGATGGGTTGGGATGGGGGATGGATGGAGGGGGTCTTAGTGGTGACGGGATCATCCGCATATTTTCTTCGGAAGTCTTTGTTTTTTTTTCGTGTTTTATCAGTTTTATCTATCATCATTTATTTTGTGAACTATTCTTTGGGAGATGATGATGATGATGATGATGATGATCATGATGATGCTGGTGGTGGCAATGACGGTGATACTGAGACTGGTTAAAATATACGCAGGAAATTACATCCTTGCTTGGACTCTTGCCCCTTCGCCCACTTCCTCAGGAGACATGCGAGACACTGTGGCTCCAAACCGATGAGATGCGAAAGACCTGCCAGCAGCAGCAGCGGGAAGCAGCCGAGAGTGTTGGAGAAGTGCGAAGTGCTGTCACTGGACCGCAGGGTCTTGTGATAATTGAGAACCTCAAAGGAAACGATTCATCTCCATCTCTTGGCAACTTTCCTGGTTAAACTGTCGGTTTTGCTGGTCAGATCCCAAGTATTGATAGTAGCTATTCACCATTCTTGGTTGGTTATAAGTCAAATGTTCCCTGGTTTGGCCAACTCCGGAAATTGCATGGTCAATTGCCCCAGTTTTAGTCCTCAACATTCCCAAATCATCCCAAATATGTTTTCTTTTACATATAAGTTAGATCCCTTCCGCCCCTCCGCCAATCGTGGCTAGCTGGGAAATCCTCTAATGGAGGTTTCAATGGGAAAATCCTCCAAGTAAATGGTGTTTTTTTTCCAGCAAGTCATGGAGATTACTCAATAGTTGGTTAGTCATATCATATCCCATTCATATCCTATAGTAATCTCCCATTCATTTCCCATGGGGATAATGCATGATAATCCCATATCCCAGATCAATGGCATATGGGTATATACCATATTATCCCATATTATCCCATATTAAACAGCCATGGCATGGTAAAACACCATTGAATCCCATGAATCATCCGAGGTTTCCCAGGCCCTTGCCGCGGCTCGCGCGCGCTTAGCCTCCATCCAGTCCTGCGCGGCCGGCGCGGCCAAGGACGTCAAGCGAGCGCAGCGGGAAGAGCAACGGGCAGCCGAAACGTTGGAAGAACGAGAGATGCTGAGCTGAGGTATGGATGAAATCAGACAATGTCAATGTATCAACAGTTGATGTATGTTTATATATTAGTTAATAGTAAAACAAGAACTAATGTTTTTTCTCTATGGTTTAGCTGAGGTGAGACAAGATGAAATTCGCAGAACCAAGCATTTTGTCAGATGAAGCGCGTTTTTTTTTTGTGTACGCTAGCCATTGGGATTTTCAAATGATTCGGATTTAACAATCAAACATTGGGATTTGACCATTGAACAATTGTGGGATGTAGGATGAACATCTGCCGGCTACGCGGTTCTGCAGTCAATGCCAATTTTCTGGTGGTTCTGCAATATGGGTTTTGTACCAGCTCGCAGCCTGGATGGAGAGCACTATGTGTACTTGTAGACTGTAAATTGCCTATTGATAGTGTTTGTCTCCGTAACACAGCAGACAACCTAACTCGGTATTTTGCCCAGCAAAAATTTGAACAATCGGTAAATGTGTGCAGCCAAAAGTTGGACTTCTTCGCTGGATGAGCTGGGTTGGCCAACTGTGGCATGCCTCCCAAAGGATGCAAGATCTTGGAACTGTGAAGGGCCCGCCAGTCCTATCTGGTTTTGTATCACTTCACTGGACATAACCAAGTTCTCATTGGTTGCAGGGCCGGACCACTAGGGACCATGTGGCTCGCCCAGGATCGACTTTATCAGCGCTGTGGACGAACTGGTGGCTCGGCTCTCCAAAGGGTTTGGAACTTGGGGGAGCCAGTACTGCATTGCTTGCTGATAGTGGCTACATTTGGGTATGGGTCAATACCTATAGATACATTTTTAGTGGGATGAACATCCATTTACCAGCTATTTTGGGGTTCACTAGGTACCAGGGTTTTGACCCATCCCCATTTGAAAATACGGAATACGTTCCTGTCGTCTATTGTTGGTTCCATTCCCCATGAGAATCTATGATTCTGCCATGAATGTCACCGTAATGTTTTAGCTGTCACCACCCTCACCAAGGGTCATGGTTTCTTCCTTGTTTCAGAGTGGAAAGAAAAAAAAAACGGCAGGAAAATGCACTGGAAACCAAAACACTCCATGGCTGAAACCATTGGATTTCCGCTCAAAAAAACCACCCCAGTGATGATTCTTATTGGTGGTTCTCATCATCGTTGTTTATTTGGGTACCAAAAGCCAGCCCAAAAATTGCTGAAAGTTAGAGTCCGATTTGGGTGTGATTGAACATGGGGTATACCGGTATACCCTCGGAATTTCCATTTGCAGAGGGAAGACGAGGATAAGCCACATTGACTAGTTTTAGAACTATCTCTTCATTAGATCATCATTTCTCCCAATTAAAGGACAGGACCCATATATTCACCCCGCTTCGCGTGGGGTGGCCGCCCACACCGCAGGTTTATTTAGGTCCGTGAGAGGGGCTAAGGGTGGTTTTCCCCCGTGGGGGCTCCCCAAGCTAGGGAATTTTCACTTTTCCCCCCCGTGGGGGCTCCCCAAGCTAGGGAATTTTCACTTTTCCCCCCCGTGGGGGCTCCCCAAGCTAGGGAATTTTCACTTTTCACCCCCCCGTGGGGGCTCCCCAAGCTAGGGAATTTTCACTTTTCCCCCCCGTGGGGGCTCCCCAAGCTAGGGAATTTTCACTTTTCCCCCCCGTGGGGGCTTCCCAAGCTAGGGAATTTTCACTTTTCCCCGCCGTGACAGCTTCCCAAGCTATGGAATTTTCACTTTTCCCTCCCTTGGAGGCTCTCCAAGCTGCGGAATTTCAAATAGCTAGACAACGACGCCTAGATAGTCCCCCAAATCCCGTGTTCTTTGAATGTGTTTCCATGTTTTTGCAATGGTTTCCTTCAAAGCACGGTACTTTACACTTTTGTCGCCATAAAACCGGTCGAAAACATCATGTTCGACAATGCTTCCAATTCCCTTATCTCCCCAACCGTTGAAAATACCGCTATTTACAGTGTTTTCTTCAATTTTTCCATGTTCCAATGCCGGTAGCCAACTCCAACATATATATAAGAAATCCTTCCAAAACATTGTTTTTGACAGTGTTTTTCCAATGTTTCCAGTCAAACAGACGGTAATTTACACGTTTTTTGCCATAAAGGCAGTAAATCCTTCCAAAACATTGCTTTTGACAGTGTTTTTGTAATGTTTCCAGTCAAGCATACGGTAATTTACACGTTTTTTGCTATAACGTCAGTCCAAAACACTTGTTTTTGCAGTGTTTTCAATGCTCTGGCATCCAAAAACCCTGCAAAATCTTGCTATGTACAATGTTTTTTTTCATTTTTGGCCGTTTTTCCATTGCCGGAAAGCTACCAAAATGACCCAAAATTCCATTTCAATACCCTCTTGCGCTCAGACACCCAAAAATCCTCGAAAAATGTCGAAAACACCACCGTATTCTGGTCTCGGTGCGAAATTCTGGTCTCGGTGCGAAACCGTTTTTGGGCCCCCCCCCCCCAGCTAAAGCTGATATAGCGACTGCTATATTAACAAATGTCATTGAGCATTTAGTGTTGCTGTTTTGCCCCCCAATAAGCACGCCTTCACCGCCAAAGCGGTGTGGGCGGATTTTTGTTGGTTAAATCAGTTACCCTCTGGTTATTTAACATCGCCATGGAAAATGGCCCATAGAAATAGATGGTTTACCTATTAATAGCATGGTGATTTTCCATGGCTATGTTAAATAGCCAGATGGTAAATCATCATCATCCGACATACCCTCTGGTAAACTAACATAACTATGGAAAATCACCATTTTTAATGGGAAAACTCACTCAGTTAAATCAGATTAAACCCACCATTTTTGTTGCCGAAGACAGGAAAAAGCCGAACTCCAGAAGACCTGCAGCGTCTCCCGCTGTGAAGAGCTGCTGATGGCTGCGGAGCAGTCTTGTGCGCAGCAGCTCGGAGCGGCCTGGGACGAAGCGGAACGAGCCAAGGTCCAGGAGGCCGGGCGAATCAGAGATATCTATGGTTTATAATGGTGAATACTAGTTATTAATAATTAGAACATTGGTTATAACCATTATAACCATGATAGATTATAACATTAATAATTCAATAGATAACCATATGGTTATGAATATATCATAATATCTATATGATAATATCAATGATAGCCATAATCATGATGAATATCTATATGATTAGCTATAGTCTATGGTTAGTAATGGTTAAGAACTGACAATCATGGTTCATATCCATGATTATGACATGATTACCTATGACTATTTGGGGACTTTCTGAAGTCATGGGGGGATCCCCAGTCGTCACCGTTGTTCCAAATCCTTGGAGCGCGAGGAAGATCGCGCCTCCAGGGCCGAAGAGCTGGCTGAGACGCTGGAAGGTCATGGGGGAAATGCAAAAAGGGCTGGCAGAGTTTGTTTCAATTTTTGTTATCTCCATAGCTTTAGTGATGAGTCTCTGACATCAATTTGAAGTTTCTAGATCTACCATGACGTATGGGGATGGGTCAAAACCTATTGGTATCAATTTTGATGGGATGAATGATGAACATCCATTTACCAGCTGTTTTGTGGTTCACTAGGTACCAGGGTTATGACTCATAGACATATCTACGCTTCATATATAGACCATGTCATACCGCATCCATATCTTGGGCATACCATTCCACCAGCTGTGGCAGGTCAAGCGCTCTGTGCTGAGGAGGTCGCAGCCAGCGAGAAGTCGAGTCAAGTGCAGCGCTTCCAACGTGAAGAGCAGCGGATCCGCACTGCGGTGCCCTGATGGAAAAATGGGGCTTCCACCATGGCGGATGTGGCTCAAAGTTGGGAACCTATACAAAAACCATCAAACACCAGAGGAACTATGATGAAGTCTTCGATTTTTTTGGTGGGCATCCTAGTTGACCTCTGCCCAAATCCCCGTATTCCTCTGACTACCCTGTTTTATGGTATCACATTGACTTTTGGTATGTCAATATGTTGGATTTAGAGCTGGCAACATGGTGAATCATGGCACTTTGTTGGAGAAAATATCGCCACCTAGGTGCGGGAAGCATCACATCGCACGGTGAATGTGCAGGACGGGGTGGCGTTCAGCAAGAGAGACCTGGGATGTTGAATAGAAATCCTTCCCCAAAAACGCGCAGAGGACGGCTGGCAAAAGGAAGGGCTATGATGCTATGATGTTGAAATAGTTCCATATTGTTCCTACATCATCCCACATCAAGTCCAGCATCATTCAGTTATCATTCCCAGTGCTTCATCGTGCTTCCAAGCCTATCTGGATTGCCACCATGGGCAGGAGGCGATTCATGAGGCGATCCATTACAGCCAGAAGAGCCTCGATGAGCTCTACAGTTACCTGTACAGCATGGGGCAGAATTCCGCTGTGACGCCCTCGCCTTCGTTGCCTGGCAGTGGATGGGAGATCTTGGGAAATCTTGGGAGTCCCTATGACTTGGATGTGATGGGAACTTTCGCTGCCCGGCGCCATGGGGAGTGGGAGTCATCGCCATATTTGTATATATTTGTGCCATATTTCTGCCCGGAACAGTTGTGGATGCCTTTTACCATCTTTTGCGGCTCTTGAGGCAGAAAGGCAAGGGGTGCCCCAAGTGCAACGTGATCTACACGCCAACTTCAAGCTACTGCCAACAGCAGCTCGACATGCTGTTTCCAAGGATTTGGGACGGATTCCCTGCACAAATGATATCTATCTCTGCTGTGCGATGCCGTGGCCCTCAGTTCATGGAAATCCTCATCTCTGAATAGAAAAGCACCACGTTTGTCGGTCTTTTTCTGTACGGATCAAATCCACCAGGTCACTTAAAGGTATTTCCTACATTCCAAAACTGAAGTTGCATCCAAGCAGCATCTTCTTTCCATTTCTTTCCATGTCTTTCCTTTGAACTGCAACGTTTCCCCCAGGATCCCCCGGCCCCCAGCCCCGCCCAGTTGTGGTGAGAAGTTGGAGCGTCAGCCGCCTGCGAGCTGCAGCCCGTTGCGTCCGCCACGAATTCGGAAGATCTGCAGCCGTTCCTATGGCCGCGTGAGGAAGTCGCGCTCTCCCGGCCTGAGCTTTCCAAGGAAGGCATGAATTCATGGAAGGGACGGCGAAATTCGGAGTGATTGATGATTGCAGTAGAAACCTGGTGAAAATTGGTGAAACATGATTTGAACCATGAACAATTTTATGGCTGCTGTGGATGCGAAGATTCAAATGCTGACTGAGTCAATCAAAGTGACAGATTTTTCATGGACCGATTTCCAATCTTGGATCCCATGACAGCAGCGTGACGTTCCGGTCGTGGAAAAAGTAGGCACGCAACGGTCTCGGATTTACCTAAAGAATTCCAGGAAGACTTTGTGTCGACTTTCAACACATGTTGGATTTCTGACTCAAGTTCTCCTGGAAAGTTGTTTTCAGAATCATTACTTCAGCCCAAAGTATGCGTGAGGTTCGACCGGTGTCAGTACAGTGGTTGGTTCCCGACACATCTTTGTGGCTGGTGGTTTCAAATATTTGTGTGTGTTTGCCGCTTTTTCATTGCTTCTTGAAACGAAGCGACCCAAAGAATTCTTTGGATTGAAACCACATGAAACCACTGCCCAGTTTGCCACGATCGTTTTCAGCCCGAGAAGCTGTTCCCTTCCCTGCCAGCGATGAGCGCTGCTCACTGCCGGGTCAGAAGGCGTTGGAGGTTAGAGAGCCAGTTTCAACGGGGCACAAAAACGGGGCAGAGTTCCGCAGGGGCCGCAGGGGGATGGTTCGGACTGTTCGGACTTCCACTTGGCCTCTGGCAATCTCAACTGGCGGGGATATCCACTGTTTGACCGTTTGTAGATTCATTTTAATTATAGATTTGGGATTGCCATCACAAGTTTAGATTATCATTTCTGAATTCCGTGATTCAAGCAGTGTAGGATGTCCACAGAAGGCCCCAATGGCATGGCCACATACGCTGCAGGGCATATTGGCTCAGCCCTCTTTCGTGACCGTTGACCCAGCGACCGCATCAGCGATGTCCTTGAAACTTCAAAAGCGCCTGGCCGCATCCCTCTTGGGATGCGGCAAAAAACGCGTGTGGTCCACCGCCCAGCGATCCCAAGAATTGAGCTGCTGCAGAAACTGCCATTTTGATCTGAGAAAATTGACAGAAGCGCCTTAGACATGGCAAATCCCATGGAAATCCCATAGTTTATGATGGCCCAGGATGGATCCCAATGAGACCAACGAGCTGTCTATGGCCAACTCCCGCTTCAACATCAGGCGGGTCGAGACGATTTTTTGTGCAAAACTTGGGTCCTTTCTATGCTTTCTATGGCCATAAATTGCCCAGATGATCCCGATTGGGGGATGGTTATCCATCCATTTTCACCCATTTTTCGAGGTATGGCCCTATGGTGGGATGACCGTAAACCGCGTAAACCGCGTAAACCGCGTAAACCGCCAGGAAGCTGATTAAGGATGGCCTGATTATCCGCAAGGCGAAAGGGATGGCTTGTGCGGAGGGATTTTCTACCAAAAAACACGAGTGAAATGACACGAGATGATGATCATATCATATCATCTAATATCATCTATGAATCATATGTGCAGATTCCTGGTTGTCTCCATGGAAGACTCCAGCTATTCTCAACTCATTGGGCCCCCTGGCCAATGCCGAATCGCAGGCCGTGACCATGCATTCCCGCTCGCGCGTGCGCAAGAACCTGGATGCCAAGCGTAAGGGTCGCCACATGGGCACCGGAAAGCGCAAGGGAACCCGCGAGGCGCGCATGCCGACCAAGGTCCTGTGGATGCGACGCCAGCGTGTGCTGCGACGTTTGTTGAGGAAGTACCGACAGCAGAAGAAGATTGACAAGCAGCTGTACCACTTCCTGTACCGCCATGCCAAGGGTCACTTAGCAACAGTTGTAGTATTGTAGTAACCCCCCAAAAAGATAGTAACCATATGTAACATTATGTAACCACCATTTTAGGATTGGATTTTATTTTTCTGTCGTTTTTTGGACTTACTATTATTAATTAGATACTTTGAGCATCTTTAAGCATCCTTTAGCGCTTTGGAGTGGCAGTCACCGGCAGTCACCATGGGACACCTCCCAAGCTTCATGATCTCTGAGAGATGATAGGTGCTGATGGGGTTGTACTCAAACGCATTTTCATTCACTTGACACAAGCCTTCACTCAAAATGACCAACAGGTGGGTCCCATCTATGTCCCATCATTCAGAAAGTTGCACTGCCCAGGTAACGTCTACAAGAACAAGCGTGTGCTGTTGGAGGCCATCCATGCCAAGAAGACCGAGAAGATGAAGGAGCCGATGACTACGACAGCCAGGGATCAATTTTTTGAAGACCCGTTGTGCGGAGGATTTTGAGAATTTGGATAGTAAATAGCATCCGATTTTGGGGCCCAAGTTTGACCCACATCAACGTGGGCGAGAATTTGAGAGATGTCATTCCCTACAAACTCGCAGATTGTAACAGACATGTTTATTTTTTTTGGATATTTTTGGAGTGTCCATGCTTGAAACTGTTGGGTGGACATCCTGACTTGCAAATCTGGCACCCCCGACGCGTTGAGCAGCTGCAAGGTGGTGTTTTCGATAGGTCTATCCAAAAATGTGAAAGGGGCCCCAACCAGGACGGCTCAACAAGAAAGTTCCCTCACTGTTGATCAATCTTCCGAATCTTTCTTGGTGTCTATCTTGTTGGTAGGGGAAATGGTGATTGAAGCTTCACTTTTGCCGGTGCAACCCCATTAAACCCATTTTATTCTTGGTAACATTCCTGTAGATTCCCAGTACACTGTTCATTTACAAATCAATTTATGGTATCTCCATAAACATCCATCAACCATCCAGAAATCATCCATTCCCATGAGAACAACCTACGCTTCTGTCGTAGCAAAAAGCGCCCCCCGGGACCCGCCAGACCCGGCGCCAGGAGAAGGCCCTGCAGGAGCAGAGCGAGGCACGAAAGGAGAAGGCGCGCTTGCAGAAGGAGAAGAAGCTGCAGCCACTTGGCGCTGCTGGAACTGCTGGAACTGCTGGAACTGCTGGAACTGCTGGAACTGCGGGAACTGGGAGATGGGTTTACCTGAAAATATAGATTATGTAAATATTAAGCACCAAAAAAGATAGAACAGTTCAATTCCGAATCTAAAACAGTGACAATTATTGCTTTTCGATCTTTTTGGGAGATACTATACCCCCTATTGGGAGATACTATACCCCCTAAATCCCCATTTAATGATAATTTTCGATACTAAAGTTATAGTGAAGTAACCATGACTGGAGGACATCTCATTTTCAGACACCCAGATATTTTTTGTTCCCTGGGAATTGGGGGTGGATCGCTTTGGGGCTGCGCTATACGTTCCCAACTGAAAATAAGCAATGTAATTTGAGATGGTTCATCATTTTCAAGGGATTGGAGATGGTTTGGAGCAAGGAATGTTGGGTGGGCGGTGGGTGGAAAAGAAGGATGACATGCGGGACCAAATGGGGGATATCACCAAAAAAAGTGGGGGACAGTATACACACCACAAGGGCAGGGAGATTGCAGGTCTGCGTGTCTTTCTTCAAAGTTTTCCAACGATCTCAAAAGACAGGGGCAGAACACGGGGGATATTGCCAACGAAGTATTTCTGGCTGTATCATGAGGCATGATCAAAAATGAATAAACTGAAGTTCTTGTAGGGAGAGCCAGCATCCTCTGCCCATTTGAAAACAGATTTAGAATTTCATAGCCGTCCTTTTTGCCATTGGTTGCATTGACTGCATTGACTCATAGAGTGGTTACAGTACCAACTTTGAGAACCAACCGTTATACATTGTGATATAAATGCATCTGTCGATGTCTGTGGTACCTCCCCAAAACTGCCCACTTTTTTTCGGGAAAAGCTGGGGAAAATCGGAATCTGTGGATCAATTCGCATCAGCCGGGCCCAGGAAGAAGGCGGATGCCGCTCGTACCGAGGAGGAGAGCGGCTGGCAGCAGCAGAAGAAGCGCTGAGCCGGGCGAGACCTGTGCCCTGGATCGTGGCCGTTGGGGCGCTGGGAGGCTACCATCTAAATCTGGAAAAACATGAGCTGAAAACTGAAAACAAGAGGAATTTGAGTGAATTTGTAGACACATTTCTTTTGATCCCCATCTTGGTGGGGCTGGTTCTCAGGTCTCCACAACGCAGATGTTCTGAGCGGTTCGACTTGAGATTTCTGACTGGGCACGCACTGAGCCAGTAAACGTGCGGAAAAAAAGGCGGCAGCTGATGGCAGAAGGTGGTCATTCTGTTGCATGATGTTCATTTTGATGATTGGATATATTGGATGAGTGTCAATGTTCGTTTTCTCGCCCACGGATGCGTTGGTGGACGCGATCATCCGCCCTGAATGGTGCGATAACAAGAATTCGGGGACCCTTCGGCTGTAGCGTTTTGCTTGCGAAAGCTGGCTGCCCCTTATGATCTGCAATAAAAAAGCAAACAAGCAACGACAAATTCGTCTCAGCAAGCCAAACAGGCCAATTCATTTGGACGCCAAATAGCTCCCAAGGTGTACGTAGTATGTTATGTAGCCTCTGGTAAACTGTCCCATAACTGTGGAAAATCACCATTTTCAATGGGAAAACTCACTATAAATGGCCATTTTCAATAGCTATGTTAGTTTACCAGAGGGTATGTTGTAGTCTTATTCGCACAAGCTCAACGCAGAACCAGACATTCTCGACATCTATCGAACATCATCCTGGGAGATCCATGTTGCGACGCGGGATTGCCATTGACATCCGACTAAGCTGGCTGTTGCCGCTACCATGTGATAATGCCCAATGGCAATGATGATCCTGACCGACTCATATGATTGGGTTGAAACATATTGAAAAGCTGGAACATGAATGCTGATGACGAATCGTTCCAGCCCATTCGGAGCGTGGCTGCATGTGATTTTTCATATCGCATGATGGTTTAGTTGTGGAGTTGCTCATTGCGCTTCCATGAATTTAGGGTAAAAAGATGTAAAAAGCCCGTTCTATGATGTGGGTCGGATCTATTTGTATGATTTCGTACGAGGTTAGTCAGTCTTCTTTATCCGGACCTTCCGAAACCTATTCGAACATTCCAATCACTGCCTGTCTACACAAGTGCTTCCGCGTTGTCGTGCGGCCGAAGTACAGCAAGTATAGAAACGGGAACGCAAACGTAAATTGTAGTATGGCTGGCGAATTGCCAATGTACCAATTTCCAATCCTATCTTGTCAGGTGTACCCAAGAGCCTTTGCCTCTATATCTATATCCTCTATGCCAGAGTCTCTATGCCTTCCCCATGTCCTACTTGTGTTTACCATTCGTCCTCTCCGTCCTTGACACCCGTGTCCCTCGTTGATTCATATCCACCTGCCCAAAGTTTGATTTGCTTTCCCAAAATCAGAATCTATGAATCTATAGCTCAGGCATGCCCAATGCTCAACCGCAGGGCCAGCCATTCGCATGTTGTCGGAACAAACTGGAGCTCCAATTGTCCAGGCGCCTTCTGGGAGTCCAGGCCCTTTCACCTCACGTGCTGACTCGACCCAAAGGTAACAACTTTGAAATTATCATAGGCATCATGCTATGACATTATGCTATACCAGCTCTAGAGGTTATACCGGGCACACCCAGTTTGCGTCTTTTCCTTCGACATCTAGGTTGAATTATTAAAAAAACTCTTGCATTTTTAGTCATTCTTCAGACTCACGGCACAGCAGGGATTCCGGTGAACTATTCAATGCTGTTCATTAGTTGCATCTTTTCCTCTGCCTCGTCCTCGAGCGAAGTTGGCCAAAGGTGGGCCAGACTGCAGGCTGCACTACAGTTTTTTGCTTCAACCTACTTCAGTTTCCCCTTGCTCGCTAGTTTCAATTACAACATGTTACAGCATATGTTACAGAGACCTGCTGGGTTGCATCCGGGCCCAGGGCACGTGCAGATTGCAGCAACAAACAGCTACCGCCCTTCAAATATCAAAAAGCAGAGGCCTCGTCACCATCACAATGTTCATCAGCATCAACATCATCAGCATTCTAATCTTCATCTTTTTATCCCCACCATCAACATCACCATCACCACCACCATCATCACCAGCACCACTATCGTTTTCATCATCATTGTCGCGGCAGCCGGAGTCCTCACAATTGTGTCCTCTTATCCCCACCTGCCAGGTTTTTCCAAAGTGCAATTCCTTCACTCACTCCTCCATTCCTCCGCTGCTCCATTCCTCCACTTCCTCTTCCAGTCCCTTCTCCACCCCCTCCCCCACTCCCTCCTCCATTCCCTCCTCCACTCCCTCCTCCATTCCCTTTCCCACATCTCTTACCTCACACCTCGTACCTCGCCTTTTGCCAGCCTGTTGTCATTAGTTGTGAGCAGAAACTTATGGCGAACTCCACGTCAGTAGGGGCACACACGGACCCGAAGCCAGAGCATTCCGGCTCAGCCTGGGTGGGCGCGGGCCTGAACCCTATTGCGAGCCACAGGTGGCCCGAACATATGTCACCAAGAATGCCAGGTAAGATGCAAAATAGGTCTCAGAAAAAATGCCAAAGTGGATGCCAAACAGAATGCCCGAAAGAATGCTAGATAGAATGTCAAAATATATGTCAGATAGAATGGCGGAAGGAATGTCATAAGACATAAGAGATATCAGATAGAATGTCAAACCGAATGCCAGGTGTAGTGGCGGAATGTCAGATAGAATGCGAAATAGAATGTCAATATAACAAGTGCCAGATGAAATGGTAAAATATGTAACAAATAGGACAGCGGAAGGAATGTCATAATAAATCTCAAATAGAATGCCGGATAGAGTGGCTTGAATTGAATTGAATTGAGCCGGTTTGAATTGCATTGAATTGAGTTGACATGAATTGAATTTTATTGACTTGAATTGAATCGAATTGAAACCGCCTGCCGCAATTTGCGGCCCGTATTAGGCACAGGCGTGACACAAATAAAGGCACTGAAGAGACACACCTCTAACTGCGAATAGCGAACTCCCAAATTCAGGACACAAACTCCCACAGGGTTCGGCATCGAACGCTTCGACCTTCCAATCCTTCAGTCGTGCTTCCAACGGCAAAACTGTTCAACCAGCCTTGCCCCAGTCTATGTTTCAATGGATAGAACAATTGGAACTTATTAACTGCATTAATTGCTATCAGGTGCTAGCAGCTGCCGTGAACCACTAGTAAAGTGGTTCCTTGTGAGTAACATTGAGTAACTATTGTTTCAGTTGGTTGAAAAATTGTTTCCATTTCCTTCACAAATGTTGATTTTCAAATATAGAAAGCAATGTCAGGTGGGGTTTCAAATAGGGCAATTACTTTTTCAAATAAAACAATATTTGGTGTTCAAATGAAGCAATATTTTTTCAGATAAGGACACTGAATATAGATAAAAGAACAATAACTAAATGAAAAAAGGAGTAAATAAATAAACATCTGTTCAAAAATTGCGCGAATGGATTGCAAATGAGGAATTGCATCGTTTCAACCAACTTCAAATGCAAACAAATCGATCAATTTGTTGTTCGAGGATGTAAACTCAAAACTGTTATGGCAAAAATCATCCAACATCTATTTGTTTGAAATCTCCTAATGCCTTCCCGGATATTTCCTTATCCTTTTGAATTGTTGCTTGTGCCTGCGCTGCTTCCCGACCATCCTGGGAACGGCGCCTCCATGGCTTCCTCTTGTCAAGTCCATCTCCCCTCCCGGATGCCTCCCTGAGCCTAGCGCTTGCGCGTGAACGCGCCGGAAAAAAGAAGCGGAGGAAAAATGCAAATTCAGTTTCAATGAACACGGTATACTAAAGGTTTGCAGCTGGAGAATGTTATTGGATGTTGTTGGCAACGAAGTAAGGGGGAGAGTGTTTCCAACCAATTTTACCACACCACCATGTACCTACCTGCAAGAAACGTTTCTGGTGTTGCCACTTCCTGGCACCCAGGCGAATGCAACAGTTTGAAACTTCTGCAAATCGCAAAGCAATCGTGGTAGTGGACGGGAATGCCAAATTGCACCAGCGTGGCTTTGTAGGTTATTCAAACGCCTACTGCGTGGATACAGCCACCGCCCACATGGCAAGGACATCTTGAGCAAAAGACATCCTCCCGGCCGTGACAAACAACTTCCTCCCCCAAGTCGACCGTCCCTAGCATTTCGGCACCGCCTCGAGTGCCTTGAGCGCGAACTTGTTCAGCAACTCCGTTGAAAATAAACTGTGGGATTTGAGTCCTGGATTCGCATTTTTTTGTTTTTTTTTGTATGTTTTCACTATTTTTCATGTTGCTGAGCATCAAGGTTGTCAGAAGGATGTTCATTCCTAGTTTTTATTTGCGGTTTGTTTTTGTCGTCAAATTTCCCTTCGGGTAAAAAAGATATGTTGTTGCAGAGCGTTTTGTAAGCTGTCAAAATGAAATCCCGCGACCAAAAAAAAACGCCAGAACGCAGTAAAAAATGACAGCCAACTTGTCATAGTACAGACGGGGCAGGGATGTCCAACTCCGCAGACGGGGGTGGGGTACAAAAAATGAGAATTGCAGATGTTGGGTCAGCAGGCGAATAATCTCTTCCCCCTCTTACTAAACCCCGTCCAATTAGTAAGAACTAGGGTCCGTCTCCAATTTTGGAAAATTTGAGGTCTGCCAATTTGATTTTAAATTGATCCCCTCTAAAAAACAATTTAAACATGAAACTACCATTTCAGGGTTTCACCCCCTAATAATTAAAACTAGTCAACCCCGGGGTGTTTTTTATTGAGGTCCGCCTTTTAAGATCGAAAAAACGTATTTCAGACAAAATTAGGGGACGATTCGAAATCCAAATTTTGGCAATATTGTAATTACATTTTGAAAGGAAGTATAATCGATTTTGGAATAGAACAAAGCACTCTTTTATACTAGGGTTTTAAATCTACTAATAGGGGGAAGTTTCGAAATTTAATTTTTGGCAATATCTTAATGATTTTTAAAAAGGAAATCTAATCGATTTTGACATAATTTAAAGTTTTAAATATGGTATTAGGGGGAACCCAAATAAAAAATACCCTATAATGATAAAAACTACATGAAGTGTTTATTATTTTGGGGGGGTGGGCCGGGGTTTAGTATTACGGGGAGAGGATTAGGTTGCAGAGTACGACAATAGGAACGTTGCAAAGACGCAGTTGGAGCGGGCATGTAAACGCAATCTCGGGCAGAGAGAAAGGGGGGATGCAAAAAAAATAAAACTTGCAAAAACCACATGTTGACCCAAAATCCGCTTCCAACTGTCAGATAGGACAAAACGGCATGTTCCCAAGGAAACTGGATGGAGTGATCCTGCGAAACAAGAGACTTCTTGTCGTAAACAGAAAATGACACGAAGGACTACACAACATCACTGCGCGTGCCTGCTACATCCAACCGGCTGTTGTCAGAAAAACAGACACGGCAGCTGTGAAAAAATCCGATAACAGGTAATCAGCGTGTTATTAGAATGCAAGGCGACCAGACACGAAACATAGGTACGAAGAGTTGCGCATGACGGTATCCAACAAACTGGTGCACACCCGCGGCTGCCATCAGAAAAAACATTCGTCGTCATTGCAGCACCTCCAATTTTGCTTGTCGCGTTGTTTTTTGCAGATCCCCTTCAAACGTCCTACGCCCGTCATCGTTTGTACGATGGCTGTAAGCCCCACACGTTTGGTTCACTTTTGGCAAAGCGCACAGTCCCTTGCGCCTGCCACACAAGACAACGCTTGAATGTCCAAAAGTGGTCGGAATGTGGTGTGCTTTGCGTATTTTGACTTCGAAATGTGCTTCGCGCCACAACAACGTGCATTTTTTCAACATATCAACTTCCGAAAAGTGCGCCGAAACGGAGGCGTTTTATACGGTTTGATTTGGAAACGTGTTTCGCGCGGGAACCCCCTGACTGCACGCTTCATCGTTTGCATTTCCACTGCTTTGAACACGTGGTGTTTATGCTCTGCCGCTGCAGGGCGCCGAAGAGGGGTGGTGCTTCAAGGTGCTGCTTGCAGGCGTTGCTGTCAAAGTGGCGTGTGCGGTCTGGAGCGGGCACGCTGGTCCCGCTGCAAAGTGCTGCTGCCGGGTGCCGGCGCAGGGTGCTGCTTGAGGGTGGCGCTGTGAGAGTGGTGGGTGTGCTTTGGAACGGGTACTGGTGCCGCTGCAGGGTGCTGCTACGGGGTGCCGCTGCAGGGCGCCGTTGCAGGCTGCTACTTGGCTTCAAAGTTGATGGTGATGCTCATGGTGCTGCTCTCAGTGGCGTGTGCGCTTTGGAGCGGGCATACTGCAAGTACCGCTGCGAGGTGCCGTTGGAGGGTGTTGTTGTCAGAATGAAAGAGATACTTTGGAACGAACATGCTGGTGCCTGCGCAGGGTGCTCCTGTCAGAGTGGTGTTGGTGGAGATTGCGTTTATGCCGTCGTAAAAAAGGCGAGCGTTTGGTTGCCATTCAAAAAATATGTTGTCCTATTTGGGGCCTTTGTTGGCGTAATTAGCATTTTGACTCGGAATGTGTTTTGCGCCACCCGGCCGTGCATTTTTTCGGGTTTCAATTTCCCAAGTGTTCCAAACCAGTGGTGGTGTTTTTTTATTTAATTTTTTTACTTCCAAAATTGCTTGTCAACATCCGAAACGAAAGTAGAAAACTCGGTGCTGAGGTGGCAGCCTCGTACATCCCCGTACCAAAGCGTTTTGTTTTTTCCAATCCCATTTGTCTAAAGTATTGTGTTTGTGACGAAAAAGGGAAGCCAAGGCATACGAAGTGCTGCTGCTGCTGCTGTTGTTACTTGTGCTGCTGCTTTTGGGCAAGGCGCGGTTTTTGGGCAGAGAACCAAGAATTTGTGAAAGGGCTGGAAGCTGCGCGGAAGAAACCAAAAGCATCAGAAGATGACCTGGAAAAAAAAATCGCTCCGATCAGCGGTGTGCCATGGGGAAGTGGATGAAAGGGTTGATTGGCATGAAACTGAATTCACCACAGAAACCACAGGACTGCAACGTCGATCACATCCAAATTTGTATGTTGGAAATGCCATGAAACTTGGTGTGCCATGCGGAGGATGATCGCTCTGACTGTTCCAACAGGCGGAAGATTATTGATGTCTGGCGTAAGCGGTGTGCCATGCGGCTGGCGTTCTAAAGACGACATGTCCTGAGTTGGAAAGGTTGTTCACTGGAATTTTTCTCCCGAAGTTCACAGTTCACAGTTCGCATCCTTGGTGCAAACAGGCGCAAAAAGAACAACAAAAGTCACAATTTTTTCCATTTCATTTCAAGCAAACGAGTGCCAAAAATTGGTGCCGTTCAGCCACGATGAAAGGTTTGAGATGGGGGGTCGCATCCAGGGAACCACCTACAGCACTTGACAACAATGAGCATTGTGTGCAATGAAATGGTACAGGGTGCAACCAAATTTTCTTCATCCTGAAACGATGATCCCCCACTTGACTTCTATGAATTCCGTTTTTTTTCCTTCCCGAAACTAAAACACGACCATATTCCTGGCATTTCTTAGCCAATTAAAGATGAGGGGTTCCACCACCAGCAAGGGCAAGTTGCTGCACTTTGTGCCGCCATGGCAATGCTCCAAAATATAAAACCTGTGAATCCGATGGCGTGGCCTGGCTCTCCTGCGCCAAGATCGGGTACCAGATCTACGAGGGTGTCAGGTCCGGCGGTTTTTGCCGGTTTTAATCAACAAAAATGGTGGATTAAGATTTTGCCAGCAAGTATGGTGATGTATATTGATTTCCATATTTGCGGAATGCACCAGCAAACATGTTAGGATTTCAATAGGGATTAACCCGCAAACATGCTGATTTAACTTGATTTTGATGTAAATTCAATTAATTCAAATTACCGCAACGAACAAAAATGGTGGGTATAGTCGGTATAGTGGGAATTTTATAGGGTCTGTACGCCGCTTAGGCCTACGTTTTGGCTCGCCGAGGCTTACGTCACAGATGCATGATTATATCCCCTGTGCCTTTAGTGATCGCCTCTGCCCCCTGCCAAGCCCCAGCGGTTCCCAGTCCCCAGTCCCCAGTCCCCACCCCTGAAGATAAACAGTAAAGGCGAGTAGCCAACGGATCCCAATATGATTGAGGGCGTCTCCTGTACCTCTAGTTGTCCCCATTGTCCCGAGTGCACTCTCAAAGATAAACTTTAAAGGTGTGCTGCCAATATGATTTAGGTCGCCTCCTGTACCTCTTAGCGTCCCCACTCTCGCCAGTCCCCAGTTCCCCCGAAAAAAATTCACCTTCAATAGCCAATGGGCACCACTATGATTTAGGTCATCTCCTGTGCCTCTAGTTGCCCCCACTGTCCCCAGTCCCAGCCCCCCCCAAATATAAACCCTAAAGGTGTGAATCCACATCCAAGATTGTCGGCTTAAGTGATCCATGACATGGATGCGCACACCGCCCAAAATATGGTATACCATTTGGTACGACAGATTTGGCCCATACCCATACCCATAGCTGGAAGAATAAGTGCAGCCCGAGACTTGCAACTCTTCGATCATAGTTGTTGGATGTTGTTGGTTGGTGGTTTCAAGTATACAACCGTATTCACCAACTTTCTGTACCCCAGACAAAATTTATAAAACCCAAAGCAGCCCAAACATCGTTTTGCAATGGGTAGCTCTACAAGCGAGATGCGAAACAAAAGGAGTCAGAGATAATACAATTTGACATCAGGATGCACCATATTTTTCCAGTTTTTGGAATTCAACAACTGCTAATATGTTTCCAGTCATTTCCAGTTTGTGGGAATCATACAATATTGATGGCCGAACCCTGAAGCCCCCAGGTGCACGGGTGGAGCGCCAGCGATGCACTGCGGTGGCAGGCAAGGTCGAAGTTTCGAGACATGTCAAGGGATGCTGGTGTCCTGCTCAAAATTTTCCACGGATGATAGTATAGAACTAAAATTTAACAGCCGCAGCACCAAGCTACCTGGATGCAGCCATTACACTGCGATTTGCACTACGGCGCCACAGAGCAGCATACTTGGCAGTGCTCTGCAAGAATTTTGCTGGCAAGTGAATCCATAGAAGCAGCCAATTGCTACATCGAAGATCGTCGCGACACAGAGCTGCACAAGGTGATCAAAGACCAGGGCATCAAGAAGTGGCTGCACAAAGCCTTCCAGGACATGGCTGTGGGGACCCAGCATCTTGAGCCGCAGGGATATGCAGGCACTGAGCGGTCCAGCGCGCACGTGCTCGTAGAATCAGGCAAAACATTATGTCAGCACAAGCAGGCCGACGGGAAGGCAAAACGCCTGGTGAACCCGTACGCCACCTTCGAGGCACCGGCCTCCGCCGAGCACCTGCCTCGTGGTGGCCACCGGCCTAGGCCTGATCCAGCCGATTTTTTGGCCTTTGCGCTACCTAGCAGCATTGGCCCGTTCCGGCTATGGAGAGACGAATTCAGCCGCCCGGGGCTTGGATAAGAGCATTCATTCCAGCCTGCATGACACCCTCAGCAGTGACCTCGTGTGCGATGAAAATGGCACTGACCCAATTGACGCCTTTGCAAGTAGTTTTGTTGTTAGGTGGAAGGTTCTTTTGTCAGGTCTTTAGGTCAACTTTCTGCTGCGTTTGCATTGCTAGTCTGGGAGGGGCCCTCCCAGGATGTAGTACAGTTGAATGCAGTGCAACTTCATGAGGGTGAATTAATGTGAATTCATGACGTGTTGTAAAGGATGTTGACTAGCTCCGATTTTGAATTGTGTCATAGAGTGTAACCTTGCGCAATTGCACCAGCATGTCAGGCCAGTCGAGCGCACCATACGGGGGAGACCCGAGGCGCAGTTTTCAGTTGAGAAAGAAGTGACTAGCAAGAAAAATGAGTGGCAAGTTCTGAAGCGAAAAGGTCCTCCCAATGCAGACTGGGTTTTGCGCCAATCTGACTGGGATTCTCCAATTTTGTCTTACGACCAGGTTGACTCTGCAGTTGAGAAATTGGATCAGGCAGCCACTTTGAAACATGTGGTTTTGTGCACCGAGGAGCAGTCCGATGCTTTGCAGATTCTTTGCGTGCCACCTCCAAGACATGCTCTCTGCTGGTTGTGGTTCCGGGTGCTTACAATGATGCCGTGCGCACTCCGGGCGAAGTGAATGGTAAGTTGAGTTTGCGTTTGGCTCGGTGTATTCAGGTGACCTCTGCTGGCGCTCTTGCGCCGCAGCCTAAGGACATGAAACAAATTTCAGCAACCGTCAAGCTCAAGGAAACTGTGGTTGTCAATGTCAAGATTTTTAAGCGATTCTTGGATGATTCAGAATGGCGTAGTGTTCAGTCCTCTCCCATGCGTTTCTTTCATACCTGGCTTGCGAAAAGAAGGTTGGAAACACATGACTCTTTCAATTGGGCCAAGGAGAAATTGCTCGGTGAAGGAGAAGCCAAGTTTATGGCTTTGCCAGAATTGTGAAAGATGACCTGGAACTCTTTTTGGCTGCATCTGGCGGTGGAGTTTTTATTGACCCAACCAGGTTAAGTGGGGCCACTGTTTCTTCGATTTTGTGGATTGAACGTAGCCCCGGAGAAAGCGAAACTGAGTATATGTTGAGAGTCAGCAAAATGACTCCCAATCTCGGTGTCACTGTTGGACGCAACCAGCTTGGTTGCCGTTCCAAGCGTGAAGCAAATGCATTAGCGCATCGGGTTTGGATTGCTGAGAACTTCCCACCGTCGTGGGGCGCAGATGTTGTTGAGAGCGCTTTGCACACTCCTTTTACTGATGTTGAGATGTTGAAGCAGCAGCGCAACAAGGGCCAATCTGACTTTTATTTCCGTGCTTCTTCAACTGGTGATCGAGATTTGGTGGCTATTAAAGAAGAAGGTAAGGGGACGGCCACCTTTTGGGCCCGTTGGGCCCCTCCGAAGAATCGGGTTGGGCCCACAAAGGAGGTGCGCAATGATTTTTCTAGGCCACTCACTGAGTCAGTCACAGGCAAGCTGAACACACTTCAAACTGTGGCGGACGCCAAATCTACTCCAGGTGCTGGTGAAACACCGAATAGCAATGGTGAGCCTCCAAAAGGGCAGTCAGCTAACAAACGGGTCAGGGCAGCAGTTCGTGCCATTCCACCCGGCACCAAGATGGAGGTTGTGACTGGAGACGGCGGTTGTTTATTTCATGCTTTTAGTTTGGCCATGGCCACGACTACTGGCAAGTCGGCTGCGAATGCCCTGACATTGCGCTCTGAAGCAGTTGCGCATCTGAAGAAGCACAAGGAACGTTATTTGAATGACTGCGACGGCGTGGCGCCTTGTGGACGTCGACTCTGGAGCCAGGTTGAAAGTGTTGAGGCTAAAGGCACGGCTTTTGATACTGATTTGAAGGAAGTCTCCTCACCCACCGCATGGTCTGGTGAGCTCGAAGCTTCAGCTTTGGCGCGGAAATGCAATATCAAAGTTGTCATTGTGCCAAAAAAATTGGACTTTGTCCCTGCAGCGCTGCACAATGTTGGTACGCACGTTATCGCTTTGTGGTTCTTAGGCGCCCACTTTGACGCCCTGGTTCCCGAGTCCGGCAGTGAATTGCCTGAAGATGTGCGAGCCGTTACTGACGGCCTTTTTTTTTTTTTTTTTTTCTGCTAGCATCTCAGCACTGGGACCGTCTTGGTCCTGGTTATCGCTCAGCAAATTTGTATAAGTTGTTGGGGTGGGGTGGCTATAAATCCAGAGCCGCGGGGCCCCCCTCAAGGTCGAAGAGGGAGGTGTGATGCCGGGGGTGGGGCTCCGGGGTGGTGTTCGAGCAGGGTGCTCAGGGGTGGCATGTCACCATCAGGGGTGGTGTGTGATGCCGGATTTTGGAGGATGAGGCTGGCCGCAAATGGTGCTTGTGCTGCCATTGTGAGCATGGCGGACCAGCGAGCTATGGAGGCTTGGACAGCTGCCTTTCGTAAGGCTGGGACGACTGAGCGGTTGCGAGCTTGGGCCAGGAGACGTAGGAAATCTGCCGCCTCCTTACTCCATCTGCCACCCACCTCCATTGCCAGGACCACGAGGCGGCAGCGAGCCCCGCCGACCAGCTCGGGATATGTACGTTCTTTGGCTTGTCGCGCTGCCCGTAATGCTGGGGACCCAGGTTGGCGGCCTTGCGGGCGGGGTGCGCCCGAACTCGTCAAAGGGGAAACCATGGTGGTGTCCACTGCTAGTTGCGCCCCGTTGTGTAGGGGGAGCCCATGTGCGATCACTTCGATCCTCCGATTGTCTAGCCGGTTTGTTCTTGAGACGTTTAGGTCGGACACCAAAACGTTTGTAGCCACACGGGCTCCGGCTTCTCTGCAAACCCTTGCCGCTGCTCGTTCTAGTGGCCCGGCTCGGCTTCTCATGGCCCCTGATGTTGCACATGCTGCGCGGTGGTCGCCAAGGGAGTCAAGAGAGCGACGGCACCGGCAGTGACGCACAGACAGCGGGAGCGGGAGACGCAAACGACGGAGCAGAAGAATGCGGAACAGGGCGGGTGGGTATGTGAACTCCGGGCCGGAAGGGATGGTGGTGAATGTTCGACTGGCGAATGGGCCGGTTTGTGATTCGAGCATTGCTCTGCTGGCTGGGTCGAGAGCCGTTAACAACTCGTTTCGGCAGGTCGTGTAGATTGGCATGACAGCCCTGTGTTGCCAGCCTCGGCTGGCTAGTGGTTCCTCCAAAGGGTTGGGGAGTGGGTGACTGACCGGTTGTGTGAGTGCATGCCAGTCTGGCGGTTGCCACCCAGCTTGCTCCAAGGTTCGTACCGCGTCGATGGCTGCCTGGAACGCTGGTGGCGGTTGATGTGGGTGGCGAAGTGATTGCAGGAGCGTGCCTGCGAGCGACGGCAATTGGTGTTGAAGGACTGGAAAGGTGTCCGCCCATGATGCCCAATAAGCTGGCTGTGCGGTGACTGTGGCTGAAGTCAGGCCTAAGCCGCCCTGGGAGAGTGGGAGGTGTGCCGTGGCTAGGCTGGTTGCTGGGAAGTCCGGGAGGCCCAGCAATGTCTGCAGGCATGCTGCCACACTGGTGTCGTGGCGGGTGGCGAAGCCTTGGGTGAGTTGAGGGGGCGTGGTGCGGAGTGTGTGGTTGCACCGCGGGCTCGCGCAAAAGAGAAGTAGCAGCCATGCTGATTGCAGATCGTCCACAGTCGGGATGCGTTCGAGGAGGGCTTGGTGGGATTGACTGGAGTGAAGGAGTTGTTGGGCTACGTATTCTGCAGTGCCGAGGGGTGCTCCCAAAATGGTGATGCCTTGCTGCTCTCGGGGGAAGGTGGTGTTGCCGACCCACACTTCTGGCCCTAAAGCTTCGAGCCCTGGGGGAGTGGCGCCGGCGGCGTTCCATACTCGGGTTTTCCCGCTGTTGAGTTGGATGCGGGTGTGTGTGCGAAGTTCATTCGCCATGACATCGTACACTGTGCGGACTCGGTCTGGGGCGACCACCGCGTAGATGTCGTCCAGGTAGGCAAGCAGCATTTCTGTGGGATGAAGCTGGCTGTGGATGGCTTGTAATGCTCTGCTTTGACCCAACGAAAACAGAGCTGGCATCAACGGGTCTCCTTGTTCGCCTCCTTCGGCCTGGCTGATGAGGTGGTGGCGGCCCTGGTCGTCATGCCATACGTACCGGGAAGGTTGGCCGTAGAATGTGCGTACGAATGGCAAGCTGCGGTTAGCTGTGGGGACTGTCATCAGACCTCGTAACATGGATTCCCGCGAAATGGTGTCATACGCGCCGATGCCATCGACGCGTGGATAACTGCTTCGGTCCCAGCCCGTGTGGACACTGCAAATTGGTGAGGTGAACAACTGGCGTGGATGTGCTGTGAATACATTTGTGCCAAGCTGCGCGAAACAAGACGGCGAACCATGTCCCCAATGACGATGCCTCGCACGCGGCCATTTGGTTTTTGCAAGGCCACCATCCGCCCTAGGGCAAGGCTTGGGACGATTGCTTCTGGTACTCTGCCTTCTGCAATTTGCTGGGCTACGGCGGTGAGTCGTTGTGTGGCCTCCTCGTCATCAAGCATGAGTCGGAGTGTGTCTGCTGTGAGGCCCGAGGGGCCGGGGGCTGCTCCTTTCTTGGTGCGGCGGAGGTTGTTGCCGATGGTCGCCGTGGATAATTCCGGTAGCTGGTCCGGCTGGAACGCGGTGATGTCTGAGCTGACCGGTTGGTATGGTTCCTGTGGCCGACGGGCCGGGTCTTGTAGTTCTTGCAATGTTTGCTCGTTGCCCGGGGCTGTTGGGTTTGCTGTTAGGGCTTGCCGTGCCGCAGAGAGCTCGCCCAGGTGTACCAAATGTCTTGCTCTTTGTGCTCGGCGCTCCGCATCAGCTTCGGCATTGTGCTGCCGTTGTTGGGCTGCAGGGGGTGGACTTGTTTGGCTGAGGAGATGGGCCCATTCCCCGGCTTCGAACTGCTGAATGCGGTTCCGCCAATCTGCCTTGGGCAACAGTCGTTGGCCGGGCTGCCTTTGGAGCAACATTCGCGGCAACAGGAGGAAGAGTTTCCATGCCCGTGTGGTTTCGTGTTCGGTGGTGGCATCAAGAATTGCCGCGCACGCAGTGGACAGAGCTTGGCGGACACGGCCGCGGAGGAACTGCGGGGGTTGCTGGAAGAAGAATGTTTTGGTGACTAAGGTGCCTTGGAGGTCGACTGCGTCTAAGGAGGCCAAGGCTCTCACAATGTGTGGTGGTGGCTGCCCTGGCTGTTCACAGTCACCCCAGTCCCCCCGGCCAGTGTGGACTCCTTCAAAAGCTGCATCTGATGGCGAATCTGCATCGCCCCATACAATTTTTGCTGACCTGACAATTTGCGGACGAGAAGACCTCGCTCTGCCAGCTTCTTCATCCGGTGTACAAGCTAGTGGATCCAAGCGTTCGGCCCAGACCGTTTGGACTCCTGCAAATTCAAGACGGACAGTATGGACAACTGCCGAAGCCAATGTTTTGGATTTAGCTCCTGGTGAGAAGCCTCAGTCTCGTCGACGTTTGGTCGGCAAACAACGTGTCAGCAATGCCAGTGTTTGCACTGCTGCAACGTGCGCCACTCAGTCCATTGAGGATGTTCATGAAGCTGATGGTCACATTCATCGTTCCGCGTACTGACCATTTTCATGTCTACTATGAATTTAGGGCGTGGTGGTGTGGCAAAAATCCCGGCCGTAATCACCAACCTGCTGGATTTACCTTCGGAAGTGGTAGTTTTTTCAAGAACTCAATTTGAACAGTGCAAGAAGGGTCTCCTACACCGATGCGTGGCGGGCACGTGGTTTTCAAACTGTGCTCGGCCGGCCCTCTTGATGTTGATCATGATTTTGCTCGGGTGGCGATTATAAGTCGTGTGCTGGTTCGAAACTATCCTTTAGGTTAGGTTTGACTGTGGCGCCCTCGCGCTGCGTTGCTGGCCTCATCGAAGTTTGCAAAGACTCCCTTGTACAATCTCTTTTGGTCTTCAGCTTCTATGGCTTTGCTAGCGACATGCAGGCAACTGGCGATCTTTTGCGACAAGTACTCGAAGCTGCTGTGGGTTTTGGGGGCCCCTTTGTTATTTTTGGCGACTTCAACGCCGAAACACATGATGAAGTGATTGTTCAATTTTTGGCGCAAATTTGATTTGGATGATGATTTCACTGCATATGGTCTTCCCTTGACAAGCCTTGGGCGAGTGCGCCGTTTGGACTATGGTCTTGCTGGCGCCAGAGTCTATGCTTCGCAATTGGATCATGCGCCTGGACCGGCGGATCACCTGACAGTGCGATATGGATTTGATTTTAATCACGTTGGTGGCCACTCTGGCCCTAGGCGAAAATTGCTTTCTATGTCCAAGGTGGTGGAACAAAGCGCCTTTGATTCCTTGTGGTCCCAAGAAGCGTTTGACCATGCTTTGACTACTGGACAATTTGATGAAGCGTGGAAACTTTTATCCATTGCTGCTGAGACTCTCCTTGGCGAAACACCAGCTGAGAATAGTGTCCCTCGTTCAGACTCATGGATTCCCCAGGAGGTGTTGCCGCATGCTGGCCGAGTCCGTGGCGATCAGGTTGAATCTTTTTCTCTTCGGCAGCTGCGACGATTGCATCGCCGTTTACTTCAGCTCCGGAGAGATCCTTTTGATGCTCGCCTTAGACATGCTGCTGGCCGATCCATCGGCTCTCTGACTCATGTTTTTTCAGCAGTCTCGGAAATATGTTTGTTTGATCTTGAGGCTGCAGTCGAATGTGTGGATTCTTTGGTTTGTAGCACTGCTCAGACTGAAACTTCTGCGCGAATTGAGCAATGGAAACATCGACTTGTGGCAGACCCTGGCAAGCAACTGGGGTGGATCCAACGCAAAGCTGATGCTGAATTTGTTTTTAGGGAATCTGATGCTTCCCCACCTTCAACCGTTCCTTCTGCAGCGCACACCTCCATCATTGCGAGTGCTGAATGTGAGTGGATGAGTGTTTGTACCAAACCTTCTTTTCCAGATGGCGGTGACAGTGCAGCAGTACAGCGAGTCTTGGACAACTTGTACCCTCCTTCTTCGCGTCCTGTCCAAATGTATTTGTTGGGATGCCCAAAAGTTGCATGCTATTGCAAAGAGCATGTGCGGCAAGGCTCCTGGTCCTGACGATTGGCAGGCAGAGGGATTGTGTGCCTTACCTATGACTTGGTGGCAAGCTTTTACTAGTCTGTGGAGTTGCGTTTATCGCAGTGGGCATGTACCTGCTTCTTGGTGTCGAGCGAAATTGGCCTTGATTCCCAAAAAGGGCGACCGCACCAGACCCATTTCCTTGTGCGTTATCGCCTGGCGTATCGGCGCTCGTTTTATCTGCCGTGGTCTGCGGTCATGGATTTCTTCGTGGGCAAACCACCATGACTTGGGAGGCGGTCCTGGATGTAGTGTGCATCATGCTCATTTGCGTATTCACAATGCGATGCTGGATTTTGTTGACACTTTTGTGCGGCAGGTCCTCAGCCATTTCCTTGATGGCATTGATGTGGACTTTGCCGAAAGGGTTTTAACTCATCTCCAAGCACCTCCTGACCTTGGTGTATTGCTGAAGTCCTTCTACGGGCAGGCGCAGCAAATCTTTTCTCACAAAGGTTTTGTTGCAAATAGCTGATACAAGGATGTCCTTTAAGTCCTTTGGTAGCTATGTGTATTATGCATTGCTGGGCCCAACAAATCTGTCAGCAGGTGATTGGAGTGGATGCCATTGCTTACATTGATGATCGCACCTTGTGGTCTTTGAGCTCAACAGGTGATCAGGTGCAGCTACTTTCCAATGCCCTCGAACAAAGCCGCGCCTTTGACCTGGCTTTCGGCTTCAAGTGCGGCAACTTGAAGTGTTCGGTGGCCAGTGCTTCTGTATCTGCGGATGTTTGCGACTTGGCTGTGCGTTTGGATTACAGGCTCACCACCACTTTGGAAGCGTTGGGAGTGGCTCATGACTTGTGCTGCATTTCCCGCAAAAACCTCTTCAAGTTTACTGCGCAGAAGGCGCAAGTGCGCCTCAAGTTTGTGAAGGCAGTGCCGGGTTCCATGCGACAGAAACTTCAGCATATTTTCTTGTTTGGTGCTACCTCTTGCGACATGGGCTTGTGGTTTTGCAGAACTTGACAGCGATCCTTTGAAAATTTTGCGAAAATCCATTCTCAAGGTGTTTTCGCGATCCTTTTTATGTGACACACCCCCTTGTGTGGCTTTAGAAGTGCTGGGGTGGCAATATGACCCTTTATTTGCTTGTGACTGGAGCGTCTTGCGAGCCATTGTTCGCTTTCATGCAAAGGAGCCGAGCTGGTTTGAACATTGTCCTTTAACTTTCTTGGCAAAGCAGTGGAAGGTGCTGATACCTGGAGCAACTTCACTTTTGCGCCGTCTCAACTGGACGGCGTCACATTGTGGCAATTTCCTTCGGCGAGTCGATGAATATGGTGCACAACGTGTTTTTGAGCTTGGTGTGGACGGGCTACCCATTCTGCAGGAGTGGCTTCGCGATGTGCATCATCGAAACATCTTCAACATGTGTGGTCGAGTTCAAAAGAGCTTGCGCCGTTTGGATGATGACCGTTTAGCACGTGGTTTGCAACTTCCTGGTCCTCCTCCTAAATCTCCTAATGCTTCGTGTGTTTTTGAGGGACATCGATGTATGTGGGACGAAAACAGTAGTCGTGACATGCGCCATGCGGCGCTTGCAACTGGATGCTCCTTTTGGTCTTGTAATGCTGGAATGCAGATTCAGGACGGACATCCACGTTCTTTTTGCTTGTGTGGAGGTCTTCAACCATCCAGGGTGCATTTGTTGTGGGTGTGTCCTCATACAGCTGACCTACGCGATGGAGTCCCTTCACCTGTTGACAGGGTTGAAGAACGACTTTTTGCCAAAGTCGTGCATGAACGGCCTGCTGCTCCCTCTTCTTCAATTTTTGTGCATTTTGTAGCAGATGTGACGCGATTTCTTGATCGTGCTCTGCAAGGTGATAAACATATTTTTGTGGCCACAGATGGAGCGGCCAAACATGGTGTCGCTGCTTTCAGTGTGGTGATCCCTTCAGTCAATTTTGCGGCTGCCACAGGGCCGTCTGGCGAAGATCAAACGCCCTTCCGCGCAGAACTTGATGCCCTGGGTGTTGTTTGCAAGGCTGCATGTGCTTTAAGTAAACACGGAGTTACTGGTGATATTACCCTAGTCACTGATTGTATATCTGCTATGAGTACTTTCGACACCAGCGATAGCTCTCGTCCGTTGCTTGCCCTATTGCTGAGGCGATGGAAGCGCCGTGCAAGTGCTATGGGACTACATGTGCATCTCTTTTGGGTCCCTGCCCATGATCGGATAGTCCCTCACTGGAAACCTCACCCTCTTGCAAGCGAAGCGCAGTTACGTGCTTGGAATCGCCGAGCTGATTCCATGGCAGGTGAATGTCGTGCTACTCGTAGCCTTGGGTCCAACTTGCAGTCCTGGCACGATGCTCGTGTTGCTGCTAGAAACTGGGAGATGATGGCCATAAGGTCGTGTGCTGCTGTGACGGAACGGTGCAAATCTTTCCTGGATTCGTTGTGATCATCAAGTGGTCCCCGTGACCATTTGCATTTACTGAGGTCCTTTGGATCACATTTTTGACTGGCGACTTCGCAGAAAGGGATGGTGCTTTGTGCATCAGAACATATCAGAACCCTACTGTTTGTATCTATGTTCTATGTTCAAAGGGAGGGGATCCCTGGGCCTTAGACAGAGGGGTGTCCTCGAACGTCGGCCATGGAGACTGACAAAGTCCCACTGGACAAAATTTCCCCCGAAGAAATCCTTAGGAAGTTGGGTGACAACTTCGGGTTGGATGACGGGGTGGTGGAAGCCTTACTCCGATTGGGAATTGAAAACTTCCAAGAGTTTCGATTTTTATGGGCATCAGAGCAAGCTATCGAGACCTGGATCGGCAAGCTAGGATTAGGCGACAATATCTTGTTGATGACAGCCCGAGTGCGTAGAGCATGGGCAGCGGTGGGGCTGGACTACCGCCAGGTCGAGCAAGATCGGTCCAAAGTCGCCGTGTCCGATCTGGACACGATGCTCGGGAAGACCGAGCTGCGTGACACCAAGCAGCAGTTTTGGAGGCGCTACCAGATGAGGTTCCGCCCTGAGATCCACCCGGCTGACACCACGATCTCCAGGGTGGCCAGGGAGATGCTGAAGCGGATGCTCTGCGTGTACAACATCTGGAGGGTGAAAACATTGCAGTTCCAGCTCACTACCTCCCAGAAGAAGCGCAAGCTTAGCGATGGCCTCTTCATCGAGGATGGCGAGGACGAAGAAGTTGTGGCCCATGATGTGGACAATTACCTCGACCGGCTGTTCACTTTGTTGCTGGCCTATGCCATGGCTGGCTGCGCCGGGGTGACCGGTGCGCCTGATGCGGCACAAGAGCTGAACCTGGGGGCAGACACCACCAAGTTCGTGAACGTGCCACTGGATGTGATCTACAAGTGCTACTTCCGAGCCAAGCGCAGCATCACAGCGATGCCCATGGCCCAGCGCCTGCAATGGCTCCAGACACGCGACATGGAGGAGCGCAGCGAATAGGTATCGAAGTTCAGGGACTCCACAATGAGGAGGATTGCAGGTGAAACTGACTGACATTGGCAGAGCTGGGTAAAAAGGGATGCAAGTGTCCGTTCGGCATGGAGTTCATATGTCACTTTGAGATGTACCAATGCATTGAGTTTTGCAGGCTTGGGTGTGCATGTACCATCTTTAAGTGAGCCAATGAATGCTATCATTTTGGCTCAAGTGGAGTTGAACCAAAATAGCATTCATTATTTTTCTTTCCCCACCCACCCAACCCTAAGAGCCGACCTCCCGTGGAGATGTCCGCCTAGGTATGGGTGCCTGCTTGGCAGGCGAGTACATAGCCTTTTTCTGGGGACACTCTCTTCAGGTGACCAAGAGAGTGCTAGCTCCCCTTATAAGGGATGGGTGATACCCGCAAGAGCAGGTTCCAACCTGGGGCGACCAGGTAGCTGACCAGTGGTGAAACTGGTCTGGGGCTATGTACTTGTCACTGTCCCAAAGCAAACCAGAGGATTGCAGGTGGAACTGACTTACACTGGCAGAGCTGGGTAAACAGGGATGCAAGTGTCCGTGCGGCACGGATTTCATATGTCACTCAATTTGAAATGTAAAAGTATAATGAACTTTTTACAAAACATATAAGCAACCTTAATTTAATATAGGAATTTAAGATAGGCGTGTAGGTTGTTTTGACATGGTATGACCTGATTTGTTACGGCCTAATAGAATTAATTTATATATACACAGATGTATATGAACCTAAATGTACATATCGCATATGCAATGGATCACGACTATTTTTTTTCAGCTGGGCATCGTCAGAAACCTTTCAGGTTCTGTCGTGGCCTGCTTGGTTTTTCGAAGAAGGGTGGCCCGGTGTTCGGTGGCTGCGGGCGACCTGCCCAAGACGGTCCAAGAGATGAAAACGGAGCTGCTTGGAATAAGATGGGATCAACTTTCAACTACAAGGTGGTGCCCTCAATCCTTAGCTCAGTTGGTGAAAAAATGGTTAGAAGTAGGTGAACGGATGGGCCTATGTTGAATCTATAGTTCGGTGGGGTTACCAACAAACAGAACTTGGGTATATCATTCCGCTAAGGGTATATCATCAACTGCATGGAAGGATATAAGGGTGCATAATGGGTCCAAACATGTCCACAATGGGTACATCATCCAAACCAAGGAGCATGATACGGAATTACTTGAGCCACCAAACATGGGGTAGTAGCCGAACAAACAGATTTTTTTTCACCAACGAACTGCTTAGTGCTTTCCAATTTTCAATCCCCTTCATGGGCTGATGAACCAACGAGTTTTCCTGAGATTGGTGGTTCAACCACAAATCAGAGGAATCTGACACATCACCGAGGTTACTGGACATATTATCCGGTGGAAATTGGGATGCCAGCAGGGTGGAGGCGGCACAACGTGTGGAGGACTTGGTGGAAGCGTTGATTCAAGGCTACAAGGACATGAAGATGAGCGACCAGGAAGCGCAGAGGTTGTTGGAAGGAAAATGGTGCGCTGAATTTTAGTTTTAGCAACATTTTTTGATTCGGCATTGACAGTCTTTTAAAGTTGGCTAGAATATAATAAGTAAATACAGAGATAAATAAATGAATTAAGTAACAAAAATGAATCAATAACCAAATAAAAAAATAAGGATATGTTAAGCAGGGTTCATCATGTCACCAACTTTTCTTACGCTCACATCTCTAGGTTGGTTTGTCTGGAAATGGAGTCCCCCGAATGTCAATTCAATGGAGAACATAGTATTATATTATAACCAACCGCTGAATTTTAAGTGGGTGTGTTTTCCCAAGAATCAAACGGATGCATGCTGTATTGCTGCCTTTTGGGGCCCCGTTCCTGCACCCCAGTGAAATCCCTTGTTTTCAGGGCTAACCAAATAAGCCTTGAGTCTTATGCAGTTTAGTTTTGATGCTTCCAATATGTTCCAATAAATCACCTAAACACATCACTATTTTGACCACTTTGAAGCCGTCAAAACTTATCGCTGAGGCAGCTGCTGAGTACCTTTACCCCGGGCCAGGCTGCGGCCAACGTCTTCAGTTTGAAGAGCTGGCAGGTGTGGGTTTTTCTCATACCATCTGTGTGGCAAGTGGCTTGGGTGGAAACATTGGCTGTAGCAATTGTAGATGTAAGTAGTACATAGGTATATAGTACATATATAATATGTGCAATGATGTCTTATTTGATCATATTGTGCATATATAAACTGAGTGTACACATATATGTTAGAAAAATCCCATAAGTTCTGTGGTTTCCACTTAAAGATGACGTAGCAGGCCTCGTTACTACTGATAGTGGTGAAGAGGTGGGCGTTCCAACAGTTTGGCCGTGGCAGGCATTTCATTTGTTGGTGCGGTACTGTTTGATGTGAGACAAGTGTATTCAAGATCGAAGATTCTAAGATGAAACTGGTGAATTTGAATTCAACACCTTCGCCAGAAACTTCTAGCCCGAGCTTCTCGTTTAGCTAGCAGCTGGTCTTTATACTCCAGCGCAGGAGTACGTCTTTGGCAAAGGCCCGTCTCCTGTGCAAGCGGCGGCATTTACAAACGATGCCGTGCAGCGAGTGTATCAGGTGCTGGATTTGTTTCTCGGCGTAGGGTGAACCGAGGTGAACTTCTGGTCAAAATGATGTACTATACTATTTACTATACTGACTATACTGCATGGTAGTGAAAACGCAAAGGGCCCAAATCTGCGGTTTCACTTGAGTTGAACGTCGGTCTCCCACTTTTTTCGTTACCAAACTGCCTTCCCGTTTCCCGTTTGATCCAGGTCGGTGTCCCCAAAAAGGTGGTACAACGTCATCGATGCCACGCCCAATGGCATCATCTGCCTTGAAGCCGATCTGACCTCGCAAGATGCGGATGTCCAGTTTCAGTGGACGGGTGGGCAGATCATCATCAACCGACCACCCTGGTCCAAAGAGGACAAGGGGAAGCAGGGGGAGCCCTGTAAGTTGGATTCTAACGATTCTAACCCCAATTAACATCCAATTAACTATAGCTATAACCACCAAAAAGCTTACTTGACCTAGTTCGAAACTAACTTAGCCGACTATGGGGCAGCACCTTGTTCTTGCAGTATGGATTTGAACACCGGAAGTACTATTGCAGAATGTGTTCTTCCACATGTGCAGGACATGCATTGGAGTGATAAAGACGCAAAGACGGATGGACATACAAGTTACAAGGCAGGTGCATAGGTAGGTCGGAAGAAGAGTAGCTTTGCTCGAGGTAGATTCCAGTTATGTTGAGGCAGATCGGCTGGTGCATTGGATGTTGAACCAACAGATGGAATCAGCAGATCTCTACCAACCACTTCCCTCATCTAATAGTCTATCCATCCATCCACCCCCCTCCCTCCTTCCATCCATTTGTTGGATACTGCACCCTTGACAATATGCCACAAATTAGAGGATTCAGACCTAGGCAGTCAGACTTGATAACATATATATGTATATATATATAATAATAAAGAACATAATAATAATAGTCATAATAAAAATAAAAATATACAATAATAATAATAATAATATATAATATATAATAATAATAATACCAATACTAATAATAAAATATATAATATATAATCTATATATATACATATATATGTATTTTTTGATATATATATATATATATGTATTTTGATATTTTGATATTTTGATATATATATATATATATATTTAGAACGCGTTTGCTAGTTATCCAGGGGCCCACGGGCGCGAAGTTTTGCGCCAGGATTTGGATCAACCCATTCGTCTCCCATACCCTGTGCCTTGGCTGTGACGAACCGGAGAAGATGAGTATAACAGCCCCAAATAGATAGGAAAGTAATTTATCACTACATTAGTGGGATTTTACTCTTTATCATTATGTTATATTATGTTTTTGGTGTTGGTATATGAATTCTATTTTTAATCGTTATTTACCGATGGAATACACGTCCGCTTTCCGTCTCCTGGTGGCCTTTTTTGTGGGTATCCAACGGTATCCATCTTCCTTATGAACAACGGGGAAACAAGGAGCTACAAATAGAGTTTCCCAACCACAAAAAGAGTAGACATCTTGTACGGTATATATCCCCAATGACCATAATCATCAATAGTGAGAAACAATCACTTAAATAAGCATCAATAACCATCAAAATCATCAGTAACCATCAACAATCATGAATTACCATTGATAACCATCAATTATCATAGTAAAATTATGTAAACATCCTTGTTGTATCACATTCCAACGGGGCTTCGAGGTGCCATTTGCTCTGCTGGGCGACCGTGCGCGCGGGATTTTCGAGACGGTGTATCTGGACGATGAGCTCCGCACCCCGTTCGAGCTGATTGGGATCGGGAGCAGATGGGGAAGAAAAACATATCTTGTTCTCCTTGTTGGATCTGATATGATCTGATGCGTTTTGTATGTTTGATATTGTTTGATTGGTTTTGATGGATTCTGATTGATTTTGAGTGCTTGTGCTAGTAGCAACCGTGGGAAGTCTCATGGGCAAGGAAACCTTCATTGGTCATGGCCAGTGGTTGGGTAGAGGTTAGAAAGCCACCTTGGAAAATTGCGGCATCTTCGGCCCCACTTGGTTGGAATTCCGCAACAGTCCAAGAATTGGTTCAAGCTTTGAGGGGAAAACATGGAAACATGCAGGAAATCCCCATGCTTTCCTTCAGATCTTCTCAATGATCCCAATGATACAGGGATATGGAGCTGTGAGGCATCTCAAGAGGATCGAAAAGCGGAAGCGTCTTCGTCCTTCGCCGGGAGAGCTCCTAGTTCCGCAGGGGAAGGGTTGAGTCACACTTCTGGACCCGTCCAAAATGAAGGGTTCAGCTATGAGACATCATATATATCCAAAGATATCCACAAAAGAGAATCAAAATGATTCGATTTTGATGAGATTTGTGGGTCCTTCGATGCATTTTTGACCCATCCCATCCCCCATGACTGTGGCCGAGGCAAGCCGCTGCCGATGGAAGATGTCTACTTCTCCTGAGTTCGGCTTGGCAATCGCTTTCGGCGATGCGCGACAAAGGGGCAATGGATTGCGATGGCAGGAAAACTATAGGACTGTTTTCCCATGACTTTTTCTGGCTTTCCTAGAATTCTAGAACAATAGATTCAATAGATCATGAACAGGGGGGAGGTTGAGGAGCCGTAAGTACAGCAGCAGCGCTCTCTCCTCACGCTTTCTATGGGACAATTATGAAATTCTAGTGCTGGCATGTCGGGAACTCGGTGGCCCCATCCTCCAAAGAACATGGCGATTCTTTCCACTTCATGTTACACATAGTCACACAGGTGTGGGTTTGTCCATGCTCCAGTTTATGGATTCCATGGATGTTTGTGGCCTCCATCCTTCGGGCGATTTGGATCGAACATTCAGCGAGAACTTTCCCGGGCACTTGGGCAGCCGGCCTTGGCACACCTTTGCCATGGGCCCAGGTCATCCCAGGTCTCGTTTTGCATTTTTGCATCCTCCCTTGCAGAAATTCCTGGGTATGGTAGACGGTAGACGGTAGACGGTAATAATATAGGAATATGTGAAATAACCTGGCAACCCTTGCCTGCACGAAGATGCGGGCAGTGTGGTGGTGCAAATCCTCTGAGAAACTCTGGAAAAAAACCTGGAGAAAGTTATATATATATATATTTATATAACATAGCAATTCCTATAAAATCCGTTGAACTTCATTGAAATCCTGTGAAAACGAGATGAAATCCAAACCCCCATCAATCCCCACAGACGGCGACGGAGAGAGATCAATCCCCACAATGAGGCCCCTGAAAAAAATGACCATCATCAACTCAGGTGATGCTGCGATAGCCGGAAGGGAGTCCAGGAGCCCCAAGCCTAAACTACCCTCGAACAATGGATGGTTTCAGAATTGCTGGGTTGAATTATCCTTATCAACCAGATGGATGGCTTCCTGCAGATCAAAATGGCTCGTTCACAAACAAACATCTCGAAACGAGCAATTCTATGGGTGCGGTGCTCCACCGGCTTGACCCACCAATGGGACATGGAATCTGCAGGATGTGGGGAAGCACCGCGCAGATCAGTCGCTTCCTCAAAGAATCTACGGGATGCCGTGGGGATTGATGCACCCAAAGAAAGTTATGAACATCAGTGATATTAATATATATTAATATATATATACATTAATATTTGCATTGTTTTTTCAATGTTGAGGCCCCACGGTGAAATATTGTATGCCTGGGGAACGGCTATTTTTTGGGTGTCGTGCTACATAGTTGCATCCTTTGGCTGTCAAGCAAACATGGCAGCAGAACATTCCCACAGAACTCAAGGGATTCCCCCGTTGCCAGTTGGTATTCCCATTGCCTTTGGTGTTGGTAAAACCTGTATCATACTCCCAACAGTTACTATCAAGTATTGCCAATCATTATCAAGTTCCTGTTGTTGTTCATATCTTATTCCCACTTTTTTGTTGGAAAACATCCGTCATTTCTATCCCTTCCAAGCCATTTCTGGTCTCCACAGACCTCGTCACCAAGCGACGTCCCCTGGCAGGTCCGTCCACTGTGGCACATGCCGAGCATCCTCCAGGTCTGTGGAAAGAAGTGGTTCATAGTTCTTCATAGGAGATATAGACTTCGATAGAGGAAAACCCATGGAAATCCGTGTTAGGAAAAACATCTACAAGTTGTCAAGATTCTATCAGTAGTTGATGTAATGATGTATATATATATATATATCCCATTGCCGGGCTCATCGTATCAAGCCCTTACAGGTTGGAAGGTGACGCGCACCAGCTACACTTCTCCCGGCGAGGCGCTGCTGAAGTTTGTTGGTGTTGCAGCATCATCCTGCCACCCCCGAGAAAAAAGATGAATCATCTATATGGTATCCATGGCCCATGGTGAAAGCCACTTCCCAATTCTCCGGATCATCGCAGATCATCGCAGATCATTGCAGATCATCCAGGTGTCGGCATGCCAGCGCTTGCGGCGACAACTGAGGCGACAGCTTGCAGCATCAGGGCCATTCAAACATGTTGTTTGCAAAAATGTCTTCAGTACCCTCTGGTAATCCAAAGTGGCAATGGATATCCAGTATTTTGACCTCATTTCACTTTCATTTTTTATTTTCCTACGAAAAATGACGTTTTACATTGCCGTGTTTGATACCTTAGGGTTGCAAGTGAGTTGCCTCTCTTTTTTCTGTTCTTCTTAAGAATGCAGCATCGCCAATATGTGGCAATTTTCATGGGTCAAGAGCCGATGGTCCATGATGGACCATCAGTTTTTGGGGCATCCTATATACTGGGGCACAAACCCGCCTCGACTTTGAAGAATCCAGGGCAGCTCAGCAACAGTCAGAACTGATGCGAAGAGATGCAGTCGGGAGACCCGACGGGTGGCAGCAATCAGGCACACCCTCCGGAGCAATCTATGCCATTTTGAAATATAGTGGTTTCCGCAACTAGTGGGTGAGACATGGGTGCCCAAAATCATCGAACATGGGTCAGTTTGACATATTTTGAATGGGGAAACGGCTGGATCTTTTGGGGTCACCCATTTTGAGAACACTCCATTTTACCGGCAATGATCATGCATTGGTGGAGGTGGAGTGATCTCGAGAAACAAACAGCAAATGACGTGGTTCTTATTGGAGGTTCGGATTAACCAGCACATACATCTGTGTCAACCTTCATGTTATCTGCAGTTGAACCTGCAAGCATGTTTCAAGGAACTGACTCGCAGGGAATTTGATGCGAAAGGATTTGCATGCCCGCCAGCCGTTGGCTTGGCATTTGGACAACATCTCTGATGGAGCTGCCGAATTAAGAGCTGCTTCAACTCCCTGCCCAAGACCCTCGAGAGCAACCAGGTCATCCCCAACGATGCATGAGACTTTTACCCCAAGTCGGGCAGGAAGTTGAAATGGCCTCAAATCACGGTCGTTGATTTGGATTCAATGTATGCTCATTCGTGTGTCATGCTATGTTTGATACTGCTCCAGTCTACTGTAGTTCCTCCTAGTTCCTACCCTACCACCTACATCTACCTACCATCGTTACCATCCCTGAAGGACTTCTAAAGATCACTTGAAATCTCCTCACCATTGGCCGCATCGCGCATCGGCCTCGCACGCCTGCAGCCATGCATGGCCGTCCTCGGCTGGTCATGGCCACTGGCCATTCTCAGCTGCTACGCTCAGGAGGATTTGGCGCTCCCCTGGCACTATGCCGGGCAGCTGAATTCCTCGTGGCTCTGTGGCTATGGCAATGGTTTTCACATTTTTCCATCTTGTTTGGTACTGGTAGGAAAATTATCTGTTGGTCGACCAGTTCCAAATTTTGAAGGTCAATCATACGGCATTTTGATGGTGAATCCCTCCATGGAAAATTAGCTGGTGAATCCCTCCACGGAAAATTAGCAATGGAAACTAGCTCGTTTGGTTCCATGATTTACGTGTTAAACTTGATGATTTTCCACAGGAAACTGTTTAAACTGCCAGAAGGTTCCTGGCCCAGAGTCGCAGGTTACACGCAAAGTTCTATGTCCTCCGGCCACCTCCCGAGCTGCGAAAGCTGCAAGGCCGAGACTTCGAGTGACATGGCAGAAGTTTTTCTGGTGGGATGTGGTGATACATGGTAGATGGGGGTAGGTCAAAACCTGCCTGGATTTAGGATTTGGGAGGATAAAATAGGATAAACATCCATTAGCCAGCTACATCCAGCTACATCCAGCTACATCCAGCTACTTTGACTTTTCATGGTGAAGAAACCGCCAAAAAGCATCGCTGGGCAGTTCCGGGGACTGTTCTAAGGTGCGAGTACTTTGGGCACATGCTGCTTGGATGGTGATTTACTTTATTTAAACAGCCGCGGCCGCGCTGTTTCGAGAGTACATGTTCAGTCATGTCAGATCCCTCGTTCTGTTCTTGTAGAAGGGAAGAGCTGAGGTATAGCTTTGAATATATGTATCCGGACTTCTTCGATGCTTGTCCGCACAGATGGGAGGGAAAACACCACAGCAAGTTTCTTCACAAAGAGTGATGTGGAGAGGAATCTATATCCAAACGTGCATGGGATATTGAGCAGCAAATATCTGCAAGTCTTTTACCACACATAAGCAATAAATGATCATTTTCATCAATGAAAACCTGTGAATGTTGATGATCTTATATTACATCCCAATTGACATCCATTGTTTAGTCATATAATGTCATATCCCATGATGATTTCCCTGTTATATCATATCATAATGTATATCATATCATTAACTAGTTATATCATGTTATATATATATATAATGTATGTCATTAACTAGTTATATCATGAATCATGTCATCCATCGATTTTCCCTTCAGTTTCCAAAAAGGTCAATTCTGACCGCCACCAAAAAAACATGCCGAAACCCGCCAGGAGTTGAACCGTCAGTTCCTGGCGCCTTCAGCGGAGGAGGCGGACTTCGTGGTGCTGGAGCACTGCGTGACCTATGCGTATCATGTGCTGCGTGGGAAGCCCAGGGATGGGATGGGGATTTGCCATGATTTTGATCGTAGTATATCATATATCATATATCATATATCATATATCATGCGCATATATAGTATTTAATAGTAATAATAATAATAATTTAATAATAATAATAACAATAATAATGATAATAATAACAATAATAATAATTAATATATATATATGTAATAATATAATATGCACATATAATCATACTATGCCATCACAATCATCACACAAATCCCAAATGTTGGTTGATCAACATCTTGCTGAAATGGTGATGTCTGATCCATTGTGGAAAATCATCCGCACAGATATGTGTCCAGTCTATACGGTTTGTTTTTGGCAAGAGTCCCAGGGTGCAGACTGTTTTTTTTTGTATGTAATTATTGATTTTGGATAGATTCTGATGTTCATGTCCGCAGCCGATGCATTGCGCCGGCAATGGGGAAAGTGATGATGGACCAAATATGAACCTTTTTTTTGGGGGGGGCTATGGTCCACCGGCGTGCAAGAAAACATAGGAAGGGGAAGGATACAGGGCACAGCCCCGAGAATTTGCATCGTACATACCATCGGCCGCAGCCTGGGTGATTTCGAAAGGAAAATTGTGGGAGACAATATGAGAATATATGAGATTTGTCATCAATTTTTCAGACACCACAACTCTAAACACAAACGTATAGGCTAACTGTTGGTTTTCATGCGCACCACGGAGATAATCCTACGATTCCTAACTTGATGACGGACGGACGGCGCCGTGGTGCTGCACGACCTGAGGCTATGGAGCTGGCTACAACACGGTGAAGTTAACATGGGAAGCACTTCGCATTGTTCAGGACTGCAGTATTGGGAACATCTAAGAACAACATATATTTACTGCACACACACACATTCACAATATTTCACAATCATTCACATACAGGTATTGATATATGTAGTATATGTATGCACATGCCTAAGTTTGTGTGTGGAGTTCTCAGGATGACCTCAAAAATATTGATCAGTACTTTGGTTCCTTTCTCTGCGATCCACATTTTGCGCAGGAATCGTATTTGATGCCCATCATTCATTGGGCCGAGACGACGCCGGCGTATCAGAAGTTTCAGGGCAGGCGGGGATGGACTTTCCCAGTAGCTAACCTTGGAAGAGGACAATCGACCAGTACTGATCGACTGGAAACTTTCTGTATGAAAATTGGATGATCAATAGAAAATTAATAGGAAGATGTCACCTCCAAACCTTGCTATCATTGATTCCCTTCCCATTGTGGATATCTCCACGTTCCCTGCTCGGCCCTGCACCGCCCTGCAAGTCCCACGGCCAGGAACTTTGTGATCGTCTTCGCGATGGACAAAGGCCGCGTAGATTATCCCATCGCTTCACGAGCGACTCAACATTGGCACGCCATCACCACTGCCACTTGGACAGCTACGGTGTTTACCGAGGGATTAGATTTCAAAGATCAACGGAGTGACATGCTCAATTCAGATTCGCCAAATTCCATTGATTCAATCCAAATAAAATGATGGCAGTTTCGATCTCCAAATAGGGGAGATGATTGTTTGGTGATTGCCTCTCTGGTGTCCACGGTGTCACCGAGGTGGGAAATGGAACGCTGGAGCCCGAGCGAGTCCAAGCACCGGAAAAGATTTGAAACAGTTGAGCAGCCAAACCCAGGATAAAGAATTATATATATATACATTATGTATATATGTGTGTGCGTGTGTGGGTGTGTGTGTCAGAAAAGTGAACACCTGCCTTATGGTTTTTCAACATCGCAAGCAAATGATCGCACATATTGATGCAAGTTGATTTCAATGGCTCCCAAGGACGTGGATGAAGAGGTGGGAAAGCCGAGAAAGCGTTTCGTTATATAACTGAAACTGTCACACTAATGAAGATAATGAAGGTTTGAGATGATTGGAGATGGTCATTTGAGTCATTTGGGACTTGGAAGTGTTGAACATGTTGAACCATTGGGACAACTGCATGAGGATGTTGAATGATGGGCCATCCAGTGGAGCAGGTTGAGAGGACCAATAGATCAGCACATCTCCGACATCACAGGAACCAGCCTTGGCTGTTGCCTGAATCGACTGGTGGAGTGGATCCTTGCAGGGGCCGCACCAGCACGTCGAAAAGGCCCAAACATGTGGAAACATGTGGAAACTCACTGCAACAATTGCTGGACGCTTGGATGCTATTTTGACAATTTCAACACATGTTGCGGACTTCTCTTTTTAAAACATCACTAGATGTTGCGAAGTATCAACGAAAGCTTTTTCTGGTTCATTCTATCACGAAGTCGGAGGGTGGTAACCGCAGTGCCACTGCGCAAAGCAGGCGACTCATCTACTACGAACAGGTTCTTGGGTTTCATGGGAGGTCTGGAACGTTGGTGGTGGTGGTTTTTGAAGCTCTCCCAAATTTTTTGAGTACCTGGACTATATATTTGGATATATTTGGACTAAACCATACCAAACCAAAAAAAGGATGCTTGAAACTTTTCCAGAATGGCAACCTGAACGATGTTGCCTGGCTTTGGTTGATGGCTGTTGATGGTGAATTTGGAGATCAACAACAGCATTTGTCGATGCGCTGATGCTTTGCATGCTTCTTCCTGAACTTGCAAGTGATAGCACATTCAGCAGTGTTGTGTTGACCTCTGATTCATCCGGTGGCCGTGTTTTCTCAAATAGGCCTTGAGCTGACTGGCCTGCGCAACCTCCGTCCAAAAGATCGCTTGCATGCGATAGCTATGGTGTTTTCTTGAATACCCCGTGCAGGGGTCGGCATAACATCTCACCTTAACAGTGGTAGCGGAGCAGGTTCGATCAGACAATGCAATCCTGTGGAAATCTTCCTCCTGCAGATCCCTGGGCACAATACTTGCAAAACCAAGGTGCAACAACTGCGATGGGTGGCCAATCCTGTTTTGCTGCTTCAGGCACAATGCAAGGTCATTCATCAGTTTCAGCTACAGCTGCTAGCAGTTCAACGGGTGATGCTTCGGGAAGAGTGCCGCAGATGTTTTCACCACAGATGTTTCATCCTGGTTTTTCTGTGCCGGTTTCTTCGACAGCTGGTGGGCCATTCTTTAGAACCGCAGGTCCCACTCAGCAGAACACTGGTTTTGGTGCAGCAGCATTTTCTTCGGCTTTAGGTCTTGGAAGTGCTTCAGCACCGACTTCAGGAGCTACAAAGAACTCGGCGTTTGATTTGCTGGGGAATCAACGGCCACAAGGCCATATGCAACAGAGATTTGTCCCACAGAGCCCAAACGTTCCAATGAGTCCTGCACAATCCAACCAATTGGTTGCACAAGCATTGAATCAGGCATTGACTGGCGAGAAGAAGAACATCCCTGTCTGGAACGGTCAACCAAGCACTTTGCGGAGTTGGCTCAAACTGCTTGCACTATGGGAACATGAATCTCAGATGCCGATGGAGCGAAGAGGAGTGAAACTTTTGCAGAGCTTTGCAGAGGGATCGGAACCCCGCAGAATTGCGGATACAGTTCCAATGCATGTTTTGCTGTCGCCTTCTGGATACAGCTCAGTGCTGAGTGCAATCTATGAGAAGTACTTCCCCTACTTGGAAGCTTCAGCACCAAAGGCTGTGGACAAGTTCATCTATGAAGGTGAGCGACAGAAGGCCGAAAGTTTTACCTCCTTTATAGCCTCCAAGCAGTTGGCGCGTCAGGAGATGGAGAGCCAATTGGGTGAGGTCATCTCAGACCGTCTTTGCGGAAGGATTCTTTTGAGGCAAGCTGGGTTGAACGAGTTTCAGAGGGAAATGCTCATGCTTCGCGGACCAGCCTTGAGGACTTTTGATGAAGTCGCTACAATGCTGCGTACACTGGACAGGCCTGAGATGCTGGTCAAGGCCCAATCTGGTGTGCAGAGTCGTAACTATGCAGCTTACAATATGGATGGTGGAGAAGATCAACAGCAGTGGAACAATGTGGATGATGTTCAAGACGATGATGATGAGTTGGTGGAAGATTCTTCATCTCAAGATGAAGAAGGACATCCCTTCATTTACTTTGAAGACCGCACCTTCAATGAGGAGGAGACTGTGGAAATTCTGGCATACCACAGTGCGTACAGAGATGTCCGCAAGGAGTTGCAGAAGCGCCGAAACGAAAGAGGCTATGTCAAGAGAGGGCATGACTCTGGTAGTGGAAAAGGAAAGGGCAAACGTAAAGGTCCCAGGAACAACTTTGGAAAGGGCAAAAGCAAGTTCTCGAAGGGAACGCGCTACCTCAAGTCCTACGAGGATGACCTTTTGTCGAGGACCAGATGCTTCAATTGTGACGAATTGGGTCACATGTCCAAAGATTGCCCCTTCAAGAATGACCAGAACAAGAAACCCTCACCTGGATCAAACAATGCCAGGAAACAGTTTCTGATGACTTCCACTGGACCACAGGTCTTTATGCACAACTCTGGATATGTGGTTCCTTCAGAACGTTCAGCAGACCGTGGAGCACCATACAGACTGATGATTTTTCATGCAGTTCAATGTCGACCTGATGAAGCTCTGGTAGACACGGCTGCTGAAGAAGCAGTGATTGGACATCATGCTATGGAGATGCTTGAAAAGGAACTGAAAAAGAAAGGGTTGAGACCGCAGTGGCAGCGCGGTGGAAACCTCCCAGGAGCTGGTGGGATTGGTGGAGCTGCAACAGTGAAAGGCGTAGCTCATGTTCCAATCGGTGTTGCTGGATCAAATGGTGTACTTCAATTTACAATTTTGGAAGATGGGGATCATCACAGAACCCCGCCATTGTTGCCAATTGGATGGTTGGAATCCGTGGGTGCATCCATAGACTGCAAACATGATCTGTTATTTCTGGAAGACGGATCTTCAACCAACATGCGAAGGTTGCCCACCAAACATCGAGCTGTTAGCATTATGGATTTTTCAGATGATGGTTGGGACTTGCCTCAACACCTTCGGCGAGATCCCAATGTTGATCCGTTTGTGATCCCAACATTTCAGGCGATGGTCAACCAGGAAACCAATGAAGAAACTCCAGTGATTTCAGTTTGGTTGTTGGTGGATGAGCAACTGCACCATTTGCAAGACCTTCCATCTCAGGGCAGACTTCAGATGGTACTGCCGCAGGAATGTGCTTTGATCCAAGACCCTGCAACCTTGGAACCAGAGAGATTGACCCATGCGTTTTTGCAAGGTGGCAGACATATGGTGATTCGAGACTACTGGCAAGATGCACGAGCCAGTCGTCAACTTGATGAGCAGTGGCATGGGGCAGTGATCTTTGCCTCCAATCAGCACGTGGTGGTGAACACCAGTGGTTCAGTATCGAACCAACCTGTCATTGCTGATGAGACCACTCGCAGAGCTTTCACCCATGTTTCATCGAGCTCCAGCTCGGCAGCCCCATCATCAAGCTCAACCTGGGCAAACACTGCTCGACGTGAGTTCGGCCATGGTGGGAAAAGAGCTGATGACCAGGTCTCAACATCATGTCAAATGTCAACATCTCAAAGTTTGCCATCTCCATCATCTCAGACTATGTCATCATCTCAAACATTGACATCACCATCACCATGTTCAGCACAACATCAACATGCCCCAGATGTTTTATTCACCCCGACAGCAACTTTGTCATGTTCATCATTGCCGCGACCTCAGGACGGGCATCAATCAATTGCAGCAGCAGCTTCAATGCAGGTGCCGTCGGGTCCCATTTTCGAGTTTGATTTGGCAAGTTGTGATGAACATTTGGCAGAAGTTTGTGATGATTCACCAGTTTTTGATTTGCGGCCAAACTCCATCAGCAACAAACAAGTTTTGGGTTGGTTGGCATCAATTTTCTTTCCCAATTTTGTTGCTGCTGATCGTTTGATGACCAACACTTGGTCGCATGAAGCTGGCAGTGCAGAATCGACAAATGCCGAAAAGCCGTTCCAAATGCTCAAAGATCTGATCTTCAACCACAACCTTTGGTGTCCCAGACGTTTTCGCAATGAGCAGTCTTCGAGAGTCTTGCAGACAGATGGTGAAGAGCGAAGCTGCCGGACCAATCAGTCCTCCATCACAGTCCAAGCCGGCGACAACTTGGAGAAGGCTTGTGTTGGCACTCTTGATGATGATGTCCAACACCAGACATACCATGGCCATGGAGTACCTGTTGAAAAAGCCGATCCAAGCCCCGGCAGAGGACGAGGACCAGAAGGACACCAAGAAGGATCGGAAGTCCAAGGATCCGAAGTCAGTGGTCAGACAGGCCATTGGAAAGCCTCTGAGTCGCTCCAAAGCTCAGACAGCTTGGAACCGAGAGGTGTCGGAATGCATCCACGAGGAGGAGTACCTTCGTCACCGAGCTGGAAAAGGGCACTTCTGGTACACCTGCCTGCAATGTGGAGGTCGTTGGGAAAGGCTTCAGTCCCAAGCTTCCAGTTCAACTCAGGTGATCGAGACAACGGTCCCGGCGGAGAACTTTCCAAAGTTTTTGCCTGCACCGAGAAGCCGCCCAGATCTCAAAACGCAGAAGGTGACAATCAACCAGTTGCCCAAGGCCAAAGCCGTGACCTCAAAACCAAGCGAGTCACGTGGAAGGACCTTGCAGAAGCAGGGATCGGAGAAGATGATCGGCCTGATGCCAGTTCAAAGGTCGAAGACGCCGACACCAGACCCAAGTCGAGCGTCAGGATCCCAGGTCGAGGTCTTCACGTTGGCCGGCAACGACATGGACGAGGTGGAAATGGTGACAGCAGACGAAGACTTCTCAGCCGAGGAGATAGCCATGATGAATGCAGATTGGCAGCGGGACATGGTGGAATCAGCGACGGGCCTGGGCATAGAGTATGTCTCAGCCCTGGAGCGGGAGCACATCCTGGACCCGTGAAGATGGATGACTTGGAGTGCTTCGAGTCTTTTGAGGCTCACAAGACAAAGTCCCACGACACCAAGGTTCGCACCACAATTCGAGCCGAGCTAAAACACAGCGCACAGATCTTAGACTGTGGTTTGGCTAGCAAGGTGGCTTCAGTCGCGAAGATGGCGGCCATCCTTCTTTTGACGTTTTCCTCCAATTGCGAAGCCACTTGGAGTTTGCCTGGAATTCAATCCTTTGTACAAGTTCCGCACTGGTTGGGAGAGACCCAACATGCTTTTCTTCAAGATCAAAACGGATGGTTGCCACTGCCGCCAGACTCAGAGCTCAAAGGCAGGAAGTTTCACATTGGATTGGTCTACCCTCTGAACAGTTGCAACTACAACCTCTTCTCCGAGGACATGCAGTGGAGTTGCAAAGGCGTTTCATTGCCCAGAGGTGTGAAGATTTTTCTGAACCAGTCCTTGTCAGGCCATTTTGGCACTGACATCATGGAAGTTTACAGTCCTCCGAGGGTGACTTTAGAAGCAGAACTGCAAAATCGAAAGGGCCACAAGCCAGCATGGAGAATTGGTCAAGCTTTTGACTTGACGAATGGGTTCGACTTTCGAGACCGGCAGACCAGGATCGAGGTTCTCAGGCACATCAGAAAATGGCGACCAGCCTTGATCATTTTATGCCCTCCATGCACTACATTTAGCCCCCTCAGGAATTTGTCCAACTTCAAGCGTGACCACGACGTTGTTTTGGACGAAGAAGAAGAAGGTCTTCTGCATTGGGAGTACTCACTTCAACTTGCAGAAGAACAAGATGATGCCAACAGAGCCTTTTTGCTAGAACAGCCCAGAGGTGCCAAGTCATGGGAACACCCCAGAGCTCGACGGTTGCGGGCCAGACGAACAGTCTATGAGATCACCATTGACATGTGTGCTTTTCAACTTCGCACCAAAGAAGGTGAGCTTGCCCGCAAACCAACGATGATCGTGACCAACTGCTATCCTTTGGTGAAAATGCTGCACAAGCGTTGTTCTGGAGATCACCATCATCAACCTTTGCTTGGTGGTCGTGCCGCTGCAGCAGCTCAGTACACCAAACCTTTTGTGAGAGCCATTTTACGTGGATTGCGGCACCATTTGCAATTTCATGGTGTGGTTTTCACACAATCTGAGGGACATGCAGCAGTTGAGCCACTTCCTCAACCACTTTTTCATGCGGTGGACAGTGAGTTGCGAGCTTGGGTGCAACCTTTGGCATCATATGTTTTGGCAGAAAGTGCTTTTCAAGAAGAGTTTCAAGTTTTTGCTACTTCAATGGCTTCCTCTTCAACAACCCATTTTCCATCAAACAGAATTTTGGGAGGTGGGAGTGGTCGTGTTTCCACTTTGCGTCGCCAGCCACTTCCGGCACTTGACGACGATGCGGAGGAGCCTGTGATGAAAAATGTAAGCAATCAGCTTCGACCCATAGCCGAAAGCCGAGAAGTTCAACAGCTTGCCGAGGCTATGAAGGCCAAAACCAGAAAAGATGGGAAGTTGGAAGTGTCGGCAGATTTGCGCCGAGAAATCTTCAGACTTCACAGGAACTTGGGTCATCCAGACCAATGGACTTTTCTCCGAGCCCTACGGCATGCTCAAGCCAAGCCCGAAGTGATTGAGTGGGTTCGCAGTGAATTCCGATGCCCCATCTGTGAGTCTTCAAGAAAACCATCCTTGCCGCGACCTGGACATTTGGTTCGCTGCATGGCCTTCAACGAGGTTGTCGGAGTTGATGTTTGCTACTTTGATTGGAAGGGAAATTCATACCCTCTGCTCAACATGCTTTGTTGGGGAACTGGACTACAGATCATTGAGAGATTGCAGAATGTGGATGCCCATGAGACACACCAGGCCATCCTCAAAAGTTGGTTCATGCCTTTTGGACCGCCTGCAATTTTGATTTGTGACCAAGGGCGAGAGTTCTTTGGAGAAGAGTTTTCCCAACGAGTGATGGAGCAAGGTGTCATGGTACACTTCACGGACACCAACAGTCCATGGCAAAACTCCCGTACGGAGAAGGCTGGAGGCATCTACAAGCAGAAGCTCCACATGGTTTTGGATGAGGTCTCCGCACTGACTCCACAGGACTTGGACTTGTGCCTGAAAGAGACCTGCATTTCCAGAAACAGGGCCTTCAGTAGGTCGGGATATTCCCCATACCAACGAGCCTTTGGAGTGAACCCACGGCTGCCAGGCAGCTTGCTGTCTGATGACATCCTCAATCCAGAACTACTTCAAGTATCAGCTTCTGAAGACATGCAACGGAGCTGGAGGATTCGAGAAGCAGCAGCTATGGCTTGGGTCAAGCAACAGGACATCGATTCAGTGCGAAGATCTGTGAAAGCTGCCACTCGCAGTGCCGACTTGAAGCCTCTGTCAGTTGGCGAATGGGTCTTCGTGTGGAGATCAATCCCTGGATTTACGGGTTGGTCTGGCCCTGGTGTTCTGCTGGCCATATCGCCAAGCGAGAAGTCAATGTGGGTATCGCTTCGAGGACATCTTCTGAAAGTTTCCAGAGAGCACTTGCGATCAGCAACCGCAGAAGAACATCTTGGCGCTGAACTCATCAAAGAGTTGTCTGCAGAGATGTTGAAAGACATCAAAGACGGCAAGATCCGACAGTTCCACGATCTCACCAAGGAACCAACTCCGGATCAGGAGAAGGAGCTGCAGATTTCAACTGAACCTCTGGATGAAGATGGCCCCAAACCTTTGCCATCCATTCCTGAAGAACCACCTCAAGTTCCTCAGATTCCTCCAGATGACGATGATGAGATCAGCATGGCGCCAACGACTCCAATTTCCACGCCAAGAGACATGGCTTTGGACCAAGATGAAATCCCAGATGATGTGATGGACCCTGCAGATGATAGCACACGAGCACCATCCGTTGCTCCAGCAGACGCCATGCCGAGTGTGCCACCATCAGCAGTGGACAGTCGAAGAACCAGTGTCGACACCAGACGAAACAGCATCACAGTTGATGAGGGTCCCGGAGGTGAACTTCGTGCCCCAATGAGAGGTCGTGGAAGTGTGGGTGCCAGGGTTCAACCATATCCTTTTGTTGGCAATCCACCTCCTTTGCCATTGCCTCCAAGACCTTCGGAACCAGCTGAACCAGGTTCTTTCTATTTGGAAGTTGCAGACTTCGATGGAACTCGGTCCAGACACCTCAATTGGACCAATGGACCTGATGGTGCAGTTTGGTGGCATGACAAAAGGACAGGCAGAAGCAGCCTTTCAGCTCTCTCCAACGATGGATTTCGAACGGAGGAGGCTGTAGGCATTTTCAGTCAAGCAGACCTTTGCATTTACATGACGAAAGCAAAGACTTCTCCTGGCCAGGTGGATTTCAAGTCCTTGAGCAAGAAACATCGTGAAGTGTTTGAGAAAGCCCGCATCAAGGAAGTGCAGTCGTTGCTCGACAACAAAGCCATCAGAATTTTGAGTGTGGAAGAAAGCAGAGCTTTTAGAAAAGAGTTTCCAGACTATGTGCTGCAGAGCCGGTATGTGGACCGGTGGAAACCAGATGGGGACAAATTTTCCACCCTTCCACAGTCCTATGGGTCTCCCGACTTTGAGCCAACAGCCAACAACAGTGGTGTATCTGCCAAGTCGAGGTGGTGCGTCGTAGGATGGCGTGACCCGTTGGTTCACAGCATAGAAAGGAGCGCCCCGACGCCGCTCTCGATCAGCATATGTCTTTTCTTCCAGCTCTCATCGACTCGTCGATGGGCAGGGCGCGTCAAAGACGCAAAGACAGCGTTTCTCCAATCACTTCCAACAACAAGAAAGCGCAAGCTTTGTTGCACCATGCCAAGTGACTGGGTTTTTCCAAATTGCACTCCAGAACAATTGGTGATGCTCGAGACTGAGGTTTATGGTTTGGTCTCAGGACCAGCATGGTGGAGGAAGTCGTTTTTGGAAGTTCTTTTGGATTTGGGTTACAGAATCAATCCATATGACCGCTGTGTCCTCACCCTCGACAGCGAAGACCGAAGTGCCGATGCTCCAACAGAAGGCATTCTCTTGATTGAGGTCGATGACGTTTTGGAGAGTGGTGGTGAAGTCCATCAACGAAAGATGAAGGCTCTTCAAGAACGACTCCGTTTTGGGAAGGCCGTTGAACTTCGAGCAGAAGCTTCGGGAACTGCCTACGCTGGCAGGAGGATCAAGCAGCTGGAAGACTATTCTTTTTCCTACAGCATGGATGACTATGTTGAAAACAGGTTGCGACCAGTGACTTTGACGAGAAAGACACTGATGAAGGATGCCAAGCAAACCATCCTCAATGCCGAGGAAGAAGCACAACTTCGTGGCACCATAGCAAGTTTGAATTGGGTGGCACGTGAAGGTAGACCTGATGCGGCAGCTGCAGCGTCCATTTTGGCTGGAAGTTTTCCACAACCAACAGTTCAAGACGTTTTGGATGCGAACAAAGCAGTTCAGAGGATCAAGTCGCATCGAGTGACCTTGCGGATCCACAGCATAGCTGAAGAAGAGGTGAGGCACTTTGTGATTGCCGACTCATCCTTTGACCCCACGGGACGGTCGAAACCACAACACGGATGGCTTCAAGGAATCACTGACTCTCGCCTCAACCAAGGATCGGAAGCTCCCATTTCACTGCTGGCATGGAAATCAAGAAGGCTGAGAAGGAAAGCTGGCAACACCATGCTTTGTGAAAGCATATCGTTGTCAACTGCCTTAGGTGCACTTGAGCGCCAAATTGCTATGTGGAATAGTTTCAGGCTATCACGATTTGACCCACGTCAACAAGCCGAATCAGATGACCATCGTGGACGTCGCGGCGCTCCAACTGTCATTGCTTCGGATGATCCTGGTTTTACAGATCCACTGAGTGTAGCAATCATCGACGCCAAGTCCCTCTTTGACGCAGCTGCAACGGAACAGTCCTCAGGAGATTGTGACCGGTCTGCGCTGGAAGTGGCAATCATCCAAGATTCAATTGCCCGATGCCGAGGGCGAGTCCGATGGGTGCCACACAATTTCAATCCTTCGGATGCCTTGACCAAAGTAGCCGGTGCCCACGAGAAACCCATGATGGATTTGCTTAGAACTTCAAGGCTGAAAATCCAAGCTGAAGAACAAACTTTAGCTGAAGGGAGACAGCACGAGCATCGGATGAAAACCAAAGTCAACCCAAAAGATTTTCAGGGGGCTGATAGCACATTCAGCAGTGTTGTGTTGACCTCTGATTCATCCGGTGGCCGTGTTTTCTCAAATAGGCCTTGAGCTGACTGGCCTGCGCAACCTCCGTCCAAAAGATCGCTTGCATGCGATAGCTATGGTGTTTTCTTGAATACCCCGTGCAGGGGTCGGCATAACATCTCACCTTAACACAAGTTTGGTTGGTACCATTTGCCATCTCCATCACATAAAAACATATAAAAACCACGTATTTTCTTTTTTCAGGGGCCTTAATTTTCTATACTATACCTTCTTTACATAGAAAATCATAGAAACATATTTTCGTTGCTGACCCCACAGTGTTTCCCATGTTTTTCCCCATCTCCCATCTCTCATTACTTGGCGATTCATCGCACTCAGTAGGTAGGTTATGTCCCTGTCTATGGGTGGGATAAGTAGGCTCTATCCACTGAAAACTCCGCTAAGTAAGATGAACTCCCAAGTGGCGTGATTCTTACCAGCCAATCCTATTGGCAGTTGATTATTGGTTACTATATCCTTACTATTGATTGATACAACAATCGTCAATAATCAAACAATGCGGAGATAGTAGTTATCAATCGACTACTAGTATCACCAATAGTAGCACATATCAATAAAATTGCTATTGATTGATACTAATCACCAAGAATATCCAATAATATGGTGGTTAGTATCAATCACCAATAATCACCAATCATATCCAATCATATCACCAATCATATCCAATAATCATTGGATTGGTTTAAGGGAAAATCTTAAGCGGAAACCATGGATTTCCCCATTAAATATAGGGCTTTCCCCATTGAAATAACCAACCCATGTGTTTCAGGATGTGGTGGTTCCGGTGCCCACGGGCTTTGAATGGACTGCCGCGGCGGATGACGTGGAGGACCGTCACCTGCTGCTGTTCTATGCGGCCTCGCCGAGCCTTGCCACAGAGATGATTTTCTGCATCGGAAAAGACGATATCATAATATATCAGAAATTAAATCTGTCTGTCTGTCTGTCTGGCTGTCTGCCTGCCTGCCTGGCTGTCTGTCTGTCTGTCTGTCTGTCTGTCTTAGACGGTAATCATTTATAATTCCGATGATTCTGGGACAGAGACGGAGACGGCTCTGCAAGGTGACACAATTGGATCATGACTGTGGGAAATATGTGACAATGCCATGCGTGTCAGGGAATTCCCGGGCAGCCACCTTGAGGAATTCCTGTATTCGGAGGCACATCAGCCGCCAATTGGCCGAGTCTCCAGATGCTGAGGCGGGGGTGACATGCTGGGCCAGGGATCTAGGTACTGTGGCATGCCCTTACTGACACTGGCAGGTGCTGATCATTCCGAAACCCATTCCAAAGAAACCGTGGAGCGATTTCCTGTACAGATCCAAGTTCTGCTGCTTGGCTTAATCTGGATAAGTTCGGAAGTAAGGAATGATGGGATGCCTTCACCAAGCCAAGCTCTGGTTTGTTCTTGGGCTGAACGGGCAGGGCTCCACCCAGAGAAAGAGCGCCCGGGCTTGCTTTTACCCCAGCGACCTGAAGAAGCTAAGGTGGCTCGCAGACGTCCTGCTGACATCTACTTGCCATGCTTGGATGGGACTCCGACTGCACTTGACTTTGCCGTCACAGGCCTTCAGCGGCCGGAGTCTTTGCCCCAAGCAGCACAAGTACCTGTCAGCGCGGCGGCTGCTTATGCCCAAGTGAAGTGCAACCACCAGCACACGGCCCAACTTTGTGCCGACCAAGGAGTTCGATTCCTTCCGTTGGTATCAGAATCCACGGGTGCATGGGACACCGCCGCCAGCCGCACACTTCGGGTCATCGCCTCGGCAGTTGCGGCCCGTGAAGGTCAGGTGGGCTCCTCGGTGTACACTGTCATGCTCCAAGAGTGCAGCGTCCTCCTGCGCAGCTTCCGGGCTCGTGCGGCCCTGCGCCGCCGTTCGGAACTCGTGACCTTCTCTCAGCACCCTGTGCGGGCATCGGCCGTGTTGCTGGAATCCGTCCCAGACGTCACGTGAGAGCCGGGCTAGCTGCTTCATAGTTTTTCCTTTGTACCATCCTCTGGCCCAGTTTTCCTTCATTTTGGCCGTGTCGATGGTTTTTCCTTTTCTGCACGTGCGGGTTACTCTCGCCATTGCTGACTGTGACCATCTTTCCTGTACAATTCATTTATTTGATGTTGACGGTCAACCTCTTTCTTTTTCCATGTTGCTGACTGGCAGCGGTTCTTCCTGCCACCCTGGCAGCCTGCCGGCGCACAGCGTGTGAGTCAAGCCTGTGGGTCTAGATCCTTAGGATCCTTAGGCATGGCCCGCATGGCCTTTCTTAGGCCGCGAAGGAAGGTGGTCTTCTGATGGCTACTCGTTAAGCGAGTAGCTAGTAGCAGCTTCCGACCAGTCTACAGCTCAGTAGAAATTGTGCACTGCCGAGGCCTTGTCCCTGATGGCGTCTCCTCAATTTCTGCAAGGCTGTACGAGGCCGCCAGCGGCATCATTTCACGCGGCCAAAGAGTCCTGCTTGCTGGCCTGCTTGGCATCTCAAATCCTGAGACTTTCAAAACTTTCAGATTTCGCAAGGATCTGAATATAGCTATCTATACAGCTATCTATAGTTTATGTAATCTTATGTCCAGCAAGAATGGAGCTGAGTTTCCTGCTCGCCTCGGAGTTTAAATACCCGCATCAAACTACAAAAATGGGAGGTTTTACTACATGGCTGTGTGCCTGTGCTGCTGACCCACGCCTTTCATCCGTGTCGCCCTCAGAGATTTTCTGGTGATGCTTCCAGGTGCAAAGGTGCAAAGCACAGCAGATGTGAGCGCAAAATCGATCTGACAAAACGGTCACTCCCTGGCCTTAAAATCAATTAATATCACAGTGAGTTCCAATGGCCAGAAGACAAAGTTTATTTGGTAACTCTAGTTATATCCCTCATAAGTACTTGCAATATCATGTTTCAGGGGTCAGTACTGGTGGTTACTTCCCCACTTCTAATTGCCATATATATAAACGTGGGAAACCCAATCATTAACCTACCATCGAGGGAGGGAAAATTCTATAGTTTATACCACCCAATGGTTGGAATCCCACCCAATGGTGATGACTCGGGGATGACTCATTGCTTTACCAACGTTACACCGTGGTGTGTCATATTTTTTTCATCACCCACCGGCCCCCCAAAAAATACAAGGCCCTTCGAGCGCTTAGTGGACTGGCGCCGCATCGCCGTCTTCCTCCGCAACGACGAGGTGGGCGGCGCAGAGACATACATGGTTGCATATTGGTACTATATGGTTAAAGAATGTTATAGAATGTTATAGGTACACATATGATTCACATATGTATATATACACTAAAATCTACTCAAGTGTTGTATTGATAACACATTTTTTGAAACATGTTTTTACACAAGGCACCACGGAAACGCCTATCAGCCAATGGAGGGGGGATGGTCTTGGACACTGGTCAGGTGGCAGATGCACCGGAGATTCTGAGAAACATTACGGACGAGGTGCTGTGCTGTGAGCATCCTATTTTGTGAAGAACCACATATTTTGATGACAGGAGCAACATTCAGAAACGTTCCAGTTTCGGATAGTCTGAAGTCTGACTTCAACATCGCTTTTGAGAAGTTTTTGGATCTTTTATTTTCTCTGGGGTTCATTTTTTAGGGAAGTCCTTCAGTGTAGATCTCTGAAGTTTCTGGGCCCACATTCCAATGGTGGTTATCTGCCAGGATTATCTCGCGATGCATCGGGAGGTGGTTCGCGCCCGTCGGCTCTTGATGCTTGGATCCATGATCATCCATGACGATCCATGATGATATATATATATATAATATATATATAATATATATATAATATATATATAGATAGATAGATAGATATATAGATATAGATATAGATATAGATATAGATATAGATATATACAGTCACCCCCCAAAAAATGGACACGCGCAACATCCCCGCGAAAATGTGATGATGATTTAGCTTTCTATCTTGGGGGGTTACTGTATGCAGTTCCGGCTGCGGCAATGTTTTTGTGGCACAACTCAGCACACGAATCAAACAGATGTGCATTCTTTGACAGATTTGACTGGCAAGATCTGGCAAGCAATCCGATCTGTTTGGGTATGCATGGGCAACCCAATGTTTGGCCCAATGCCAATACTGGATCATGGTGGATGAAATCCCAATTCACCTTGAAGTCTGAATCGTCAATCTCCATGTGAACCTGAGGAATGTGCACGACGCTTGGCCCAACTAGCTGACGATATCCATGGTGAGGATGAGGATGTGACGAATGATGACGATGATAAGGATGACCGCGATGACAGCAATGATTGATGAGGATGACAACAATTAGGATGACAATGAGGATGACAATGTAGACAGCCGCACCTCGAACTTTAAAGGTTGCATGCGAGGCCCTCATGCAGGGTGCATAGTCGCTACTCACCCATCTCTTCCATGCTCTTTCACTGGCACGCTCCCCCTCATCCTCATTACCACCATCGTCATCACCGTCATTTCAGGTCAAAAATCATCAAAGTCTTATCCTCATTGCCATTTCTAAACATATAGAATTACATTGAAATCATTCCGGCCATCGCCTTCATCCCAGATTCAAGAGTCCCAGCTTCGACTTCCCTAGATTTGGAGGTAAAGGCCATGGTTTCTGGATGTTTCCGGCAGATTGTGCCGGAAAACACCATTCCATTGGCAGAACTCATGGCGCCAACTGAGGACTTGCCTTTCTGGGTCGCCACCAATTTGGAGCTGCAGCTCCGTTCCACGCTGCGCTGATGGGAAAAGATCGTTGCGGGGGTGAAGAGTACTCTTGGTGGGTACCCCTGGTGTGTCGAAAACATAAAGTGTTTAGGTGTTTGAAGTTTAATGACTTCAAGTTTTTAGGACGTGCTGGTCTTAAAGCTGAAACTTTGGATCAACCCCAGCGGCACTGAACTTTCTATTCCCAGCTTATTTGAGGCAGAGCTGGCTGCTTCACTTCAAAGAAAGGTGCTGCCGACGGGGTTTGATCTGGCTGACGGCTCTTCAAGAGCAGGAACCTTCCCGGGTGCATAGAAGTCAGGCATTTGCTTCCGTTTTGCAGATTTCAAGCAGCAGTCACTGAGATTCTAGATGATGTATATAGTCAAATTTTGCGGCGCGACTGACAACTGCCATCTATTCGTTCCGTGGTTTCGGCTGGGTATACCAGGCTGAAGCACCTGTCACGTGGGAAGCCCAACCATGGGAGGATAGCCAGATTACCCTGTAGATCCTGTAGTTTGCCTTCAAACCTTCGTGGACATTGCATGGAATCTGTCGTGCCCCCATGCTGGCAGCCTGCAATGCATTTGAGCAACAACGATGTTTGTTCCAGAAAGTCCAATTCCTCTTCGACTTGTTGTTAGCATCTTCGTTACCACCAGATCGCCCTTCAGCTCAAGCTCCATGCTCGCCCTTCAGCTCAATCTCTCGCGATGGTCACAGTCATTGGGTCGGGAGCCATGATTGGTAAAACCGGCATGGAAACAAACTTCCTGTTGCCCGGCGGACCCAGCGCCCCGAATCCCGCCCTGCGCGGTGCCCCCCCTGCCGGGGCCCGGGGCAGCCGGATGACGGGCAGCGCTCCCAGCGGCGCCATGGGCGGCCTGGCGGTGGTGGCGGCCGTGGCTGGGGCCACCATTTGCCGCGCAGCGGCCGTGAAGAAGAAGGGGGTGAAGGTGGTGCATGGCAAGGAGCTGATACTTGGAACTTTGGGCTGATATTTGGGATGATAATTATTTGGGGTGTTTTTTTGGGGGGGTGATCGCAGCATGTTTTAATAATCTACATCTTTGAAATGATCCCAACGGTTGTCTTGAAATTGAAACCACACGAGCATGACTCATGATGGGCGTCGGGAGCGATTTCTTGACCAAGTACAAAAAGGCGGCAAACCTCCCCCGTCTGTATCTTTCAACGGTTGAACGCTGATGCTGGAACCCTGCAGGAGATTCCTTGGAACCTGTTCTCCCCGAAGGCGCCATACCAGGGCAAGGTCGTGGCCAACGACGTCCACCCTCAAACTTTGACCGAACCGACTGGAGATGCCAACTGGGAGACCACCCACGTGACCTTTGACCATGGAGGTAAGGTGCCATACATTGAGGGACAATCCATTGGCGTGCTCGGCTGTTGGATGAGTACGCACTTTTCCTTTTTAGATACCTCATGACCTCAAGGTCTCACCAAAGAATCATCAGAATCCCTGATTTAGTATTGATATGTATTGATTCATCATCCAGGAATCCATTCCTTTTCCACCCCAGACCAGGCCTTTAAGGGACAATGTGATCACAGCCTGCTGAGGTGATTGCACCAGGCCCTGACAAGAAGGGTGAACAGCCCGCCAAGATCCGTTTGTATTCCATTGCCTCCTCGGCGGTGGGCGATGACCAAAGTTCCAAGACCGTGTCCTTGTGCCCTTTGGCGGAAGATGGGGGGATTGTTTCAGAAAGGGAACAGGCCGGGAACATCCAAGACGTAGTCAAAAGCACAAAAAAAACATGTGTGTGTAGATGAAAGTCATCCTAGTCATCCCAGCATTCCGGCTTTTCTTTCAGAGTCCCTGGGTTTCGATCCATGCCCAAATGATACCACGTCGCTGCTCCGGTGGCCCATGGGCACGCAGCTTTGCTCAAGCCCACGGCAGATGACCTGGTAGCAGTGAGCCATGCTGCAAAGAAGCGTCCGCCGAAGGAAGCTCTGTGTCAAGCAACAGGTCAGAGTGTCACATGTATCGCAGGCTTCTCTTGAGAAGTTGACAGGTTTGACCCTTGACAGGTCAAACTTCACCAATATCTTGAGGAGGTTAGCGGAGAAATGGCCTGAGTTGATCTTGGATGCATTTGAAACAGTGAGCATTGCAAACAAAGGCAGTTTTCAACTCAGGGAGGGCGATTTCACCACTGGAATTTCGCACTGTGGCAGGTCAAAGCTGTGGCAACATGCCTGTGGGCTCTTGGACATCATGCCGCGGGTACACTTGAGACCAAGCGTGATACCCTTCAGTGCCACCATCAGTGCTTGCGAGAAGGGCGGGCAATGGCAACAGGCCTTGGGATTATTTGAGGCGATGCAGATTTCCAGAGTCCATCCAGACACCATCAGTTACAATGCAAGCATCAGTGCTTGCGAGAAAGCTGGTGAGTGGCAGAAAGCATTGAAATTGTTTGTGAAGATGCAGGAGGAAGGAGTAAGCCGGGATGTTTACAGCTTCAGCGCGACTGTCAGTGCTTGTGAGAAGGGTGGTCAGTGGCAGCAGGCACTGAGCTTGTTTGAGGCTATGTTTGTTGGCAAAGTTTGTCCAAATGTTGTTAGCTACAGCGCAGCAATCAGTGCCTGTGAGAAGAGTGGTCGATGGCAGGAAGCGTTGGACCTGTTTGAGAGAATGCCCTGTGCAAACATTAGTCCAAATGTTGTCAGCCATAGTGCTGTGATAGGTGCTTGCGAAAAGGGTGGTCAGTGGCAGCAGGCATTGAGATTATTTGAAGCAATGCCAAGAGCAAAAGTGAGCCCAAATGCAATCAGCTACAGTGCGGCTATTTGTGCTTGCAGGCAGGGTAGTCAATGGCAACAGGCATTGAGCTTGTTTGTGGCTATGCCTTCTGCAAGACTTTCACCCAACATCATCAGCTACAATGCAGCAATCAGTGCTTGTGAAAAGGGTGGCCGATGGCAGCAGGCATTGAACTTATTTGAGTCCATGCCACTGGCACAAATTGAGCCGGATAGTGCCACTTACAATGAGATCTTGGACTGCACCCATATCCATGCTGAGCAGCTGGCTGCGCAGATTTTCCAGCAGGGCTTGCCCTCACTCCTTGGCAGGGCCCCATCCGTCTCAGCGCAGCACATCGATCTCCACGGCCTTTCCGAGGGCGCCGCAAGGCTCATGTTGCGCTGGTGGCTGTCCATCCTGGTGGCACGGCTCACCCACGGCACCAGCGGCACTCGTTGCATCGTCATCACCGGCTACGGCAAGTCGCGGCAAAGCTGGCGCCAGTCGGACCTGCGGGGGGCCGCCCTGGAGTTGTTGCAGAGTTTGAAGCTGCGGGCTGAAGTGCTGCCCAACCAGGGGAGGATCGGCCTGGTGCTGGAAAAGGAGGACCTGCCACAGCTCCAAAACGCTGGGAAGTTGTTTGATCCAACCAAGTACACCAAGGAGCTGCTTAAACCGTTCCTTCTGAACATGGACAGGACCAGCAGAAAACGGTAGAATGGACATGGAATGAGCATCAATTAGAATCATGAGACGTCGCACGCGAGGAGAATTGGAGAGAACTCCTCCAGAAGCTTCAGCAAAGGGGAAGTTTGCCTCCCGTGGCGCCAACTGGCCACTCCAATTGCGTCGGAAAATCAGCTCCTCTTGATGGCCAAGGTGCCATGAATTGCCATGATCTCTGCAGGCTTCTGAATGCATTTGAAGCCGAGAGAGATCTGGCAGTTGACAATTTAATTAAATTCAAATATATATATATATATATCGACGGACTGAAACTTAGAATGACCTTTTGGAAATCGCCGGGGGTATCCGAAAAGTTGCCGTTTCGACGCGCGGGGCCAAAATCCCACGTTTTTGAACTTTTTTTTCGTTTGGAAAACTTAGAATGAGTAACTGAAATGTTACGAAACACCGCGCCTGTCAGTCAAAACAGGTCTGGGACACGGAACATAGAATGGGTATTCGCGCACAGCTGACACACAGCTGATTTTCAAAAACAATTCGGCCACAATAGCAAAAGTACCCGTCATTCCAAGTTTGGCTCCCAAGTGCTGTTTTTTGTGGAAGGTAGTTCAAAATCCTTCGAAAATGATTTTTTTGAACATCTTTTTTTTTTCCCTCATTTGTTATTCATTTCCACGCATTTTTCCAGCCGTTTTTCATCCATTCTTCATCCATTCTGCACTAATTTCCAGCCATATTCATCCATTGTCATCTGTTCTTCATCCATGCTTCATCCATAATCTCTATCCACTTCCCATTCATTATTCATTGTTTTCCCCCATCAAATTTAATTCTGTTTAATCCCTGCTCATCAATTCTTATAAAATCATTTCACGCATGCTCTATATTTCCATTTCCATCCAGTTTCCATCCATTTTTCATCCTTTTTTCTTTTCTGCATCAATGTTTATCCAATTTCATCCACCGTCATCCATTATTCACCCATATTTCATCAATTTTTTTATCCATTTCCATCCATTTTTCATGTTTCGTCATCGGTGTTCATCAATTTTTGCTCTTGTTATGCTGTCCTCCATTTATAATCCAGTAATTTTCCACTTCCACCCAGTTGCATCTGTCCACACTGCCCTGGAACGCTCATTGTTTTACAGGATGCCTCAGCGGTTTCCAAATGGTCATTCTATGTTTCGGTCCGGCACAGCAAGACTGTAATGTATTCATTATATTTATACATAGTTATATTTATATATATATATATATCCATAATCTATATCCACTTCTCATTCATTATTCATTGTTTTCCCCCATCAAGTTTAATTCTGTTTAATCCCTGCTCATCAATTCTTATAAAATCATTTCACGCATGCTCTATATTTCCATTTCCATCCAATTTCCATCCATTTTTCATCCTTTTTTCTTTTCTGCATCAATGTTTATCCAATTTCATCCACCGTCATCCATTATTCACCCATATTTCATCAATTTTTTTATCCATTTCCATCCATTTTTCATGTTTCGTCATCGGTGTTCATCAATTTTTGCTCTTGTTATGCTGTCCTCCATTTATAATCCAGTAATTTTCCACTTCCACCCAGTTGCATCTGTCCACACTGCCCTGGAACGCTCATTGTTTTACAGGATACCTCAGCGGTTTCCAAATGGTCATTCTATGTTTCGGTCCGGCACAGCAAGACTGTAATCATTATATTTATAAATAGTTATATTTATATATATATATATCCATAATCTCTATCCACTTCTCATTCATTATTCATTGTTTTCCCCCATCAAGTTTAATTCTGTTTAATTCCTGCTCATCAATTCTTATAAAATCATTTCACGCATGCTCTATATTTCCATTTCCATCCAATTTCCATCCATGTTTCATCTTTTTTTCTTTTCTGCATCAATGTTTACCCAATTTCATCCACTGTCATCCATTATTCATCCATATTTCATCCATTTTTTTATCCATTTCCATCCATTTTTCATGTTTCGTCATCGGTGTTCATCAATTTTTGCTCTTGTTATGCTTTCCTCCATTTATAATCCAGTAATTTTCCACTTCCACCCAGTTGCATCTGTCCACACTGCCCTGGAACGCTCATTGTTTTACAGGATACCTCAGCGGTTTCCAAATGGTCATTCTATGTTTCGGTCCGGCACAGCAAGACTGTAATGTATTCATTATATTTATAAATAGTTATATATATATATCCATAATCTCTATCCACTTCTCATTCATTATTCATTGTTTTCCCCCATCAAGTTTATTTCTGTTTAATCCCTGCTCATCAATTCTTATAAAATCATTTCACGCATGCTCTATATTTCCATTTCCATCCAATTTCCATCCATGTTTCATCTTTTTTTCTTTTCTGCATCAATGTTTACCCAATTTCATCCACTGTCATCCATTATTCATCCATATTTCATCCATTTTTTTATCCATTTCCATCCATTTTTCATGTTTCGTCATCGGTGTTCATCAATTTTTGCTCTTGTTATGCTTTCCTCCATTTATAATCCAGTAATTTTCCACTTCCACCCAGTTGCATCTGTCCACACTGCCCTGGAACGCTCATTGTTTTACAGGATGCCTCAGCGGTTTCCAAATGGTCATTCTATGTTTCGGTCCGGCACAGCAAGACTGTAATGTATTCATTATATTTATAAATAGTTATATTTATATATATTTATATTTATTTACACATTTCGTTCAATTGAAGTCCAACAATCGCGTCATTGGCAGCCACACGGGCTTTTGTTTACGCCGTCCTCTCGCAGCCGATGACAGTCCATTTCTGGAAAGTTTTCTGCGTTTTTGTGTTTTTTTTGATGACTTCTGCCAACTTGTGATTTCAAAGCACGTCCATACGTTGTCAAGGACCTTCAAAAACACAGATTTTTCCACATGTTTTGATGATTTCTGCCAATTTGGCTAATCAGTGGAATCCAAAGCATTTCCATAAGATGTCCGAAATCTCCCAAAACACTGTGTTTTCCACGTTTTTTTTGGTTTTCAGTCATTCTAACTCGGAGTCATTCTAAGTTGCTACTCGGGGGGGCCTTTTTTCAGTCATTCTAAGTTCGGGGTATCGTCGTTTGGAACCCCGCACATCATTCTAAGTTTCAGTCCGTCGATATATATATATATATATAAAATAATATGTATGTATGTATAATAATAAATAAATAAATGTATAAATAAATAAATATATATATATATATATATATATTTATTTATAGAGACCCCATTCCGCGAGCAATTTGTGATCTCATTAGTGCACAGTGATGAGCATCCCACTCTCTGGTTGGTACGCCACGTTATTCACATCCCGACCCCGGGCTGTTGGGCGTTCCCGACCAAGGCGTGAAGCGGGTGGTGGAGCTGGATGGCAAGTTCAGCAACCGCGCCAAGGGCGAGGATAAGCCTGACAAGGCGGGCACTGCCTTCCCGGAGAACGAGGTCTACCGTGGCGTGTGCTCCAACCACATCTGCGACGCCTGATTAAGCAGAACGGAACGGCCGGAGAAGAGAGGGCCAAAGATTAGCGAAGTTGGGGGAATTACTTCATGGACATTTGAAACATTGTAGTTGGATCGCAGTTAATTAAATTCTGGAGGTCTTTTGAACATGGGATGGAATTTCCATGGGGAGGTGGGTGATGATGTGCAATTGGTTTCAGAAACAATGAATTTGCATGATGTAATGTAACATGAAGGCGTTGATGTTGATGATGTTGCACTTCTACTCCCTTCCAATCCCGAAAGTTTTGGAATAATACAAAAAGGTGTTAAAAACAATAGCAGGGAACAGCTAGACTAAGTCTCATTTGTTGCCCCTGTTTGACGGTCCTGGACATTTAGAAATAGAGTTTGGACATGGTGATCTCGCCGTCAAAGGACATGAGCGTGGGAGATGATGTGCTCATCACTGGCCCCACTGGAGCTGAGATGCTGCTGCCAACGGATTGGGGGCCTTGGGGGTTTGGATGGGTTGATCGATCATTCATGATAATTTAGAGCGACATTGTCGACCAAGCCCCAAACATAGTGTTTGACCGAAGGAACGCCACCACTTTTATCGGGCCCTAAACATGCCCTAAACATGCCCTAAACATGATCACGATCACGATTCATGATTCATGATTCATGATTCAATATGATTCATGATTCGGCATTCATCATTCATCCTTCATCGTTCATCGATGTTCATCGTTCATCATTCATCGTTCGTCATTCATCGTTCATCATTCATCATCCATATTCATGTTCATAATCAGGTTCATATTCATGTTCATATTCATGTTCATATTCATGTTCATATTCATGTTCATATTCATGTTCATGTTCATATTCATATTCATGTTCATATTATTCATATTATTCATATTATTCATATTGTTCATATTATTCATATTATTCATATTATTCATATTATTCATATTATTCATATTATTCATATTATTCATATTATTCATATTATTCATATTATTCATATTATTCATATTATTCATATTATTCATCATCATCATGATCATGATCATGATCATGATCATCATGATCATCATGATCATCATCGTCCTCGTCGTCGTCATCATCATCATCATCGTCATCATCACCACCATCATCCAAATCAGATAAACTCAGCTTGAAAGATCTGAAAACCCTTTGCATCAAGAGTCATCAAGAGTCATCAAGTCATCTTGAACTCATGACTCATACCTGTTTCTTTCAAGAATACGTTCAAAGAGCTGTGGTTCTGGACATTGCCCAGGACCCAGAGGCAAACATCATCATGCTGGCCACAGGCCTGGGACCGATGATGGTTGGTTGATGTTGGTTGGTTACTGGTAGCTCATAACTCAGAACAAATCCAAAAAAGAGATACAAAAGATCTCAATTGCCCGAAAATACCCGATTTTGCCATATTTTGCTAGCTGTTTTCTTGAGAAGACTTAGGCCATTGACGTCAACCACTGGGCTTGTCACTACCACCTCAGTTTCAAAAGGATCATTGGACAGATCCTCAAGGAATGGAACCTGGAGCTTTTGGGTGGGACAGTCTAACAAGCCGACAACATTTTGAGACGATGATTAAACCAGCCAACAACTGTGAAAGACAGTCCGCAATCCATGTCGAGATCTCAATCTAAGATGCCCCAAACCAATGACTTATTTTCCCATGGTGACCCATGGTGATCAGCGAGCCAGCTGATGCTTCTCAGGCACTGGCATTGCCCCAATGCGCTCCTACCTGCGTTTGTTGTTCCACGACAAGGCTGGTGCCGCGTCGGACGGCAGCCGAAAGTTCAAGGGCCTGGCGTGGCTGTTCATGGGCGCCTCGGCCAGGGCGAAGGGGAGTGCAGAACGCGACTGTTTCACGGTGGCAAAAGAGTGCATATTGCTGCAGCCTGGATCCCCCTAAGGAGTGCCATACTCCAAGTCTTTGCTGTATGATGACGAGCACCAGGTCTACAAGAAGGACTCACAGCTCAGCTCAGCCGTCGCGGGTTTGAGAGCTGCTGCCTGAAAATTTATGAAAATTCAGGTTGAACCTTGATGGGATTCCAGTTCGGTTAGTGTTCTGGGTGAGATGCTGCAGTACATGTTTGGCTTCTGCAAGTTTGCACATAACAATAATATGTAGTCTCAATCTGAAGTCTGAGATTCCATTCATGCTTGCCGCCTCGGTCGTAGATGGCGTCAGGTGATATCAAGTCCCGTTTTTTGAGGCAACATGTTTCAAAGACTCAATGACCCCCAATGAGGGTCCGACCTGTGAAGGAGTTCCCAGACCAGTTCAAGTACGACTACGCGGTGAGCCGTGAGGACAAGAACGCGGCTGGCCAGAAGATGTAGCTTGCCTGCCATCTTTCAACATTCTTTCCGGTCCTTTATATAGATCCTTTAGTTTAATGGTGAATTCGTTTGTCAACTTTCGCAACTTTTCTTTGGGCGATCCCGACCTCAACCCGACCCCTTCTGGATCTCTTTTCTGGTTGCATCCCACCACTGGTTCCCAGGTACATCCAGACCAAGATGGCTGAGTATGCTGAAGAGCTTTGGGAGTTGATGCAGGTGCCAAGTGATGCCCTGGAAGATGTTTTTCCCCCCTTGAAAGTGGTGTTTTTTTTTTTTAACCAAAGAGGACATGTGTAAATTTTGAAGATGATTAATATGGTAGTATGATGATGATTATTATTATTATCATTTATATGTTTACATTTTTTATTGTTATATATATATGTGGTTTATATATATATATATATATATGTGTGTGTGTATTTATTCACATATATATATATCTCTCTCTCTCTCTCTCTCCGTGTTTGTCAGTTGCTTAAATCCATCCCATAGTCCATACATCCACATACATCCCAATTTTCACGGGTCATTATATGATCCCAAGAATGTCCACAAACTTCCAAGCCCTAAAAAAAAGCAGCCGGGCAGGACGACAAGACCCACGTTTACATGTGTGGCCTGAAGGGCATGGAGAGCGGCATGGCTGAGTGCTTCGGTCCCATCGCCGAGAAGAACGGCATCGTTTGGACCGAGTTTGCCAAGGCCATGAAGAAGGCGTGGCCGTGCCATGCCGTGCCCCATGGGGATTTTTATGCCATGCGCCTTCAACATCTAATATGAAAATGCATGAAAACACTTCAAATGGGTGTTGGAAGATGATGTTAGCTATTGGAAACGGCACAGGTTGCAGGGTGTTCAGTGACAGCTTTAAGATTTTTACCCGCGTGGATTGAAGTTGCAAAAAGTTCGGCAAGTATCGGCAAGTCTTAAATGCAAGTCAGGTAAGTTCAAGGTGCCCACATGGGAAATGTTCGAAGAACACTCATAGGAAAGAATAGGGACAAGATGTGATGAAACAGAGAGTATCGTGCTTTTTCCTGGCAGAGTCATCACTTCAGTATGAATCAGAAAACTGAATGGAAAAAAGTTCTCAATGACACTCTTCTTTGCACAGCTGGGATTTCCTGCTTACAGTGGAAGAGTTGAAAGATGCTGCAAATCAAACTGTCATCAGTCATCAACAGCTGGCACTGTCTCCAGTGACCGACCTGTCACCCCCACCGCTGCCATGGCAAGGCTGACCGTTATCATGTGGAGGTCTACTAAGGGCTGGACCCAACTGACACGGCTGATCGTTAACCACAGGAAGCTGTGGGAGACAGTGGCCATGACAGGGTCGCAGTTCCTCCATTTTCGGACCCACAGGAGATTTTTCCCAGAGGCAGCTGCTGCAGCTTTAACAGTGATCGTTGCACTGTTGCACCCCCTCGCGCTGCGACAGAAATGTGGACCTTAGGGGTGGAACATGGTGGAACATCCAATCTCCCGTGGGTTTGGTTTATGAAGGTTCATCAAGTCTCCTATTTGAAGCCAAGATGTTCGGACCACCGAAAGCAGTATTGCTCAATCGTGTGGAGTCAGGGTCCATAAGTAGCTTAGGTCATCCGGTCATCCTCTCCGGAAGTGTCGAAAGAAGAATCATCCAAGCTGACAAGAGGAAATCTGGAATTTTGGGATTATGAATTTGGCATGAGATCTCCACAGAGTCCACATATATTTGGCATAACTTGGGGATTTATGCGGATTTCATGATCCCAACTGACCATTGCCGTCGCTCAGGCCTCAGTCGCAAGAGGTCGTGCCACAGCTGCAGAGGCAGAGTTTCTTTTTGGGCGCACATGTTGGAATGCAAAGCTTAAGGCATTAAGTTTTTGGCGGGTTTCACCAGACATGAAAATACATGACATACATCGAACTGTGGCACCATAGTGGTACCAAATCTCGCGCAGCTTTGCGAGGAAACCTTTGGCCCCACAGCCTCCCAGAGCCAAACCTTCAGGGGCTGAAAGTGGACACTACTTGGCCATGGACCCAGGGAAGTTGTTAATGAATGTTATTGAATTTAATGACGCCATGAGTGAATAAGAGTCGGAGGAGCCCGCGGCTGGGAAACTGTGATTCAACGCACAGGTGGATTATATATATTATATATATAATTCGCGTTGAATTGCCCGGGGGGTCAATTTCAATTCAACCGAAACTGGATTCGGCCAAAAGCAGTGCTGACGAATTGTCATGAGATCCTGTTGAAAATAGTTGAAAGTGTTGAAAGATTTGAAGGCGAAGGCTGCAGGTCCGAAGGCCCCCTCGCCACAAAAAAGAGTCAAATGAGTCAGCCAAATTTGTCACGCACTGTCCATTCCTCCATCCATCCATTCATCCCTTCATCCCACTATCCACCCATCAAGAGGAAGCATGGGCGTAGCACCCAGGTGCCTCGTCGTCAAGAGAACTTGCAAAACGTGCGGCCACCCAAGTTCTATGAGGCGTGGTTTAACGCAGGGCTGGAATAACGGAAGATTTGTGCGCGGCTTTTAATTCTGCCAGGGATGCCTCATGATGTCTATTTGGCCACAGGGCAACACCTCCTAGTCGCTCGACAATTTGTAGTGCTTGAAGTCTTGGAATTTGGGCCAATATGATGACCTTTTGACTCGACCCTGGGAGTCAGAGATAGTCAGGGTGTGGCTGGCCACTTGCCAATGCTTTAACCCATGATTTGTGCAGGCGGTTCAAGTGGAGCAGTCTCCTGTGAGCTATGAGGTGCCGAAGGTGGGCACTTTGGGGAAAGGTAGGACAGGGTAAGGTAGGCTACACCATCCAGAAAACCAACCTGGAAATGGCATACAGATGCATGCAGGTCATTTGTCGAATGTAACTGATATTTCCAAACACAGGAATTCATAATTGTAATTTCTCATTGTTTGATGCTGGGGATACGCCGGACATTGGATATCTTCCACAAAACCAAGGAGGCTATCTCAATCAAAATTTACAACCAGTGGCACCTTGGTGTGGTATCAGTCGCAGTACCAGAGAGCATTGCGGAGGGCATTCCCCTTGCTGCAGGAGGTGGAAGAGAAAGACAGATCTGAAGGCTTCACTGGCAGGGAATGGGTGGCAGTGGTCTGGCCTCCTCCAAAGACTGGCAGGGAATGCCACTAGTCTTTCCCATGATTTTCCATGGAAACAAAACATATTGGGAAACCCTGAAGTTACCGTGGGTTGTCAGCAAATATGGCTCTGGAAAACAGGATGCCCCGGCCAGGCCCCGATGCTCAGCGGGAAGTGCTGGTCTTTGCGGGAGCCAGCCATCTACCTGCCCTGGTCTCAGCAGGCCCGAGCAAGGTCGGCACCAAACCAACAGTTGGGTCATCCTAATGGTGATGAGAGGGTTTATGATTGGGTATGGATGGTTACTGTTTTTTTGTTGGGGGGGGTGCTGGGTGAACTACGTTGGTGCCAACCTCAGGTTTACACTGTATATTTATTATAGACTTGGTTCCACATTATATATGGGACTGGTTTGAATATTTGACTCACACACCATTTCTCTTGTTGGAAGTTTCAAGTTGTGTTGTGCTGTTGCCGGAGCTTTCAGCTTGGCCACGCGGCTTTTGGCATACGCTTCAGCCGTGATTGAGAGCCAAGCCTAGCTGAGCTTGCCAAGCATCAGGCAACCATGGATTCAGCATGTTTGAACCATCCATTGTCCAGGATTCCCCTGCAGTCTCTTTCAATAAAGTTTGAGATGCAGCAAACGGAGTGGAAAGTGCGGCTTGTGTGCTGTTGTTTTTCCTTCAAGTGTTCAGCAAAAGCCTTGTGCTAGACTTTGAAGCGGAGCATGTTTGGTTTGACCGTTGAATATATGAATTGCACTTCGCATATGAAATCTCACGGCAGCTCCAAGCTAGTCAGATGATCCTCAATCCCAGTGCACTGGTCAATCATTCCTGAGCTTAGATCCTCACAACTTACCATCCATCCATACAAGCTCTGTGGTGAAACCCTGGCATGGCTCATGGCGACAAGACGTCAGAGCCGTGTGCGGGCGCACTGGGCGCTGCTACTTCTCGTTGGGGTCCCAAGCAGAAGTGCCAGATCTCCGGATCTCCGATATGTCTTTCATATGTCATATGTATTTGCAAACTTCCGCAACCTGCCTATGGATGCGGTGGTGGTATTTCTCCCGGTATTCTACGTGACCTCTGACAGGCATGTGGCTTCATGCCGCAGCCGAGCTTCGTTCCGCAGGCCTGGTTTAGGACCTGGTTTGATGATGTTTGATGTAGATGTTCCGATGAGGAAAAAAACAATAGAAACCATGGAACTTCGTAAGACGCCAAGGTTCACACACTTACAATGATAACTTATATATACATATATATGATATATAGTATATGTTCTTATATGCATTTGTTGCCGGAGTGTGTTTGTTGATTGCCGACATGGTACTTGTACCTATATGATCTTATAGCCTATTATATGTACGTCATGATCTTGGGTTATCACCCAGACAAAGATTAACATAGGGAGGTTGTCCAACCTGACGTATTGATTGGTAGATAGGTACCTATGGAATTGGGGGCAACAAGAGCAGATTGAGTGGAGCATCACAATCACACATCGAACCTAACATCCTGGCCCAACACATTGCAAATAGCCACAAAAATAGTCCAAAATATGTAGTGCAAGCACGGTCCATGGCATAATGATTTCGTCTGATGACTGAGCCACTGCCAAAAAATCTATCCTCTCATCTACTTCAACCATTGATCCATCTGTTGGTTTCCCTTTGTTCTATCAACCTTTGGGGAGCAACACATTCATCACTGGATTTCAGTAGATGTCCATCCAAGGGATCTGTCCATCGGGTAGCCAGGCCCCCACCACAGCGCGACGAGAGCCATGGGGGCCATCAGGCCTCGTGATGTCAGCGAGCTCGAGTGTTCCCGCGCAGGACCTGAAAATATCTGAAAATCCCCAATGGTTTGGGGATGTTTAGCCATCCAACTGGATTTGGATTCTACTGCTGCACATTGGCGATTTCAAGGTGGTATACAGTAGCCGATATGCCATGCAATTTGACCGAGCATTTGCAGGATTATGCAGGCAAGGTAGGCTGACAACTCCAGTGCATTGAATCTATGATGTGCTTTGGCTTTCACTGCAGTAAGAAGCCCATTGCTGCAGTGTGGGCCATCCTCCAATCCTATTTATGTAGAAAAGGCGCATGCAGAGACGATCTACACAGATTCAACGATGTCATGTGGAGATGTGCCTTTTTACAGTATCCTCATGTTATTTGCTTTGGCTCTCAGCTTCAGCTTTCAAGACGTCATGTCAGAAAAGTCCACGGAATTTGACTTTCTACCAGCATCCGAAGTGGGCCTGCGCTGGATGCGCCCCATCATCTTGATCTTGCGCTTCCCACCATCGCTCCATATATGTTGTTTGATCAGAACCCAAAATCATGGGGGTTCAACTTCCCCAAAGGTGACCCCCAGAATGGTTTCTTGCTGATTAACCAATACGTAAGATCCAATAAGGGCTTACAGCCACTCCATGTGCCCTTGCCATGGAAGCCCCTCACGCCGACCTTGAGCGCTGCCCGGGTCGCCTGCGGAGCTATGAGGAGATTGTGGCGGAGCATGCCTTCGCCCCGAGGAGTCGAGGACGTGGCGCGAGGTATCAGGGGAGCCTTGGCTGAGTCTCGCACAGTTGCAGGGGGGAACTGCTGGCTTCAACATGCTTTCTACCCCCGTTCGAAGTGAAACCATTCAGTGAATATTGTTTCAATCCTTGCCAAGTTATCTCAGGCAGTTTTGGTAATTGTTTGGTTGAAGGGAAGGCAGGTTTCTATCACCTGAGATCATTCGCTCCTTATCCTTGTTTCATGGTTTCAAGTTTCGAGAAGTACATGCCCAGCATCCAGCAAATTGGCGGTTTGGTTTTTCTTGGATGCCTCAACCGCAAGAGGAGAGTCCTTTTCAACCACAAGCTTTTGTTCAGTTTCTCAAGCAATTTATTCCAACCATCAGTCGCGTTAAGGTCAAATCACTAATTGTTTATCCACTTTTGAGTCGAGTCAATCCATTTCCCACCCACGATTCCACCCCCAAAGTTCGATTGAATTGCTCAACCATGGATTCTAAAGTGGTACCATTGTAAAACCACCCGGAAAAATCCCTAAGGGCTCAGATGGCTTCCTTCACCACTTTCTTCATGACCGAAGTCTCCTGCCTCGCGGGCAACTTCACGGAGCGCGAGCTCCTCAGCTGCTGCGCACGGCCCGTGCGCCGGGGCTGTCCCTTCCACCGGCCTAGGAGGACCTGGAGCTTTTGCTGCGAAAAGGAGCTGTTGAAACAGGTGGGGCTCGGTGAAAACCATGTGAAAACCCACGCTGATGGGGATATTACAACAAAATAACAGGGATAATAATGGATTAATAATAGCATAAGTATGGGTATGGCGACCAAACATGGGTTAATTACCAATGCAGCCACAAAGGGCCGGTGACTTGTTTAGCACCAGATTTTTTTTTGGGGGGGGAGGATCAGAAGCAAGCCGTTTTTTGGGTACAGCAAGTTGACACTTTTCTCAACCTTCAGAAAAGAGTGGTAGTAGTGGTAGCATGTGGTAGCCACCTTTTGAAAGGTCCCCCAGCTACGAGAATTCTGAGGTGTTAGAGGCGATGCCCCAGCGATATTCCCGGAACCTCACAGGCGTTCCAACGTGGAAGCTGCTGGAGGGCCGGCCTGACTGCAAGCTGATACCTCAGCTCCCATCCATGACCTTACAGATGTGGTTGGCTCGATTGCTGCAACATGGTGCGCAAGCAGCCCGCTGTGTGTATGGTTTGGCCGACAAACTACAAGAAACACCAGAAGCTGCCCAAAGCGTGGCATTTTTGGCCGCCGAACTAGCACGAAAGTGTCCTGGAAGAAGGACCTTGCTGGCCTTGCGAAGAAATTTGATGATATGGTGGGATCGCAACAAATTCTTGACTCAGTGGACAGAGATGGAAGCAACCTTTCAGCAAGCCTTACTTTCTGTTTACAAATGCCAGCAGAAACTGCCAGCGGTACCTGTGATACACCTGCACATTCCGAAGACGGCTGGATCTTCCATGAAGCAATGGGCCACCTTGACTGGATGCCTGGACTGACTGGCAGTATGTTGGTTGGTTGGCGTGTCCAAGTACTGAGTGTGAGCCTACAAATGTCAGGAATTCTTGAATAAGTTATAATAAGTTGCTCCCAAACAAGGTGGGCCAGAGAACCCAAAAGCAAGACGGCACACAGCACGCCTTTTTTTGAAAATCTTGTGGTGTGGGCAGCTGTGCTCTGCACGAAATCAACGTAAGATCTCTACTGAAACATCGTGCGCACTGATGGTATCAGGGGCCACAATTCACCACAGCATGCTGTGCCAGCTACGTCTACATTCTTCTAGTCGCTATTTCTGCTAATGTAATTAACTCTATCCCATCTTTCTAGTCGCTATTTATTTCTGGTTCTCGTTTAGTTTGCTTCGCCGCAGAGGGAGCGAGGACGAAGCGTGGACGGACAGAACACCGTGCAAAATGAGAACAAAACGACGGAGGGAGTTGACCAAAAGAGCATGAAAACGAAGATATGAAGGTGACAGATGGTGAATGATCATGAAAAATGAGACATGATGAAAGATGGGTAAAGACTTCTCCGTACAAAAGCTTCTTTGCATAAAAGCTTCTGTATGTAAAAGCTTCTGCGGGTAAAAACTTCTCTGTGTAAAGTTTTTTTTTGTGTAAAAGCTTCTGCGTGCAAAAGCTTCTGTGTAAAACGTCCTCTGTGTGCAAAAGTTTCTGTTTGTGACAGTTTCTGTTTGTGAAAGTTTATTTGCATACCAGCTTCTGTCTGTAAAAACTTCTCTGTATTAAGGTTTTGTTTGTGTAAAAGCTGTGCAAAAACTTCTCTGTGTAAAAGACTTCTCCGTGTCAAAGCCTCTAAGTGTACAAGCTTCTCTGTGTAAAAGTTCGTCTGTGTAAAAGCTCCTCTGTGAAAAAGCTGCTCTGTGTAAAAGGCTTCTCTGTGTAAAAGCCTCCGTGTGTGCAAGCTTCTCTGTGTTAAGACTTCTTTGTGTAAAGATTTCTCTGTGTGTAAAGACTACTCCGTGTAAACGCTTCTGTGTGTAAAAGCTTTCCTGTGTAAACGCCTCCGTGTGTAAAGACTCCTCTGTGTAAACCCGTCTGTGTGTAAAAGCTCCTTTGTGTAAAGGTTTTTTTTGTGTACAAGCTTCTGTGTGTAAAAGTTTCTGTGTGTAAAAGCTTCTGTGTGTGTGTAAAGGTTTCTGTGTGCAAAAGCTTTTGTGTATTTAAAAAACCTTATGTAAAAGCTTCTGTGTAAAAAAAACTCCCCTGTGTGTACAAGCTTCGCTGCGTAAAAGCTGCTCTATGTAAAAGTTCTGTGCGCCGTGAAGTTGTCCGTTTGTAAAACCTCCTGTGTCTGAACGCGTCTGTGTGTACAAGATTCTGTGTGCAAAAGCTCCTCTGTCTAAAGACTTCTCGGTGTAAACGCGTATGTGACCGTATGTGCGTAAAGGCTCCTCTGTGTAAAGACTTCTCTGTATAAACGCGTCTGTGCGTGAAAGCTTCTTTGTGTAATCTATGTAAGACTTCGCTGTGTAAAAGCTACTTTGTGCAAAAGGTTCTGTGCGTAAAAGGTTTCTGTGTGCAAAAGCTCCTCTGTGTAAAGGCTTCTCTGTGTAAACGCGTTTGTGCGTAAAAGCTCCTCTGTGTAAGACTTCTCGGTGTAAAAAGCTTCTGTGTGTGAAAGTTTCTGTGTGTAAAAGCTTCCTGTGTAAAAGTTTTCTTGTGCAAAAGCTCCTGTGTGTAAAAACTTCTCTGTGTAAAGGCTTTTTTGTGTAAAAGCTTCTGTGTGTACAAGCCAGCTGCTCTGTGTAAAAGTTTCTGTGCGCCGAAAGAGCGTCTATTTGTAAAACATTCTGTGTGTAAACGTGTGTGTGTGTGTAAAAGCTTCTGTGTGCAAACCTCCTTTGTGTAAGGACTTCTCTGCGTAAAAGCTCCTCTGTGTCAAGACTTCTCTGTACAAAAGGCTTCTCTCTGTAAAAGCCTTTGTGTGTACAGGCTTCTCTGTGTCAAGACTTCTCTGTGTAAAGACTTCTGTGTGTAAAAGCTACTCTGTGCAAAAAAGCTTCTGTGCGTAAAGGCTTCTGTGTGTAAACGCGTCTGTGTGTCAAAGTTTCTGTGTGTAAACCTCCTTTGTGTAAGGACTTCTCTGCGTAAAAGCTCCTCTGTGTCAAGACTTCTCTGTACAAAAGGCTTCTCTCTGTAAAAGCCTTTGTGTGTACAGGCTTCTCTGTGTCAAGACTTCTCTGTGTAAAGACTTCTGTGTGTAAAAGCTACTCTGTGCAAAAAAGCTTCTGTGCGTAAAGGCTTCTGTGTGTAAACGCGTCTGTGTGTCAAAGTTTCTGTGTGTAAACCTCCTTTGTGTAAGGACTTCTCTGCGTAAAAGCTCCTCTGTGTCAAGACTTCTCTGTACAAAAGGCTTCTCTCTGTAAAAGCCTTTGTGTGTACAGGCTTCTCTGTGTCAAGACTTCTCTGTGTAAAGACTTCTGTGTGTAAAAGCTACTCTGTGCAAAAAAGCTTCTGTGCGTAAAGGCTTCTGTGTGTAAACGCGTCTGTGTGTCAAATTTTCTGTGTAAAGGAATTTTTGTGTAAAAACTTCTGAGTGTAAAAGCTTCTGTGTGTAAGAGCCTCTCTGTGTAAAGGCTTTCCCGTGCAGAAGCTTCTGCTTGTGAAAGCTTCTCTGTGCGTAAGCGTTTTTTGTGTGTAAACACTTTGTGTGCAAAAACCCCTCTGTGTAAAGACTTATTTGTGCAAACCCGTCTGTGCGTAAAAGCTCCTCTGTGTAAGACTTCTCGATGAAAAAGGTTTCTCTGTGTAAAAACTTCTGTGTGTAAAAGTATTCCTGTGTAAAAGTTTCCTTGTGCAAAAGCCTCTGTGTGTAAGATCTCTCTGCGTAAAGGTTTTTTTTTCCCCACCTGCCAGGTGAGGGTTGTTAGATTTTATGTCAGTTGCCTCCTCCTCCTTCTCCTCCTCCTTCTCCTCCTCCTCCGCCTCCTCCTGCCTCGTCCTCCTCTCCTCCTCCTCCTCGTCCTCTTCGTCGTCCTCGTCGTCCTTGCTCAACTGCGACCCGCGATCCACAGTGTTCTCTGCCGGACCTCAACCACGACCATCCACGCCCAGTGTTCCCTGCCGGCCCTCAACCACGACCATCCACGCCCAATGTTCCCTGCCGGACCTCAACCACGACCATCCTCGCCCAGTGTTCCCTGCCGGACCTCAACCACGACCATCCACGCCCAGTGTTCCCTGCCGGACCTCAACCGCGAGTATCCACGCCAAGTGTTCCTTGCCGGACCTCATGTAGGAAGATATGGGACAAAGAATGTGCAGAAGAAAGTTAGAAAGAATGTCAGAAAGAATGTCAGAAGATATGCCAGAAGATATGCCAGAAGATATGCCAGATAGAATGCCAGATAATATGCCAGAAGATATGCCAGATAGATTGCCAGATAGAATGCCAGAAGATTTGCCAGATAGAATGCCAGAAAATATGCCAGAAGATATGCCAGATAGATATGTCAGAAGATATGCCAGAAGATATGCCAGAAGATATGCCAGAAGATATGTCAGAATATATGCCAGAAGATATGTCAGATAGAATGCCAGAAGATATGTCAGAAAATATGCCAGAAGATATGCCAGATAGAATGCCAGAAGATATGTCAGATAGAGTGCCAGAAGATATGCCAGATAGAATGCCAGAAGATTTGCCAGATAGAATGCCAGAAGATATGCCAGAAGATATGCCAGATCATATGCCAGAAGATATGCCAGATAGAATGTAAAATAGAATGTCAGAAGATATGTCAGATAGAATGCCAGAAGATTTGCCAGTAAGAAAATGTATAAATGTCATGGTGGGGATCACACGAAGTAAAGTAATTTTTGTGAAAAAACATATGTGTGCAAAAGCTGCTCTGTGTAAAAGTTTAACAGTGCGCCGTAAACGCTTCTGTGTGTAAAACTTCCTGTGTGTAAACGCGTCTGTGTAAAAGTTTCTGTGTGTAAATCTCCTTTTTGTAAGAAGCCCACAATTTCCCCTCCGTCCACCCTCTCGTCGCTTCCATCTCGCTCCTTCCCCACGGAGCTCTCCCCAAGCTATTTCCCACGGTTTCCTCTCCGTCCACCCAGTCGTCTCTTCCATCCGTTCCCTCCCAACAGACCTCCCCCCAAGCTATTTCCCACGGTTTCCCCTCCGTCCACCCTCTCGTCACTTCCGTATCGCTCCCTCGCGGCAAGCGCAACTAAACGAGAACCCAAGCATCGGAGATGCTTTCATTCCACACTTTGCCACATTTGGCAGGAATGAATGAATGAATGAACATCTATAGCTACCGGCTAACGCGGCTAATGTTGGTTTTGGCCCATATTGATACCCATCGCAAACTAACAAACAATCCTAGAATTGGTTGAAGTGAAGGCTTACAGGAACCCGGTAAGAACTTGGTAAGAACCACGGATATAAAATAATTCAAAGCACAAGCATTGAAACAATGGAGCGGGGAAACATATCCTCTGCATTCCTCTGACATGTCTAAGGATACAAGCTCCATGATCATTACGACCAGACACTGGACGGCGATGGCGCCTACTGGATGGGTGCTCCTGCACGTCTGGGGAATTGCACCTGGGAAGTGGAATGAAGTGGACAGTTTTTTTTTGCCAACCGAATCTTCAGATACAGTATTGTCTGTGTGAATTGATTCAAAAAAAGTGTGCGTGTGATAGACAGTCACCACGCATCACCGTGATTCACGACTGAATGGCTGGACTACGGCATTGAGCCGAGGCCTTTTCACAACATACAGTAGAACCGTAACGTCCGTCCATCCGTCCGTCCGTCATCCATCAATAAATATATAATCCTTGTTTCCAATGAAACCATTCGGGACATATGCCTACTAGGGAATTTACCCTGCATGCATAAGGATGCATACAAAATCAGCCATTACTCCTTGCATTTGTGCGTTTGCACGCGTTGTTCATACTACAGTTGATCACATGTGCACGTGCTTTTGTACAAAAAAAACTATGGCATGAAAAGTTCTTGCACGAATGACATTTGCACGCACCCAGAGTAAATCCAAAGACAGTCCAATAGATTCGCTGATGTTTGCCAGCACTCCGAGACTCCGGTTGCTTTGCAAATTTGTGCGTGAGTGAACTCATTGAAAGTGGCGGAAACAATTTGACAATGGACGGCTTCACAGAGCCTCTCAGGAAACCCTCCCAGATCCCGAACACTTCACAGCATCAGCACATTTTCAAACTTCGATCTTGGGATGATCTTGTATGATCTTGGATGATTCGAGGCAGCAAACCCCCAAAGATTCCCGACATCACTGGAGTGACTTTCCAGGTAAGCAGCGCGTTTGGGAAAGCCATCTGAACAACGCCAGCTGGTTCCCGGTGGAGCGCTGGCTGGACCTGCCGCTCTGCGAAGAATTTCAGTATGTGGTGACGTTGCGGGAGCCGGTGCCCAGGCTGCTGCACCAGTGCCTGGGGCAGAAACAGCTGGGGCGAAATGAAGTCATGGTAGTTATGGAATGTGATGTATGTATATATATGATATTATATGATACTATGTGTGTGAATGTTATATATCTAATATATCTAATTATATGACCACCATCTATGTGACTAATGACTCTCCATATTTTCCAGCAACTTAACAGACTTAACATCTCAATATATCTAAATATTTAAACCTTAGATTAAATATGGAATATCCACCATTTATAGATCATATTCCCGGATGGCAACGATTTGTTTTCTACACCTAGGGGTTACCCTGCAGGGTACTGGCCAGTTCCAGCGGAGGTTCCATCACTTCATGTCTTGTTTCAGCAAGTCACAGCGTCTCTTGGCTCAGATCTTTGATGCTTCCAGATGAGTAGGACACCAGTTCATCCCATGTCATTGGCTGCTTGTCTCCACCATTTTTCTTTTACTTATACACAGATACATGCATATATCATATATGCATTCTATATATCCATAGTGAACACCATAGTTGGACACTTTTTTGCTGCTTCGGTGCTTTCGCACTGCGCCAAGTTCGTCATGAGCTCTGGTCGGAGAATCAGTTGAGGTTTGCAGGTGTTGCAGGGCCAGCCCAGCATTGAGAAATTCATTCCTATTCGTTTGATGTCGTTGTGGAACTACGAGGAGCTGAAACTCCGGATCCCCAAGCAGCTGCAAGGGACACGAGGCAAGAAAAAAAGTGTGCAAGGTGTTGGTAAGGTGCATGGAGGATGGTTTTTAAACGTTTCAATTTCAATCATGCTTTGTGAGCATACATTCTTAGGATCAGATAAGGTTATTTTGGGATGATGATCCCCAATGTTTTTTGTTGGGATGGATTGAACAGGGCCGTCAGAAATGATGCCCGAATAGGACCTGTCATCCCTCGGCCCCTCGGCTCAGGAATCTGACATCCCAGGAGGCAGCGGATGCCATCCGCTGGCCGAGCGACTGGTTGAACCTCTGGTTGGGGATGACTAGCACCTTAGCTCTGTCAGGATTTGGTACCGGAGGATTCTTTTTAAACAAAGGACCTAAGTGCCCTTGACAGGGCAGCTTGAGGTGGATTAAGCTTCTGCCATCGACTTGATATTGTTTATTCTGACAGGAGATTGGTTGAGATTTGGTGGTGCGTTTTCTGTATTTGACGTGCCGTCACTGGCAGGATGCAGATTGGATAGTTGAATCAAGAAGCACTACTTCCATCAAACAGAATCAAACATGTTCAAACCCCAACTGAACCTTCACATAGCTTCATCAGCATTCACCACAACCACAACCTCTCCACCTCAGCACCGTGGCCCCGGTGCCCGGCGAGGCAACTACCAGGTTCGCAGCCTGGCAGGCACCGGAGACGGCAAGGCCTACCTGGAAGATGGTCCGAAGGCCGCCCGGCGCCTGCTGGGCGCCAAGGCCGTTCTGGAGCAGCTGGATGTGGTTCTCACGGCTGGAGCACATGGACATGATGCGGCGGATGAGACTGGCCGGGTTCTTCAGTTTTTTTTGATGAATCTTCAAAGAGCGGAATTGTTCAGAACTGTGGGCGGGCCATTGATCATCATTAACTTGAAGTATCTTGAAATTTCCATACAAACAGATGTGGATACTGTGTATTGATGATTTCCAACTCCCAGTTGGCGAAATGTGCCTTGTTGTTTCAACGCTTTGTGCGTTTTTCAGCCCCCCAAAAAAGGGATTATCACATATAATTAATTAATTATCCCCAGTTGAGCTTGGATGAGCTGACCCACATCTTTTCAGGAAGGTTGGAGCCACTCAACCAGGAAATGTTATTGAAAGAAGCCCTGAGAACACCAAAGTCCTCAGAATCGGGTTTTCCCTTTGTGTCCCACACGATCTTTGACGAAACTCGTCATGGCTTGGACTTTTTGTTTTTAGGTTGTCGCCCAAGTGGAAAAATGGGTGGAGACATGAACCATGGCGATTTTAATGGGGAAGTGATGATAAACCATGATAAGCCATGGGATTTGGGGGAAGCCTGTTTTGGGACACACGTTTGAGTGTCTTTCCGTAAGGAACAGCTGTGACCATCAAAATTTCTTGTGAATTGGTCGGCTGGTTGGCCCAACAAACAGGAGTTTCAGGAATGCGGCGGATCTATTCATTTTTTGGTATCTTATACTTTTTTTTGGCAGGGGGCTATCATACCATGAGGATGGGCTTTGCATCAAAGAGACGTGTCAGTTGATAGGTGTTTAAACATAGATAGGGTGTAGTTGATTGGTGTTTAAACATTTGCCATCATTTCTTACGAAGAACACTTACACATTTTCCCCACAGCATCAAGCAGAAATCAATCCATTAATCCATGGTAAACCTCAAGTCATCTTATATATATAAGTCAGTTTTTTCCCTCCTTGAAGATGGCATTCGGGCCTAGCCATACCCAGCCCCATGCAGTCCAAGGACCAAAAGACCAGCCCCTTTCGCTTCAACCCACTGAAGCTCTCATGGCCCGTGGCTTTGGACCTTCAGCAGCGCAACCACGCGGATCGACTGCTGCTGAGCTATGCGCGGCGACTACGACGACTGGATCGGATCTACTTCCGGATGGTTGCGCAAGAAAAGTCGCAACCCTTTAAGGGTGGCTTGGAAGTTTCAATTCTCTTCGAAGCCGGGGTATGGGGGTTAAATATCGCTTGAAATGTTAGTTGCAGGTGTGTGTATATAATATATTTACACATATTATTTACACAGTTATATAGGCGGTTTTTTTTTCTTCATGGATACAAAAGGCAGATACACAGACATTTTTGAAGGAGCCTTTCCGCCCGTCCGGTCCTAACCCTGATGATCCCAGATGGTGCAAATTCTATGGATTTGTCAGGATTTATGGGACAGTATGACGGCAGCCTCCGTCATCCACACAAAAAGCAACCCATTGTGCTACGTTGATATGAATCAACACTTTCGAGGTGTTCAGATGTGCATGTCAAATGACGTCAAATGGTGACTTCGTTGGGCAAGGGCACTCCAAATAACAATGATGCCTAGCAGGTTATTTTTATTCTCATTTATTGAGGGCCGGATGTGGAAAATCGAGCCCGACCACTTTACACACTTCGGGTTTCATCGCTTGTTCCGAGTGCTTCCATCTTAGATCACGGTGCAAACAGCAGGGCAAGAACTCCAGCTGTCAAATCGTCATGGTGTCAAAGCATCCTGGAAGTCAGACGGGCTAATGATATCTCATGATTCCAAGTCACAACACGGGTGATATCAATTGATATCATGATACCGAGTTGGAATATGGTTGAGAGATACCACCGAAGTCTCTTTTCCTTCAACCGAACTACTTGGCCGGTTCCGAGCCATGGCAACCAGTAGGGATGGCGTACCATGGCGCCGGTAGGCAACTGAGCTATGAAGAGATTCTGTCGGAGCATTCCTTCCCGCCCAGCGACCCCCTGGGTCGCCGCCGGGCTCGGCAGAATTATTCCGGATCCCTGGCAGTGCGGAGGTTGGGATCCCAACCCAAAAAAAACGATAAAACATGACATGTTTATACATGTTACATGTTTATACTACGGACCAGGATTTCTATTCTTTGTTTTTTTTTGGGTGGTGTCGGTCATTGTCGTTCCTATTTTTGAATTGCTTTAAACTTTAAGCACATCTTCAGAAAATCAATCCTTGTATGACCTATCTGGGGATACCTGGAGTTGGTTCTCATACCGCTGTCAGGGCCACTCTCCCCGTGCGTTCCACACGTTACGCCACCACCACAGCCTTCCTGTTGAGAAACGTGACCTGCTTCCAGTTCAACACATCGGCCAGGGAGGTCCTGTCCTGCTGTGAGTCTCGTCCCGCATCCAGCACCTGTCCCTTCAACCTGGGGAAGTCACAGAGCATGTGCTGTGAAAAGGAGCGCCTGAGGCGAGAACTGGGACAGATGCCTCAAGGAGACTGGCGGTGAAAACGATAAATTTCAAGATTTGTTTGACCCATCTGTTTTTCCATGATTTCCATTGATTTCCATGATTTGCTTAGCTGTTTGTGTTCGATCCTCCTTAATACCAAGTGACTATGACTACTTTATTTGTAGGGAGAGGCTCAAGAACCATGCAGGATATCCCTGGAACGTCACAGCTGTAGCCGTTCCAGCCTGGAAGCTGCTGGAGGGCCGGCCTGACTGCAAGCTGATACCTCAGCTCCCATCCATGACCTTACAGATGTGGTTGGCTCAATTGCTGCAACATGGTGCGCAAGCAGCCCGCTGTGTGCATGGTTTGGCCGACAAACTACAAGAAACTTCAGAAGCTGCAGAAAGCGTGGCATTTTTGGCCGCCGAACTAGCACGAAAGTGTCCTGGAAGAAGGACCTTGCTGGCCTTGCGAAGAAATTTGATGATATGGTGGGATCGCAACAAATTCTTGACTCAGTGGACAGAGATGGAAGCAACCTTTCAGCAAGCCTTACTTTCTGTTTACAAATGCCAGCAGAAACTGCCAGCGGTACCTGTGATACAGCTGCACATTCCGAAGACGGCTGGATCTTCCATGAAGCAATGGGCCACCTTGACTGGATGCCTGGACTGATGTGGCCATAACTATTTTCAGATCTTTCAGTGGAGCCCTGTGTATTTCAGACATTCCATGCCCGAAAATATTTAGCCTTCGTCACGCACTTCCCACTGCACAAAAACTTGAGCTTAAAAGTACCATCATGTGTCAATGTAGGTTCATCATTTTTTCTGAAGAATTGTGTGTTTCAACCTGTTTCAACCAGACATGACCTTGAACAAAACCTGAGAAATGGATTTGTCTTTTGACCTCCATGGCTTTTCAAAAAAAATCCCAGCCAATTCCCTGGCGGGTTGGCCGCTGAATCCCCGCTGAAGGTTACAGGGTGCTGGATCAGAACCGACAGACCTGGCACGGCGACGGTCCCTACTGGATTGGTGCGGCCGCGCACCTAGGCAGTTGCACCTTGGACCGAGAAGGGATTGAGAAGGGAAAGGCATGTAAGGTGGATATAGCAATAATACATACTAATATATATATATATAAACCACCCCCAATTTCACCATAAATAGGTGGTATAAACCAATCATAACCATTTCCAAATGGGTGGTTTATTATTGTTTCAACCTGGTGCCTCATTCTCCAGTGCTCCGGCACCAATTTTGCCCCCAAAGATGATCAAGAATATGAGAATGACTGGGAAAAAAGATAAAACTGCCTTAATTATTAGGCTATGACCGTCTTAAATTCTATCAAGCATGTTCAAGGTTAATTCATATCAACAGATGATTGGTGGATGCTGGTGGCACAGTGCAATCAGGGTGAGTTTTAGGTCTGTATAGGTGCCTTTCTCTCTTATTGTGCAGCAGTGTAGTGGGATGGTGATCGCAGGTTGTTTAGCAAGTCGGCCTGAGAACCCAAAGCGTCCGGTCCACCCTGAAGCCATGGAATTGTTGGAGGCATCACGTGCTGCCAAGCGAAAGATGGAGCTGGATGCACTTTGGTCCCACTTGGAATTCTTGCAAGCTGCGGGGCTTGCAGCAGAGGATGCAAAACCTTCAGACCAAAAGGCCAAAGAAACCCCAGTGGCAGAGGCAGCGGCGGAGCATCCCCCGTCACCATCCGGGGAGCAGAAGCCGTACGTGTTCACAGGGAACAATGTGGCAAAGCAAAGTGACGTTCCAAACCTCGGGTGCCGGGTGGAACAGAGGATCGATGGCCTGGATGGCTAGATTGCCCAAGCTTGATTCAAAAGGAGACACGATCAATCACGATCAGCTGGACCAGTCGGATGTTTCCTGTGAAAAAGTTCATGGGCCCAGGGATGACCGAGGCGCAGGCCGAAGCAGCAGCCCTCGAGGCAGCCAAGGGCTTCCATGCGGAGCTGGGGGTGCGGGGGAGAAGGGCATCTTAAGCCTGCCAAAGCCGTGGGATCCTGATGTCACCAGCGAAGAGCCAGGAGTGGCGTGGAAAAAGAGAAGAAAAAGGTGGGAGGGGATGATCCGTAGATACCGTAGGGGCAGCATGAAGTATATTTACGGCGGCACCTTCGCGGAGAAGGCAGTGGGCCAAAGCCTTGGAGCTTCGGGAAAACCATGGGCTGCAGCGCCAGGTGAAGCCCGTGGCCGCCTTGTCGTCGCTCCCAGTGTGCCCTACCCAGGGGTGAAATTGAACCAGGTTCCTTCAAAAGGGCCGTGGCATGGAGTCCTTCTTTGTTCTCCTTCTCCTGCTTCTTCCTCCATGACATGGGATGAAGGAAGAAGGAGAAGGAGAACAAGAAGGAGGGGAAGGCTGTGAAGCCCAAGGCAAAAGCCAGGAAGAAGTAGCGTCGGTGAGTGCACAAGCCACAGATGCGTGATCATTTGCATATAGCTATATATATATACATAACATCCTGCACGCTTGACAGATGAAAAAGCTCCGCTTTCATCTGCTTCCCATTTGTCTGGGGCCCGGAAGTTGAAGTCGATCATTTACAGTAGAATCATAGCTGATCCAAATCTGATCTTCAGGGCCGCGGAGTGGGGTGCAATATGATCCCAACTCGGTTAATCACCCATCAACCATTGTGAATTGCAACCATTCTCCATGAGCTCAAGCTTTTCCACCCCAGGTGAGCAGCGCCTTTGGGAAAGCCATTTGAACAACGCCAGCTGGTTCCCGGTGGAGCGCTGGCTGGACCTGCCGCTCTGCGAAGAATTTCAGTACGTGGTGACGTTGCGGGAGCCGGTGCCCAGGCTGCTGCACCAGTGCCTGGGGCGGAAACAGCTGGGTGGTGGTTATTTTGATACAGCAAATAGCAATTTTGATAGGAAACATTTTGAGATATTGTGATATTGCGAGAATCCATTGGGCTTAATTAGAAAGTTCTGCGATTTGAAACAGGCGGAAATTAATTTTCCCATGGCTGTTTGCAAAGATCCGGCGTTACCTTTTCCCACTTGGGGGCGGCTGTGCTGCCCAATTTCTGTGTGCTGGCCTGAAGCTCAATTTTCTCACCGAAAGCCAGTGGGTTGCTGCAGCGGTCACCAAGGAGTCTGACATGGGCAATCAATCATTACTCGGTAGTTGGTAGGGAAACGTAGGGAAAATCACAGTTCTAGCTACCTAGCTGGGGGCCTCTGGTCACGGTCCAGTTTCAAGTGCAATTTTACACCGAACAACTCCGAGCGACCAGGTTCCACCACTTGTTCTCGTATTTCAGAGACTCCCTTAGTGCCTTGGCTGAGACTGGACCATGGGCAACGTGAAGCAACAAAAAGCAGACCATAATTTTTTGTCAGCCCATGAGGAGTGGGCAGTTGGGCAAACCTTGCAGCGACTCTGCTTTTCTGGCTGGATGAATCCGCCTTTGTGTTGGTGAAACCGCAATTGTTGCCACTCAAACCAAACCCATGCTCATGATCCACCTAATTTAGACGTGTAAACCACAGTTATATACAGTTATACTGATTCAACCAGTATTGTCAGTATTGTCACACGATTATAAAAGTCCAATCATTTGCTGGCTGAAAAGCAATCTCTGCCAACAAGACCGCGCTTTATTATATTATTCAAACCGCATTGAATCACAATGTGCTACTTGAATCCCCTCATTTTTCCCTGTTTCCCAGGTGCCGAGAGGCTGCAGTCGGAACCTCTGGAGACCTTGGCGCCCCGGCGCTTCGTAGCGCTCTGGCGGTACGAGGAGCTTCGGCACCAACTGCGTGGCCGGCGCAGGGCTCGAAAGCACCTGAAGCTGCAGCCGTGTCTGGCTTCACCATGAGGGATTTTGGATCGGGAGAATGGGTCCTGTTTTTTGGGAGAATGGGTCCTGTTTTTTTTTTTTTGTGGCTATGGTATAATGAAGATATACTGCGTTATCGGGTTGTTTTTCTTTTTCACGTGTGTGTGTTTTTTTTTGGGATGCAGATATAGTGGGGATACAATGGTGAACATACGGTTCTATTGTTCTATGATGTTCCGTGTTTTTTCTTATGCTGTATGTGTTTTTTTTGGTGGTGTGTTGCATGTTCCTTAGTAATTAGTTCCATGAAGCCCACTGATTTTCCATGATTTGGAACATGATTCCCATTGTCCAATTTGTTTCCAAGGGGAGCTTTTTCTTTTGCAAATCATACGTCAAAAGAATGCAAAATACCACATCAATATCAACGTCGAAGATGGATGAACCAAAAAAAAGGTCCAAGTGCTGAACTCGGGAGATATCGATAGATGGGGTGTTGAATTGAGCCAAGCTCTTTGCCGGGGGGGGGAAGTCAACCCATGGTCACCTGATTCACTGGATTTGGTTAGCTGGTTTGGTGATGTTTGGCAATTTGGTGCTGTGGAAGCTGGGGATAGCAGCACACCAAACCAGCCACAAAACCCAAACAGCAGTCTTAACATGTGAGAATCTTCAGAAATCAGGTTCCCGCCCGCTTCTGCCAATGACCCCGGCGACACTGGGAGGGCGCGTTTTTCTTTTTTTAACCAACAGCCAGCATAACCTTTGTACATCAACAAAAGGCTTCTGGAATTCCAATTGGATCCTATTGGTAAACCCTGGCTGGCCACTTTCTGTGCCAACCGTGAGGAATCTGACATCCACGGAAGCAGCCCGTGCCATGCATTGGCCTACCGATTGGTTGGAGCTGTGGCTGGGGATGATTAGCACCTTGGGCTTCAAGCAAGGACTTGCATGGCTGTGTGATGGTTGTGTTTGGCATTATGTGACTGCAATACTGTCATACGTCTGGATTTTGATGGACCATGCTTTGATGAAACTATGCCAGCATTCTTGCAGCTTCCTTTCAGAATCTTTCGTTGTGACAGTGACAGCGAACTTTTCAACCAGAAAGTTGCCCAGGCAACTACCAGGTTCGCAGCCTTGCCGGTGCCGGTGGCGCCAATGCATACCTGGAAGACGGTCCAAAGGCCGCTCGGCGCCTGCTGGGCGCCAAGGCTGTCCTGGAGCAGCTGGATGTCGTCCTGGTGGCGGAACCCCGTGGGCTTGGTGCAGTGGATGCGATGCTGTTGAAGGAAGCCCTGAGAACTGACTTGGAGCCGGGCTTCCCCTTCGTGTCCCATCATGACTACGGGGAGGCTTGGCCTGAAATGGACTGAACATGTTGGATTGTTCTTGGACCCCAAGAGTCTAAGGAGGCTTGGCCTATCCTCACCCCATCCCCGGAACCATGGAGCCCAAGGACCAGAAAGTCCAAGCGTTTCGCTTCAACCCCGTGAACCTCTCGTGGCCCATGGCCCTGGACCTGCGCCTCCGCAACTATGCGGATCGCGTGCTGGTGAGCTACGCGCGACGCCTCAGGCGACTGGATCGGATCTTCTTCCAGATGCTGTCCCAAAAGAAGTGCGCCCTTGGCTGTTGAGGATGTACATACATACATACATACATACATACATACATACATACATACATACATACATACATACATACATACATACATACATACATACATACATACATACATACATACAGACACACACACATACATACATACATACATACATACATACACATACATATATATATATCGGTGTGTGGGGTGTATAAGTATATTGCCCATCGTTATTCATGTACATCTATCTCCAATGACTACTGACGGGCTGTTTGAAATAATGGGATGGTGGATGATTGTACAAGTAGCAATAATCCGGGGGAATTTATTTTCATCACCAGGAACAAGGAATATTGATGACATTTGATGACATAACCGGCGCGCATGCATTGCCCCGGGAGCGGTTGCCGCAGCATATACTATAGTTTTACCATATGCTCAGCATCGCCCCGGGAGCGGTTGCCGCAGGACACCTCGGAAGCCTTTGTTGGCAAACCCGGGCGCGCTGGAGGCGGTGGGGGTGGACCCACACCTGAGGAGAAGCTACAGGTGCCACCGGGAAGTTGCAATGAAACCATTCAAACGATCCAAAATGCCTATGGCATATTTTTTTCAATGGATTTGGGTTATTTTGAATTGGACGGGCGATGATGTGTCCATTTTCTATGGCAATTTCTTTTGTTCCACCTAGAATGTCTGGAACTGAACCCTCCAGCTGCCCCATCTCGGTAGAATGGCCTGGGTTTCGTTTCAGGTGCTCCTGTATCGTGTAGCGCTGGCTGTCACGGCCCCTTGGCAACGATGCTGGGGTTGGGAAGATTTTCAGTGTTGTGCGGCCCAGTGCCAGTGATAAGTACGCTTATGACTCTTATGACGGCCTTGAAACTTTGCTGAGGAATCATTTGGGGATAGCCTCTGGTGAACTAACATAGCAATTGAAAATGGCCATTTATAGTGGATTTTCCCATTAAAAATGGTGGATCTTTCCATTGCTATGTTAGTTCACCAGAGGGTAGCCTTCTGCCTAGGATTTCTGGGTCATTGAATGTCCACCAGGGCGGGGTCATGTCAAGGCCGTTTGCTGGACGCTGGTGTACACCTTGGATTTCTTCATGACCAGTGGCATTTCCATCATTGATGGGTCCATCCAGGTGCCGGTGGACTTGATGGCTGGGGTGTTTTAGGGATGGATGATGGATGATGATGCTGGCTGGGAAGGAATGAGATGAGATGAGGTGAGGTGAGGTCAGATGAGATGACGTAGAAGCGAAGGGAATGAGAAAGGGAGGGGGAAGGTTTGGGGTGATGGGGATGGGAATGGGAATGGGAATGATGCTGATGATGACGATGACGATGAGGATGACGATGACGATATGACAATGATGATCCTGATCATCATTCTATTCTTGCCACGCTGAGAGTTGAACAAGATCCAGAACATGCTCTTGGAACATCTTGGACCTTGGAATAACCTTGGAACCACTTCTGAATTTTAGATTCAAACTTATGAGGATGGCTTCCCAATATTTGATGGTTCTAGTTGCTGTCCAGCATTTGAGCTATCCCCAGTTAGTACTACTTACTATGTAATGAAATGCTAAAGGGAACTAAACGGTACTGCACACATGTATAAGCATGTGGAGTAGGCCTGACATGACGCCAAATATCTGGCTCAAGTCGCAAGGGAAAACGGTGTTTGCGCTGCTCAGCAATGCTGCCTGGACTCCGGCTACTGGGACGTTAGGGACTCCAGCAACTACAACCAGATATCCGGGAACAAGGATTAAAATTGTTCACAGGTTATCAGCCGTAAGGGCTCACTTCTTCCGTCGGAAGAGGGGTACCTGCGTGCTGGTAGCCGGGCCGTCAGAGCTTAAGATTGTGGACGCAAAGGACCAATCAGCTCATCATCGCAAAGATGCAGGGCGGCAGCGGGGACTCGCGCAACACGCAGTTTACCTTCAACGAGAACGCTGCTGTGCCGGTCGAGGAGGTCACTCAATCTTCCCCTGGCGACACAGCAGACAGTGGTGGGATACGCTCTACCCGAACTACACAGTCCGGATGGCAAGTTACATCAAACAGACGAAGAATGTCCACCCAAAGTACACCAAGATCTTCTCGAAACAGTGCTCGAAGTGATGTTGTCCGCCAAGGGCATCGACCATCTCGAGGACGAACTACCCCAAGGGACAGATCCACCAGGGCCGGAACCGACCGAATTGGTGAGAGGACCGGGGACACTCGTGTTAAGAGGAGATCAACGGATACTTCTGTGGCTAGTGAACCTATTGCCATCATAGAAGAACTGCGGGCACAATGTCAATCCTTACGTAATCAGTTGAACAATATGGAAGCATATGCTGCATCAAGAGATCAACTGATTCATGACATCGAGATCAGATTCACTGAATATCTTCAGGAACAAAACCAGAATGTGTTTGATGAGGTCAATGCACTCAATCATAGATTGTCATGTTCCACAAATGAGGTTGCAGAGTATCAAGCAGAACTAATGGTAGCATCTCAGGAAGACGAAGGTGCAACAATACGCATCCAAGACCTTGAACGCCGAGGTGCCCTGATGGAACACGGTGCAAGACGGATCCATCAACGCGGTATGGAGATCCAGGAAGAGTACAAGGATGAAGTACATCACCTTCAAGGACTATTGGGTAATACGGAGGCAAGACTGCAACAACTTCATCAGACCAATGTCTTAACTACCGATATTGCCAACCGATTGTACACTGAAGGTCGAGAAATGCAGACGGACTTCCAGAACTCAATCATGGAATATCGTAATCGATCCGAAATGGCATCCTTCTCAAGCAATCAACTTGAAGTGATTAGCCAACAACAATCAATTGCAGTTCATGAATTGTCTGAACGGAATCAGCTATTGAGTGAAGCTCTAGTTCAGTCTCGTAAACAGGCCGAGTTGTATGAGAACAGTATTGAAGAGATCACTAGAGAATCTAGAAAGAAGGTTTTCGAGGCAAATCAGGCCAAATTGGAAAGCGATCTGAAACACCGAAGCACTGAACATGATACTGTCAGAAGAATTGCATCATACCGGAACAACGAGGCCGAAGCGATATCGCACCTGAGGCTTGACTCACAGGCTAGTGCAAATGCGATCGCGAGGGCAGAGCACAATGAAGAGCTCTACGCCAACGAGCAGGAGATGAACTGTGAATTGAAGGATGAGATCAGAGTGCAGAACGTGAAGTTGCGAAGATCATCAACTCAGGGCACTACGATCGACGGTCGTGGCCCTGATGAGATGCTTGTTGAAGATCTACGGAACCAAGCCAAAATCGCTCAAATCAGGGTTCAGGATCTAGACCATGAAGTTCATGAATGTTTACAGGAGAACATGTTGTTGAAAGAAAGATTGACTGAAGTTGCGGATGTAGGGGCGTCGTCCTTCTCCAATGCTGAAGTCCGAGCTTTAAGATCTGAACTAGAAAGTGAGCGCAAAATGAAATTGGCTAGTGGTGTTCAGCAATATGAGAGATCATGCATGTTCATGGGGGAAATTCAGGATAGGGATGAAAAGATTGGTATCAAGAATTCTGAGATTATTGACATGAGACGTAGCATAGACGAACTGAGAAAGAGTCTCAAGGATTCTGAAACATCTATGTCCAGGGTCAACCCTGATACGCTTCCCTATTCGGCAGGTATCCCCAACTATGATCTCGCATCAAGACTGGTCATTGATAGACTGGAGAATGAGGTGAGTGAGGCTAACTCCGAGAACTCTGTCCTGAAATCATGGGTATCGCAGATCGACAAGGAGTTGACCTACGAGACTAATGCTGCTCTCTACTATCACGGGCATGCTGGACCATCTCAAAATCAACCATCTCAATCGAACAAAAGGATCACCGACCTGCTGAAAGAAGTTGACAACAAGATCGCCGATGGAACCGAGAAGGACTACTACAAGCCTCCGGGCGGAAGGGGTGGCCCACCTGACCCTGATGGGCCTCCTGACCCTTTTGGACCTAATGGTCCAGGACCACCTCCAGAACCTCCTGGCTTGCCCTCAGTGCGGGGATCACAACGCGATTCAGCAGATGATATCTCCACTGCGGCGTACACGGCAGAAGAAGTACCGAGAATGTCGAGACGGGAGGCTGACAAAGTCTATGTTAGACCATGGCCGAAGCAACAGAACCTTGGGATTTGGCAGTCAGATCTCATCAAGGGTGTTGTTCTTGCCGCGAATGATGGAGACAAAGCTGCATGGGAAGCATGGCTACAGCCGGCTATTCGACCAAATCCTGACATCGAGCTACTGAATGACAGTGGTGGGCAACGATATCAGTCAATCGACGCCAAGTTGTCAATCGCATTGTCGAACGTGATAGCTCAAGCCGGTGATGTTGCTCGTCATGTAGCAATTAAACTAAGATTGAGAACGCAGAGTCATAGTCGAAGAGGAACCTATGTTATGGGACGAGAAATTTTGGCTATGATTCTGGAACACTTCAGGACACCAGGTCAACGAGAGACAGCCTTCACTATGGAGCACATCGTATCGATGAAGTATCTCGGTGACTCCAACCTGGAAGTGTTCTACGAGAAGTGGATGGAGATGGTGTCAAATATGATGCCGGATGATGTACCTCCTGATGATTGGCTTCGTGACGCTCTATACAAGAAGATTCGAAATTCGAGTCTCATGATGTTCGACATCAAGCAGTACGAGTCATGGATCGAAGGGGATCAAAGACGAAGCTATCGTTACCTGCTGGACGTCATCGAGAGGCACATATCCAGGATCAGAGAAGACAAGCATGTGGCCGCTAGGGAGAAGTACGCAAGGGATTTCGCAGGTGGTGGCAAGCCCACCACTCCTGCACCAAATCCAACTGCTGCTGCACCAGATGCCAATCCTAAGGCGAAAGCTAAAGCCAATCCTAAGGAGAAGGCAGCACCCAAGGCGAAGGCCAAGGCTGAGGCAGCTCCAGTTCTACCATCACCTCAACCAAAACAGCATGCAAAAGGAAAAGGAAAAGGTCAAGGGAAAGGAAACGGACGGTCAAACAGCCGAAGTGCTAGTCCTAGATCCAAGAAGAAGATCCCATGTCATTTCCATTTCATCAAGAAAGCATGCAGAAAAGGTAAAGATTGTGAATACAGTCACGACCAAAAGGTGTTTGATGCGAACAAGAACACGAAAGGTAATGGTCGAAAGCCAGGAACTCCGAGAAGTCAATCTCCAGCAAGCAAGACCAAGAAGATTGATGAACCATGCTGGCACTGGGCCAAGGGCAAATGCCGATACGGAGACAAATGCAACAAACGTCATGATCCTCATCTCTTCAACACTGCTCCGAACACCGAAGCATCAAGCTCAAAGGCTACTCCTGCACTTGTCCATGAATGGAGTGATGACGAGGGTACATTTCACAAGGTTGCATCGAACGTCGTCAAGAAGAAAGTACGATTTGACGAGTCTAAGACTTGCATTCAGACGTACGTGAAGAAGGACTTCGTGAAGTGCAGCCGGAAATCCCAGACCATCCCCAAAGGTCATGGTAAAGTCGGCAAGCCCACCGATCAGATAAGGCAAGATGAGCAATGGTCTTATTCATGCAGACTAGCATCGAGCCGAGGGAAGGCAATGGCTATCCTGATCGATGAGAAGGGCGAGTACAGTGACATTGATGAAGTCCTAGTCATCGTCGGCCCCAGTCTGGACATTCTGATCAGGTTCGACATCGAGGACGGTGAGGTATCCAGGGAGGTCTTCGTGGAGAACTATGTTCAACATGTCGAGGGTCGATATGGCAAAAGGGGTAACACGATGTGTATCACTGTTCCTGTTGAAGAAAGAGATAAGAGATTCATATTGGATTCTGGAAGTGGTCATGATCTTATCTCATCCACACGAATAAGTAGAATGGATCTCCCAACATATGATGATAAAGTCGTCAACTTCCATACAGCAAACGGGGTAACATGTTCGACCAAACGATCAAGTATCAAGTTCGAGGCATTCAACGAACCAGCAGAAGCTCACATCCTGGAAGACACGCCTTCCGTAATCTCCATGGGCAAGCGGTGCGTTGACCTTGGCTATTCGTTCGTATGGCCGACTGGGAAAACTCCTTTCATGTTAGATCCCAATGGCAAC